AGAAATTTTCGATCCCGCGATGGTAGTTCAGATTGAAGCAAAGGCAGGATCGGTGATGCACTTCACGGAGGCGTTGGTTCATACCGGTGTCCCGATCCTCTCCGAGCAAACTCGCTATACAATGTTCTACGGTTTCACTCCGCCGTGGATGCAGTGTTGGCCCGGATGCAGCCCGACACAGGAAGTCATTGACGCCAGCGAAGGGGAACTCAAGGAAATCCTCGGAGGACGCACCGGATATATGGGACAGTACGGACCTGAGTGAGTAGAACCCTACGAACCCAAAATCTGAATCCCTTGTGAGAAGGAGGGTATATTCAATGCTATCCGATTTGGAAGTTGGACAATTTTGGACATTCGGGTTCACTGTCTTGAGAGGCTGCCTGAGCGAAAAAGAGGTAGACCGTCTACAGGAAACACACAATCGCGTCATTGCAGACGCACCGGTCTACAACTATTTCGCCGAGAACGGCACCCGGATGCTGAGCCCTTTCGTCCAAGCGGACGATACTTTCGCAGAGTTAATCGAGCATCCCGGTGTGATGGAAGCCATGCGCGATATCTGGGGGACGGAGTGTCTCTATATTGCCGGCAGCGATATGTGGGCGAACCGAGACGACACCCCTTGGCACACCGACGGTCAGCCGGGGCGACAGAACGTCACGCTCAAGACCGCCATATACCTCGATGAGCAGTCCAAAGATCTGGGATCGTTGAACCTAATTCCCGGCAGCCACCATCCTGAATACTCTGCAGCACTCTTCCGATCCTGCGGTTACTGGGATAGGGGAAGACCCCGCCTGCGCCTCGATCCCCATGCAATTCCGGGAGTTCTCTCCGTCCAGACCTGTCCCGGAGATGTTGTGTTGTGGGACAATCGCCTGTGGCACTCCGCCTTCAAACGCAAGGACGGTCGTCCCCGGCGGACGATGTTTATCGGCTATATGCCGGACCCCCAAGATGACCTGCTCGCGATCAAAGACCTTCGTACGACGGTTGAAACTCAATTAAGTGAGCAGCAGCCGTTCGTCTATAGCAAGGAGATGATGGAAAAGGGTTGTCCTAGGCGCGAGAAGATGGCGGTACGGCTAGAGGAATTGGGTGTGGAAAAGGTAAGAGAATCATAAATCCCCGCCAAGAAAACCCGCGCCCCCAGAAAGAAGGAAAGACAATGAGCAATAGATCCCGTCCGCTGCGCGTCGGTGTTGTTGGCTGCGGTGGTTTTGGACGTAATGCTTATGTGAACAATGTCGTTGAAAACCCTGATGCCAGCTTGGTCGCACTCTGCGATGTCGATCTGGCACAGGCGGAAGCAGCCGCACGTGAAGTCTTTGATGAGCGAGGCGAGAAGCCGCGTCCGGCACTTTACACAGACTATCAAGCGATGATCGACCAAGAATCTCTCGATGTGGTCATGGTTGGAACAATGGCAGATGTCCGTCCGCGCGTGGCTATTTATGCCTTGAATGCCGGTGCGCACGTCCTCGCTGCCAAGCCGATGGCACCGTCCTTGGCAGAGGCGGAGGAAATGCTCCAGAGGGCAAAGGAAGCGGACAGGATTCTGATGGTCGGCTATAACTTCCGATTCCGCGATGATGCACAGGTCGTGCACCGCTTTATCCGTGATGGTGGCATCGGGACACCCCGCTTTGCCCGTGCTTGGTCGTTTGCTCCTAGCGTACCGATCCGCGGATCACACTACAAAGCAGCGTCGGGGTGGGCGGCTCGCTCGCCAGAACTGGGGTTCACGCGATGGACTTGGCAATCTGGTTCCTTGGCAATCCACCTCTCATCTCCGTGCATGGCCGGGCACTCTCACGTTTTGCCGACCCTTCCCGCACTGCCCTCCGAATTGGAACCCCTCCGAGACAACTACGACGATCCAGATCTGGTCAGCGGCTATGTCCACTTCGCCGATGGCGTCACGCTGTCCGTCGAGAGTATGTGGATGGCACCGCCGCAGATCGGCGATAACGGCGTCGAAGTGTGGGGAACGCAAGGCTACGTTTCGATGACACCGTTACGATTGCTGACTTGGCAGGATGGCGATTACGCCGATGTGACCGAGCAGGTTGCTCCGGGCGTTGCCAATTCCTTCCATGACCACTCGAGCAACCGGCTACGCCGCGAGGTCTTTCACTTTATCGATTGCGTTCTTGGCAGAGCGACGCCGCTTATAACACCACAAGAGATGTGGACGGATCAAGCAATTGTCGATGGAATCTACGCCGGCGCGAAAGCAGAACAACAAAAGGACAAGAATCGAAGCACAGGAATTTAAAAAGGGCTTACGCGTTTTCAGAGAAACGCCTTCTCTCTCGCTTCCTCCGAAACATCCCACGCACGGTCATATTCATAGTCATCCCGACGCGCTAGCAATGCTCGCAAATCGTGTCGCAGTTCTTCCACGGTGGGTCTTCCAACAAACCACCAACCGTTGTAGACCTTGTAGATCTCCCGGTCCGCGTTAAGGACGAAAGTATAGGGGATGGGAATCGGCGAGTGGCGGGCGTCCGTGTTGTCTACAATGTCCAATTCATTGATCAACGCCCGGTCGAGGTCAATCAGGAAGGGCCACGTCGCGCCGATACGTTCACGAAGTGCCCTCGTTGTTTTCTGATCATCAACTGAGACAGCAATTAGCCTACAGTAGTTGACTTCTAGTTCGGGCTGCAAGTCCTTCGCATAATTCTCCAACTGGAGAACATCCTTCGGTCAATATGCCCCACGCCAAAAGACGAGCACCGTGGGCCAGCCACGCATCAAATCCTCCAGCGTTCTGATCATGCCATCTTGATCGGGACGTTCAAAGTTCGGGAATATGTTGCCCGGTATCAAATCTTCACGGATTTTCATTGTAACCTCCTACCTCACGAGAGCGCAATGTATAGGGTCCATCAGTTCAATCAACCAATGAACCCCTGAACTAATGAACCAATAAACCAACATCCTCCAACGGAATAACAAGCAACAATCTAGGCTTGTACCTCTTCCCAACGCTCCGTTTCCCACGAGCGTTCAATCGCACCCAACACCTTAGCCACAGCCAACGCCTCACGAAAAGCGGGCTCACCTTGGTGCCCATCTCGAATCGACTTCAAGAATTGATAGGCTTCGATGACCTTCAAATCTTCGTAGCCCAAGCCGACACCGGGACCGGGATTGAAATGTGCATGAAACGGGTGTTCGGGACCACTTACGATGCGGGTGTAACCATTAGGCGCACCATCGTTGTCAGAAAGAAACAGATGGAGTTCATTCATACGCTCGAAGTCCCAGTTTAATGCGCCGCGTGTGCCGTGCACCTCAAACGCCATCTGACACTCGGGACCATTTATGACACGACACCCTTCCAGTGTGCCATGCGCCCCATTAGAAAATTGCACCAGCGCGCCGACATAATCTTCGTTGGTGACTTCGCCCGTTGGACCATCTGTACGGGTAGAAAAATGCGTACCTTCGCCGGGTGTAGCAAGCGGACGTTCTGAGAAGAAAGTCTCGCGGTTGCCCACCAAACGGTTGATCGGACCGGCTATCATCTGTGCCATATCAACGACATGCGACATCAGATCGCCCAAAGTACCTAGACCCGCTACCTCACGCTGAAAACGCCACGACAGCACGGCGTGCGGATTGCTAGCGTAACCCGCAAAGAAACGTCCGCGATAGTGTGTGAGTCTGCCGAGACACCCTTCCTCAATCAGCTGCCGGGCGTACTGCACAAGCGGTGTCCATCGGTAATTATAGCCCACACAGGTCAAAACGCCAGCCCGTCGAGCGGCATCTTCGATCGCAGCGGTCTCTTGTGGATTTCGACCAACAGGTTTCTCACAGAAGATATGCTTCCCCGCTTCGGCAGCCGCTCTCGCAATTTCGAGGTGCATATTATTTGGCGCGGTGATGTTGACGAGTTCCACCTCTGGATCAGCAATAACCTGTCTCCAATCCGTAGCGTATCTTTCAAAGCCCAAAAACGTCTGTGCTTCACGGGCACGGGCTTCCACCTCATCGGCACAGATGACCAAGCGCGGTTGAATATCACAGTCCTGAAAGCGGATCGGAATCTGTCGGTAGGAGCGGCTGTGCACAGTTCCCATCCACCCCATACCGATGACACCGATGCCTATCGTTCGTGCCATAGCTGACCTCAAAATTCAGGGACTTTCGTTAAGTACGTTCTAATGCGATTTTGCATATCGTCTTTTCTGCGTCATCGCCGTACCAGAGATGGGTGCCATCCCACGTCAACCCATGTGGTTCGCCGGGACACTCAAAGGAATCGAGAACCTCCCCGGAATTCGGGTCAATTTGGGAGATAATGTGCGTGTCGGTGTCCGCACTCCACAGCGTTGCTCCATCCCAAGCAATCCCGTGAGGCCTTGTGCCGGGGGAGGGAAACTCTGCTAATATCTCCCCAGTTTCAGGAGACACCTTATAGTGCCGATCTGATTGCACATCGGCACTCCACAGAGATCCTCCATCCCAAGCGAGACCGTGTGGACTCGGTCCCGGTGGTGGAAATGAGGTGACAACTTGCAAATCCGACACGGTTAATTTGTACAGAATTTTTTCCCCGATGTCAGAATACCAGAAATGGCTGCCATCACATTCAAGTCCGCTGGCTCCCGATGTGGGCGGGTTTACGGTAAGGATAACCTCACCGGTCTGCGGATTAATTTTGTGTAACGTCCCGCCACCTTCGACACTCCAGATGGCTGCGCCCTGCCAAGCCAGTCCCGTTGGTGCCAGGTCCCGGACAATTAAAACTGGTTGCGATTGATGCTTTTAACATTGTTAATCTCCTTCCCATGATTGGGGGACTAAATTTTACCCTCAGTCCTGATTTATGGTAGATTTTAGAATTACTTAGACTCTCCCAATGCACACACTAACCCACCAGTACTCCCTCCCCCTTATCAGTCGGGGGACTTTGGAAACTTCGTGAAGGTCGGAGTTATTGTAGATGTCTACTTATTTCTCTAATTCACCATAGTTGTTGATTACGGTCGTACTATCGATCCATCTGCCTTCCGATCTTCGGCGGCGTAATTGGGTCTTTTGGCTTGTTCCGCGTTCAGCATTTGCGCCGCCTTCGCCTCGTCAATGTCAATCCCCAATCCCGGTTGGTCATTGGCGTAAAGGTATCCGCCTTCAAGAATCGCGTGTCCGGGGAAGATGTCGAGTTCCTCTTGACCGAAGTGATTCTCCTCCTGAATACCGAAACTCCAACTCGCCAGATCTAAGTGCATCGCCGCCACTTGATTTACGGGGTCATTGTCTCCCCCCTCCTGCCATGCGGTATTGACCCCGAACCATTCGCAGAGGGTGGCAATCTTACGACACGGGGTGATGCCGCCGGCCTTTGATACCCGGACCCGGACGAAGTCAATCAGCCGCTCGGTGATGAGGGCTGTCCATTCATGAGGATTGATAAATAGCTCGCCCATCGCCTGCGGGGTGGTGCACTGCTGCCGAATCAGACGAAACCAGTCAATCTGCTCAGGTGAGAGGACATCCTCAAGAAAGTAGAGGCGATAAGGTTCTAAGAGTTTCGACAACGTCACCGCGCACTGCGGGCGGAGGTGCTCGTGGACATCGTGCGTGAGTTTCGGTCCGAACCCCAACTTCGATCGCAGATATTCAAACATTTTCGGGATGCTCTCAATGTATGCTTCATCATCAAAGGCAGGCGCATTGGACCAAGCATTCTTCGGCTGCCCGGCTTTATCGGCTTCAATGAATCCACCGCCCCCATACCCACCAAGCTGACATCGAATGACCGAGTACCCCTCTTCCATGTAGCGACGGATATCGTCTTCAAGCTCGACGAAGTCCCCACCACCAGCATGGGCATAGCACGGCACGGCAGAACGACAGGGACCGCCGAGAAGTTGATAGACCGGCATCCCCGCCTCTTTTCCCTTGATGTCCCAAAGCGCCATGTCAATGCCGCCCAATGCAGTGTTCAAAATTGACCCATTCCGCCAGTAACCACTGGTGAGGGTGGATTGCCAGATGTCTTCAATATGCCCAACCTCCCGACCAATCAGGCGCGGGGCGATGCACTCCTCAATCGCTGTGACGACGGTTTGCGCATGGTAGTGGTCGCTAGCAGAACCGATGCCGTAGAGCCCCGGCTGGTCAGTGGTGATTTTCACAATAACCCAAGTTCCATTCACCCGTGTACGAATACATCGAATTTCTTTGATTTTTGCCATAGAAAGTTTCTCTTTTTGTCGTATCCATAATTCTCTTGAAAAAACGCTGCGCTCTCCACGTCTCCCGATGAAGCATCGGGACTAAGAAGTCCGCGGTTGATTCTAATCTATAAGTTCTCATCTACATTATTCCGATTGTTGACCGATACATAGACCGTCACAATTTTCTCTAACATAACCTACTTGGAGTGTGTTGTCAACAAGAAATTGCTCTTATGCTTACAAAACCATCCCGCATTTTTTTCTTGATTATTTTCTCAGAATCGCCTATCATTTCCTTGTTTTTACCCCTGCTTTCACAAGGGCAAGCTCGGACAAACCTGAAGATCCAACAATCAAAAGTGAAAGGAGACACAAGAAATGGTCTTAACGTTTTTGGATAAACATCAACACATCGGTTTATTAATCCTTCGGATCGGATTTGGGTGTATGTTCCTCTTTCATGGACTTCCGAAACTGTTTGGTGGTCCTGAGAAATGGGAAAAGGTCGGTGCAGCAATGGGGGCCTTCGGCATTACGTTTATACCGGCGTTTTGGGGCTTCATGGCTGCGATTTCGGAGTCTTTGGGAGGCATCTGTCTCATCCTCGGTTTCTTTCTTAGACCCGCCTGCATCCTTTTGACAATAACGATGTTGGTCGCTGCTTCGGGCCATCTAAATCGCGGGGAGGGGTTGGGAGGTGCTGCGCACGCGCTCAAAGCTGGCACCGTTTTTCTGAGCTTGATCCTGATTGGACCCGGTAAGTACAGCCTTGATGAAAAACTGAGTCCTGATCGCGGCGACGACACATAATACCGTTTGACACACAGGGAAAATTAGATGGCAGAGAGAGATTACTATGAAGTCCTTGGGGTGAATCGGAACGCATCTCCAGAGGAGATTAAGCGTGCTTACCGTAAGGTCGCGCTGAAGTATCATCCCGATAAAAATCCGGGAGATAAGACAGCGGAAGAGAAATTTAAAGAAGCCTCAAATGCTTACGACGTGCTATCGGATCCGGAGAAGCGGAAGATCTACGACATACGCGGACATGCAGGAGTCCACAACGCTGGATTTCAGGGATACACGAACTTTGAGGATATTTTCACCAATTTTGGAGACATCTTTGGGCGTGAGGTCTTTGGGGACTTCGGCGATGTCTTCGGAGATGTATTCAGTAGAGAAAACCCCACCGGCTTCGGTCCACAACGCCGCGGCAATTTGCGAACAAGACTGACAATCCCATTTGGGGAATCTATATTGGGTACCGAAAAGCGGATTCAGGTGAACGACAGAACCCTTACCATTAAGATTCCGCCGGGCATTAAAGACGGTCAATCATTGCGCCTTGCGGTCAAGGAGATCTGAATGCGAGTGGACAGCGCGGTTCACTGATTGTGAAAATCGCTGTTCAACCGCACCCAAATTTTAAGCGGGAGAATCTAGATCTCGTGACCCAAGCTACGGTGCCTTTCACGACCGCAGCTTTGGGCGGGAAAGTGCGTATTCCAACCCTGAAGGGAGATATTGATCTGAAGATTCCTGCGGGAACGCAGCCGGAGCAACAGTTGAGAGTTCGTGGGGGTGGTGTTGTCGATTCGTCAAAGCGCAAAGGCGATTTACGCGTCCAGATCAAGATCGAAATTCCACGTTCCTTGACAAGAAAACAGAAGGAATTATTAAAAGAGCTGGAAAAAACCTTATAATCCAGTAACTGGTGAGCGGTAGCACCGTGCAAGGTGTGTCTGTGCCACTTATTACATATTACGACAAATAGGCGGTTAAATGAACCCAGAGAAAACCTTAGTTTTGATTAAACCGGACGGCGTTCAACGCGGACTAATTGGCGAAATCATCACCCGCTTTGAGCGCAAAGGACTCAAACTAGTAGGACTTAAATTACTCAAACTCCCCAAAGATCGAGCTGATCAACTCTACGTGCCACATCAGGGGAAGTTTTTTTACGACTACCTCATCCAATTTATGACTTCGACGCCGATCGTAGCAAATCGCCCTTGAAGGGCGAAATGCTATCGAACTGGTGCGTCTAGTAAACGGGGCAACAAGGCCCAACGAATCCCAACCCGGCAGTATTCGTGGAGATTTCTCGATTGACATCACTCACAACGTTGTCCACGCTTCAGATTCCCTTGAGAACGCGGAACGTGAGTTAAGCATTCTATTTGATCCAAGCGAACTTGTTGACTATCCACGAATTGATGACGTGATTCTTTATCAAAATCTTCCGTTCTAAAACCCCGTTTTTTAAGGGGGGGATACAGAACGGCAAGCCCCGTTAGTTAGTCAAAAAAAGGGTGATTTTGTAGGTAAAATATGGTATACTTTTCTTGGCTTTCGCGGGAGAGTTTCACCCCTATCGCATGATAGGGTCTCCCGCTTCCTCGTGAAACAGGATATGAAAGCTATAAAGCTGACCATAATGAAAACCTACAAGTTCAAAATGTATTCTAATCACGGTAATCGTGAATTGCATAAGACCATAGACGGACACGCTTCTGTCTGGAATCATAGCGTTGCCCTCCATCGACGTTATTATGCAATTTATGGCAAATATATCAGCAAGTTTAGATTGATAAATCACATATCTAACCTCAAACAATTGCCTCGGTTTGCTCATTGGAATCAACTTCCGAGCCAGGCGATTCAAGACGTGGCAGCCCGTATCGACAAAGGCTACAAGGCAATGTTTGAATCGAGAGCGCGAGGTAAACCGTGGGGTAGACCGCGTTTCAAGCCCCGTCGCAAGTACAAGTCATTCACATTACTTCAAGCCGGTTGGAAACTTCTACCGGGCAATCGTATCAAAATGGGTAAACATATCTATCAGTATTTCCAGTCCCGTGATATTGAAGGCACCCCAAACCGTTGCACAATTAAGCGGGATGCCGTCGGTGACATCTATATCTGTGTGCTAACTGACCATGTAGAACCAGCCCTGAATCGGGTCATGACGGGTAAAATCGCAGGCTTTGATTTCGGTCTAAAACGGTTTCTCACAGGTTCTAACGGACACGATATAGAATCGCCTCTGTTTTTCAAACGGAGTATCAATGCTATCAAACGTGCCAATCGTAACGACTCCCGAAAGCGCGAGCGGTCAAACAACCGACAACGGGCACGGATTAACCTAGCTCGCAAGCACCGCAAAATAGCGAACCAACGAGCGGACTTCCACTGGAAACTTGCACACCAACTGACTGACAAATATGACGAAATTAGACTGGAGGATCTCAACCTCAAAGGCATGAAAGCACTATGGGGACGCAAAGTTAGTGACTTAGGCTTTGCCGATTTCGTCAAGAAATTGGTGTATATCGCTGACAAAAAAGGTGTAAAAAATCGTGTTCATAGACAAGTGGTATCCTTCGAGTAAGACCTGTTCGGCTTGCGGCACCGTGAATGAATCGTTGAACCTACATGATAGAACTTGGCAGTGTGCTGATTGTGGTGCTATCCATGACCGTGATAGAAACGCTGCAATTAACATCTACAGGGTTGGGGCATCAACCCTTGAAGGAGAGGACGTAAGACCATCTTCGGCTGGCTGTCCTTGTTGATAGCACAATTACCGTTCCTGAAGGACACAAGAATCCCCGTCCTTCAGGGCGGGGAGTATGTCAATGCCCTATTCCAACCCTCCAGTCCTCCAGTCTTTTTCTTCACGCCTTCTCTGGTTCATCGTTGTTTTCGTCTTATTGTTCCCGTCCTTGGGCGGAGTATCCGCTCAAGAAGCCATTCGTATCCTTTCACACGACTTTGACTCCGGACGATATTACAATCGGGGATCCGGTTCGGTTGCGGCTGCGAATCGAAGCCGATGAAAACTTGCATATCTACTTAGATCCAATAGACCGCAGCGAACACGAACATCTGGAAGTCGATAAACCTCAAGTGGAACGAATCAAATCCGAAAGCCCACCGACAGGCAAAGCACACTATGAAGTAACCTACCCACTACGCGCATTCGCTATCGGTAAGCACACCCTTCCCCCCATTACAATTAAATACACCGGTACTGATGGAGACAGCGGAAGTATCCAGACACCTACCTACCTGTTTGAGGTCCGGGCTGTCAAGCCTCCTAGTGACACAGAGATGAAAGGAATCAAGGGACCCTGGTCCGTACCCTCGAATTGGATTCTTTACATTTTAGTGGTGCTTCTAGTAATCATAGTCGTTGGTGCGCTTGTCTTTTTTTACCTACATAGGCGGGCTAAACCCATAGATCTACAGCCTGAAGCACTGTCCCAACGTCAACCTCATGAAATCGCTTATGAGCAACTGAATCGGATTGAGAGGATGAACTGGGTTGCACAAGGCGAAATGAAAGTATACCACACCGAAATCTCTCACGTTATCCGTCAGTATATCGCTGCACGATATCATGTCCCTGCACTTGAAATGACCACCCAAGAACTACTCGACCGTTTGCAGCCCGAAGATATTCCGAAAGAACTGGTACAGTATTTTTTCACTAACTGCGATTGGGTCAAGTTTGCCCGATACAGCCCTACAAAGCCAGAAGCCCATGAGCGGATGGAGGAAGCGCGTCGGATTGTCGATGAGACGAAGCAGTTTTGGGTGGGGGTAGGTGAGGAACAGGAAAGCGAGGTTCGTGAAGATCAGTGACTGCCGCGTTTGGAGTTTGAAGGGGGAGAAAAGGAAGGAAAAATGCCGCAATAAAAGCCTTTTTCCTTCCTGTCAATCTTCCGTTTTTGTCTATCCTATTGGATAGCAAATCGAAAATCAATGAGAAGTGGAGGATCGATGGAAAAGGACAGCTCGAGTTACTACGCCGGAACCATCTTTCGTACACCGTTTTCGTACCGAACCTCATAGTCTCCTTTAGGTACGGGCATAGAGCGGATAGCCAACTCTTCTTGAGTAATCAAGGGTTCGGAAAGCATGAGCAGGTCATCCAACGATTCTTGGGGCGTTTTCCCTGTAGTGTCAACTACAATCTTGCGTCCGTGCTGGGTAAAGAGCGATTTTTCAATCTCTTCCTCGAAACGCTGTTTGACCTCTGCGATATCTCCTCTTTAATAATCTGATACTCATGCGGGTCTGCATGCATCCGCTCCCTGATTGCTTCATCGCTGGCAGTGACATGAATCAAGACCACATTGGGCAAGCGGGCTTCAAACACCTGCGCTTCGTAAATCCGTTGTGCCCTGTATGAGTAATTCTTATAGTAAGGGTTGTCCGGGTCATCGCCGTACATATCTGAGTAAACCGATTCTTCGATATGCCAGCCCGCAATCAGGGTATTCGGATAATTCTTGATGACTTCGACATGGTACTGAATCTGCATCCGTTGTGAGCGTTCTTTAACATCATCAGGGAAATTGACCATCAACGCCCGTGATTCTGGACTCAAAGAGGCGTCTGGTAAAGTAAAATGGTCGTCTCCGTGAACGGGTAGTCTGCGCTGTCGATAATAGTCGCCCAGCAGCGTGATTAAGGTTGATTTCCCAGCATATTCAATACCAACAAAGACACATCGCATAATGGAAACTCCTCTTTTTTACGCCGTCAATTCTGTAGTGACGGTTTTATGGTTGTTAAAGGAACAATTCGTATGAGAACCCGAATTCCGTAGGGACACGCAAATGAATCCTCCGCGAAGCCCTGCAAAATCTGCGGTTCTATAGCGAGTGATTATAGCACGATTCTATCGTAAGATCTATCACTATTTTACTAACCTATGCCACTCCGCCGCTAGTGCGCCTAGCCCTCTTTCAATACCCCTTTTCTTTATCTACGAGGTTGACCAACGGTTCCCCTTTGACGTAGCGGTGCAGATTATCGACAAACAGATGCATCGCACGAGAACGCATATGCTGCGATGCCCCTGCACTATGAGAGGTCAAAATCACATTCGGTTCCGTCCATAGCGGGCTATCCGGTGGACACGGTTCGGTGTAAGTAACATCTAACCCCGCCCCAGCGAGTTTGCCGCTGCGGAGTGCTGCAATCATAGCATCTTCATCAATGACTTTGCCTCGGCTAACATTGACAAGATAGCTTCCATCCGGCAAGAGATCAAACTGCTCATGCGATAGAAGTTTATGAGTTTCAGGGGTGCTTGGACAACAGACCATCACGACGTTCGATTGTGCCATAAACTCTGAAAGCCAATCCAGTCCGCCTAGTTCATCAACACAATCCGGTTTGTCCATCGGATCCGAATCAACCGCAATGACCTTAAACTCAAATGCCTTTGCCCGTGCTGCAATCGCTCGACCGATGCCACCGAGCCCCAAAATTCCCATGGTCATCCCTGCCAATTCGATGCACGGGACGCGCTCCCAATGTTTCTCCTTCATAAACTCCAGTTGTGTCGGAATGCTGCGGGTCAGGGAAAGTAGGAGCGCGAAGGCGTGCTCAGAAATTTGAAGACCATACAGTTTCTGACAGTTGGTTAGAATACATCGCTTGCTTTGAAGGCAGGATACATCGTACCTTCGACGCCTGCTGAGGGTTGCTGCACCCAGCGTAACGATTTGGCTTTGGGGAGATCTGCTTCACGGATCCCGCCGTAGATAATCTCGGCATCCGCGAGGTGATTGTCTCAACGCCTCGCCCGGTGCTGGGAAGTAAATATCCACCTCTAGCGGGGCATCTTTGAGTATCGCTTCAACTTCGGGATCTTCACGTCTTGCCATTAACACTTTGCGTTTGGACATAATAGCTTCCTTTTAGCTCTACTTAATTGAAACCTTCACACCTGCTTTGGCGCTATCGTAAAGGGCATCAAGGATTTTCATGAACGTATAGGCATCCGCAGCAGAGACATCAGGCTCAACCTCACCGGCGATTGCCATTGCGAAATGCTCAATCTCATAAAAGAAGACAGGGCGAGGCTCAGGGGGTTCGCTATGCTTTATATCTAGCGGCTCATCAATCTTCTCCCGGATAAACTCACCATCTTTGTGTCTCGAAATCCCCCCACCTGTGATTGCCCCGGTGCTGCCGTAAAGTTCTATGATAGTTGGTGTAGGGGTATGCACCATCCGTGAGCAATCGATCTGGATCGTTTTCCCGCCCTCCAAACCGACTAGTCCAGTAAAGTAGTCATCAGCAGGACCTTCGGGACCTTCGTATGCCGGATAGACCACATGCTTGGCACCAAACGCCCACTCCGGCTTCGGACAACCCATCCACCACCACGCGAGATCCAACTCATGGGAATAGTGCTGCCCTAACGATCCCCCTTTCTGACCATAGACGTGCAACCAACGGGAGTTGTCGTTCAGTGGCGGGATATGATTGTATTTCCCAAAGATCCGCGCGTGGTACGGATCGCCAATCTTACCACTGAGCACCGCGCGGCGAATCTGGCGATTGTTTGGGAAGTGGCGCATGAAATAGCAGAATTGCAGCGTCTTACCTGCCGCTTTCGCCGCATCCGCCATCTCCGTAATCTCGTCTGCCCGAATCGCATGAGGCTTCTGGACTAACACATGCTTATCCGCAGCGAGTGTCTCGAGCACCATCGGCAGACGAACATCGGGGGCAGTGCCGAGGTACACCGCGTCAATGTCGTCATCATCAAGAATCTCCCGGTAATCGGTGTAGACGCGTGGTACAGAGTATTCATCGGCGACCTCTTCGCGCCGAGCGGGGTCGAGATCTGCTAGCGCAATGGTAGTCATGCGCGACATTACAGTGGTTGCGAAAATCGTTTGTCTGCCTGTAAATCCACAGCCTACGACACCTAGTTTGAGTGGTTGATTTGTCATGGGTCGTCCTCCTTTATGTGCATTAAGGGTGTGTTTAGGATATCATACGAAGAGAATCCTGATAAACCGCTTCCAACTGCTGGATAGATCTATTGCTATCAAACATCTCCTCAATTCTTCGCCTTGCATTCCGCCCCAGATATACTGCCAATTCCTGATTGGTTAAAAGGTTATTGATTGCTTCCGCCAATGCTCCGCTCGCCCGTGGTGGAATAAGTAGCCCATTTTCTTGATGGTCAATGAGATCGAGAACACCCCCGACACTCGACGCGATACAAGGTAGTCCAACCCCCATCGCCTCGATAAGGGCATTGGGTGAGCTTTCATGCAGCGATGGCAGGACGAAGAGGTGTGCAGTGGATAGCATAGAAAAAATATCGTCGCAGAAGCCGGGCATCTGTATCCGATCCGACAGGTGATAGCGATCGGCAAGCCGCGCTAAGTCTGCCTTCAACGCCCCATCTCCGAGAATTGTCGCTGTGAAGTTTTGCCGGTTGTATTTTGTGTTAAGCAGATGTAACGCTTCGATGAGATACTGATGCCCCTTTTCCGCGGTCAATCGACCGACACTCACAATATGCCAGAGCGGTGGAGTGTCGGAAGGCGATCGTAGCGCTAGTTCAGGCAGGTCTAGCAGATTCCGAATCGCTTGGATACGTTTGTCAGGGTAACGGTGTCGAAGGTTGTCTCGGATGCGATCAGAATTCGTCAGGAGAACATCAGCGTGGCGGTAAATAATTTTTTCGGTCAACCACAATCTTGAGCGACCATATCTTGCGTAGTAGTCGCCGCGCTGTGAAACGATTAAAGGACAGGATAGACTCCCCCTTGACGAAGTTAGAGAGAACTGGCGGACAATGCCGCAGAGGAGATTGGAATACCAGAGCCAACTGTGGATAATTGCTGGCTTCACCGATTTTATAATACCTGCTAGCCTGAAAGCCTGCTGCACCAAGGACAGTATGGGAAATCTGCCTCGATGAGCTTGGGAGTTAAAGCGACTTGTGTCATGCAGGACAATAATTTCTTGAACGATCGGGAGTGCTGCAAGCTGCTCGTAGGAATCGCCGGGCTCACGACTTAACACGATAAAGGCTTCAAATTTATCTATCGATAGTCGTGCTAAGGTCTTGAACAGCTGCGTCTCAGCCCCGCCCCTGCCCATAGAATCGATAACGTAGAGAATTCGAGTTCGATTCAAAGTGCACTCCCGTATACTCTAGTCGGCTGCGTTCAATCTCTCAAGGCATGCGGCCATATAACCGATCGTAAAGGCACGTGCACGGTGTCCCTGCGGTGTATCGTTTATCATGTTCGGAACATGATCCGTAATCATCCAGCCGGTGAATCCACTTTCCTTTAAGGTCTTCATCACCTCAAACATATCGCAGTTCCCGTCATTTACAAAGGACTCCGCAAACTTGGGGACATACCCCTGCACATCCCGAAAATGGACGTAGAAGATCCGATCACGCTCCCCGAAGTAACGGACAGCATCAATGACGCCGGGGCCCATCTCAGACCAAGATCCAACACAAAAATCAAGCCCGTGCATAGGACTGTCAACGAGCGATATGCCGTGCTTGAAACCTTCAAAGCTACGAAACAGACGAGGTATCCCCCCAAGGGATTCGACCGGCGGATCATCAGGATGGAGTGCAAGCCGCACACCCGCCTCCTCTGCAACTGGAAGAATCGCCTTCATATAGTATTCGTAGTATTCCCACATCTCATCTTCGGTGTAGGCCCGTCCGTGGGAAAGCGGTGCGTCCTTGACAAGTTCCATGTCAAAACTGGTAACAGTTGCACCTCCACGAGTGGGCGTTGTGTTGGAAGTCCGCCACACACTGTTGGGCATCCAATGATAGCCGAAAGTATCAATGCCTGCCGCACCCATATTGCGGATGGTGGCTGCCATATTCTCAATCTGCTCATCCCGTCCGGGCAAACCGAGCATGATCTTATCGTAAAAAGAGGGCGGAACATTCTCAATGGCGGCGAGCCGAGGATCCCACATTTTCGATTGCCGTCCGCATCTGTAGCAGATCCATAAATTCCCAGCGACCGTCGCCCGGCAGTGGGGATTAGCCATAACAACAGCCTCAACACCCAGTTGATTGACAAATGTTAACCATTCTTTGTCCACTTCGCCGAATAGGTACAAGCCAAGTTCCATTTTACGTTCCATAATATCTTCCTTCCAAAAATGAAAACCTTTACAGATCAAAACAGCTTATTGCTATCTAGCATCATCGTGACAGGTCCATCGTTAATCAGTTCAACATCCATCATCGCCTGAAATATACCAGCCTTGACTGGCACCCCCAACCGCGAGATTTCGTCCATAAATGCTTGGTAGAGCGGGTCCGCTTTTTCAGGACGGGCGGCGGCAATGAAACTAGGGCGTCTCCCCTTGCGGCAATCCCCGCAGAGTGGTGAATTGAGAGACGACAAGGGCTTCACCACGACATCTAAAATGGACAAATTCATTCGTCCTTCATCATCTTCAAAGATTCGGAGATTGGCGATTTTGCTCGCCATATAATCGACATCGGCAGGGGTGTCCTCTTGAGCGACACCGAGAAAAACGAGCAATCCCTTGCGAATCTCCGAGACAACCTTCCCTTCGACGGTTACACTAGCGGATTTAACACGTTGGATAACAGCTCTCATGTTCACCATAATTGTTTCATGATACATTAGTTTTCGAGTCATATTTGGCAGCCTGTCCATATTCTAACACATAGATAACTTCTAACGGACAAGATTCTTCTTCCTATCAACTACTGACTACTTTTGAGATGGCTGGATCTAAAAAACTAAAATCTTTCTGGAATTTCAGTTTCGTACACCTGACTGTGCCCTGTCCGATCCGATGTGTAAACCACTAACTTCCCATCAGGGCTGAAAGAGGGGTGGGGATGGGTATGTTGCTCGGCATAGACTTTAACCGGTCCCTTTGCATACGGAAACGGACCGTTCCAATGCTCACCGACGGAAGACGCCTCCGGGTTAGCACAATGTCACAGGTTCCCCGACCCCATCACGCGGATTGAAAGCTGGAGACCGATGTCGGGAAGTTTGTGTCAGCGACCATGAGCGTGCCTTGGCGGTTACAGATTGCGTGCCAAGCATTACAGGAGTGTGTAACACGCCGCTCAGTGCCTGTGTCCACGTGGATGCAACGAATACCGTGAGGGCCAATTGACGAACGCTAATTCGCGTGTGCCGGGGATCCACGATTCATGGGTGATCCATTCGTTTTTCTCAACATTACGAGCGTACAGCCGTCGGTTGTCACTACCATCCCGCCCAATTACCCAGACACGATCAGTGAGAGGACCCGCATAGAAAAGCAGATTTGAATCATCCGGACAGAATTGCAAGTGACCAACGCTGCCACGGCGGAGGATGATTTCGTGTTCGCCGGTCTCAGTGTTGATAATTGCTAACGCTGAGACCTCACCAACGTTGAAGCGTACAGCCCACCAGCAGTCATCATAACTCAGTCCTGTTGTTCCCACTACGGGTTGGACTGTGCTTCCCTGTTCGCTTTGTGTCGTGGCAAAGTTGACCAACTCCCGTTCTTCAAGCGTCTCAAGATCTAACCGCCACGCGCTTGTTCCCGCTGTGAAGAAAACGGCACGTCCATCGTGCGAGGGGTAAACCGACCAATCGCTGAGATCCGGACGATCTGTCAGTTGGATAAGCGAGCCAGTGGAACGCTCTTCGGCAAAAATCTGGGGCGAACCGGTGCGACATGAAATAAAAATCAGCCAACGCATGGCGTCATCGTAAGCGGGAATGAAAAAGAAAGGCTGGTGATGAATTGAGGGATGATTAGTCACCTGCCGGATGTTTGCGCCGGTGCGTGCATCCTGAAATGTCTCGGCTTCCGAGGGGTAAATTGTACCTTTAGACATCTTATCCCTATTCGTCAAACTTGATTTCTCATCTTCTATTCCTCTAACACAGGTCGGTCTAGCCGTGTATGATACGGTGGCTCCATCACCGCCCGCTGCCTCTCATTTGCCCATTCAGGGATGGGATAGGCAGGAACATACGCTAAGTTACCCGCCGTGTAGCGAGTCAATATTGACCGACGTGGTTCGTCCGATGTCCAAGGCAGCGTCCCATGCGTCACTGCCTCTGTGAAGATGATAACGCCACCCGCTTTGCACACAACCTGTCGAACATTTTCCTGATAGCTCTCATAACGCCGTATCTCTTGGGGGCATGGGAAATTGCTCTTGTGGCTGCCGGGAATCACTATCAATCCACCGTCACCCCGGATTTACATCCGTGAGTTGGAACGCCAGGACCGTCAGTCCACAGTGCATCTGACCATTGCGGAAGATGTAGTATTGATTTGGATCGAAGCCCGGTCCTGAGGATCCATGGAAAATGAACCCTTCCGCCCCTTTTTCCATTGATAGCAAAAACATGTGGTGGGTCCATCCGAAAACCTTTGCCAAGGATTTGGCTGAGATAGGGGACAATTCGTGGGTGTGCCAACATCTCCCGGAAAGGATTACACCACGGTTCTTCCCAATTGAGCATATTGCCCAGTTCCCCGCGTCCCTTATCACCTTTGAGCGCAGGAGATCCTCCGTCCAAGGTCTGCTCGCGGGGACGAATGTGCCCTTGGTCCCAATGACGGTCAAGGGCTTCGTTGGCGAAGGCAACCTCATCGGACGTGAGCACGTCCTCAATGACGAGGTAGCCGTTGAGGTCAAACAAATATTTTTCGGCATCGTTCATAGATTTATATCCTCCTCTTTTGCAGAGTAACGTTTGAATGGTGCTGCAATCTTATGATGGGGTTAGGATTATCTTCAACACTTAGGTGGATAATGAACTAAACTGGGATTGATTCGGCAAGCGTATCAACTTGAACATCAATTTACCGCGCCTTAAAATTGACTACCAATGCCTTTTCCAAATCTTCACGGGGGTGGACGCCAAACCGCTGCTCAAAATTCCGGTCAAACGCTGCCTCCTCAGACGGATCCTGCGGCAAGGGTAACGCAACCGGCTGCCGATTCAGCCGAACCGATCTGCCGGCAGCCAAGACCATCTCCTGATCGGATCGACCCATCTCACCCGTCCAAAGTGGATCGATATCCTCCCGCACAGCGCGCCCGATCCCGTCAAGCATCGTTGCCAATGAGATGTTACGCTCTGGGAGTCCTGCTTCCAAATACGGGTTCTCCCATGCAATCGTCCCTCCCAGTTCCGCCGGTAGTTCGACAAAGATCTGCTTGACAACGTTTGATGTAGCATATTCACGCTGAAATTCGTAAGTCCTCGCCTGCCCTGCACGCTCGGCGATATCTGCATCAGTGCAGACGTTAACAGTTTCCCCGCCCGATGCGCCCTGATTGCCGTTGGTCACAATCGTGCCGCGCTCGCCACAGGTCTCGAAACCGACCAATGGGTTCCGACCGAGACGGCTGTTTTTATTGCCGACCATCGCAATTCCGATGCCCCCGTTATCGAAATCGACAGCATAGAATTCAAGGCTTTCGGTTTTGAAGTCACGTTTGGCATGGTCAACGTAGGGAACAACCGGCATCGTATGGCTGATACTACTGACAGCGACAGGCGTGGCATCTAGCCGACACCGTATCGCAGCCAAACCGTGATAACCTGTCGTTGAAAAGAGACGATAACATTTGTGGACGGGTCCAATGACGCTTTCACGGATGAGTTTGCAAACAAACTGTTCAACCGGAACAAACGGGAAGTTTTCGGAGGTTTGCAGTTTGACGCCGTGTTTAGCTGCTGTTTCGATCATCAGGTCCATCAATCCGAGCGTCGGCGCGAGGGGCGTCTCGACGTTGTGGTGGATGCCGCAACGTGATAGGTAGCAAGAGACCACATGATGAAGTTCTGCAGGGCACGACAACATCGCAGACATCCGGTTTCTCACGATCAACCATCTCGCGAACATCGGTGTAAGCATTCACGTTGAACTGTGTTGCCCCTTCCTCCGCTGATGCCGGATGGGCATCGCAAACCGCTACAATTTCAAAGGTCTCTTTCAACGCTGCGGCAGTTTCGATATGCGATCGACCTCGACGACCATAACCGATGAGAGCATACTTCAAACGGGACATAAATTACCCCTTAAAATGGTGATAACACTGGATAGAACTGCGATGATGGCTTGTAACTATATTTGTCAGATTTTAGTACTATACCCATATCCGCGGGTAAAACGGGGAAATTTTGCAAAACTACATTTTGATTCCACAAGCAGTGAGTCAAGTAACAGGTCAGATACTATGCCTCAACCTTGCCCCCGATTTACTCATAGTGATCTGCGCCATGTGGGACACCTACCCCATTCTCCATCCGCAGCAACTGCTTTTGGCGATCTGTGAGTAAATCTAGCCACTCCTCCGGGAATTGATGGTGTGGGTCAAGTTGAAACCGCATCATCGGGCTGATCCGGTAATGCCCAAAAATTGCGTGACGGTCTCGATCGCCGGTATTCGCGCCGCCACCGTGCCAACACTGACCGTTAAACACAAGAACGCTTCCCGCCGGCGCGGTTGCTGTCAACACATGCTTGATTGCCATATCTTCAGGCGGCGGGTTTATCCCACTTTTGTGTGTGCCGGGAACGATCCGGGTTGCTCCGATCTCCGGTGTAAAATCGTCTAGCATCCAAACGGTGTTCATCATAACAGGGTTCTTCCCATCTTTCTTCATCAGATCCTCAAGGATGTCCCCATGTAGACGTTGCACCGGATCGCCGGGACGGACGATACGGGCGTTGAGGCTGCCGAGAATTAGCGGTAGACGACTGGTCATTGTTCCTTCTAGCAATGGCAAAATTCTCGGATGGTCGATCGTCTTGAAGAAGACCGGATCCATTGTCGGCAATTCGAGATGTGTATGCAATCTCCCCGATCGACACCCTTTTCCGCCATCAATCGGATCAGGACTTCTTTCATCTCCGCCACTTCATCGGGAGCTAGGGCATTCTCAAGGATTGTGAAACCGTAGACATCAATTTCAAATAATTCCTGCTTCAGATTGGACATATTCCTTCCTCTAATACTGGATTTGGCTTTCTTTTTTCCATATTTAGCCTCAAATCCCTGATCGCGGCACTCGCACCCTCGCGTAGTGATGCCTGAAGGCTCGAAAATTATACCGAACCTTCCGAAGGGTGACTAATGGTCAATGATTTTTCAATCTGTTTAACGTACACACTCGTAGCCAATCGTCTCAAGACTCCGGCGGATCTTAGCAATTTCGGCGTCAGGCAGTGGGCGGAGTGGACGACGCATTGTCATAGACGGGAATTTGCCCATCAACCAGCGTGCACACTTCATCCGTTGGTGTGCATCACCGCTCGGTTCGCCGAAATTGTACACTATCCGAGATAGCGGGTCTACTAGCTTTCGCGCTTTGCGGGCACCTATCAGGTCGCCATTAAGGGCGGAGTGCACAACCTGCACCATCAACTCTGGCACAAATCCGGCAAAGCCGATTAGTGCGCCATCACAGCCTTCCAACAACGAAGCCAGCAGATACTCATCGTGACAAGTTAAGATAGGAACATGGGGTGCCGCTTCTTTCAGTTGTTCATAGTCCCAACGCCAGCGTGCCATGTCACGAGTCCCCATCTTGATACACACCACCTGTGGGATTTTCACAAGTTCCAACATTTCCGCGAGGCTATAGCTTGCCTTCGTCCAAGCAGGATATTGGTGGACGATGATCGGTATGTCTGCCCCTTCGGCAACATCCTGAAAAAAGCCGATCGCCGTTTCACTCGTGCGACCAGAAACGCAACCAGTGATGCGGCGGCATCAGTAAAATCGCATCGCCACCCGCTTCCTTTGCGGCGATGGCATAGTCAATCGCCTCTAAGCTGCCTTCGGCACTTACACCAGAGACAACCTTTACCTTACCTTTAGCTTCCTCGGCAACGATCGCTGTCACACACGCGCGCTCACTCGGACGCAACGATGTAATCTCGCCGGTGTGCCCATTGCAGACAAGTCCTTTGACACCATCGACAGCTGCAAGTTCGCGCATATATGCCCGCAACCCCTCTTCATCAATTGATTCATCTTCATGAAATGGACAGAGGGTTGCAGGAAATACTCCCGCCCAGGGATGATGTTCTTGCCGGTTCATAATGTTTCCTTTCAATTTTCAGATTCAATCTTGACACGGTTCATCTGACTGTGCTATCGTTAACCCCTGTGATCGGAAGTTGGGGATTCGGAAAAAGCAAGCCGAATCCAATATTAGATGCTAAGACCAAACAATTCCGCAGCATTGCCACCGAAGATCTGCGTTTTCTCGCTGTCAGGGATATCCATCTCCTCGATGAGCGTCACAAAAAGTTGCGGATCAACCCAGGGGTGGTCGGTGCCAAACACCAGATGCTCTGGACCAGAAAATTCGTAAGCGTATCGCAACGCTTGTGCAGACGGAGAAACGGTGTCTAAATAAATGCCGCGCATGTAGGTGCTCGGAGGTTGTTTAATGTGTTCCCGTCCGCGTCCCATCACCTCCGTTTGATGCTCGATGCGCCCCATCATGTACGGCAAAACGCCGCCAACATGAGGCATGACAACTTTCAACCTAGGATGTCGCTCCAGCACGCCACCGAGTATTAGCCGTAAAAGCGCGAAACTGGTGTCTACCTGAAGCCCCATCATGGGAATCATCGAGTGGTCCTTGATCGCCTCTCCCCATGTTGGGACCGTGGGATGCAAGACAATCGGTAACTCCTTTGTCTGGGCGTGGTTGTAGATGGGGTCGAAAGCCGGGTCATCCACCGGGCGTCCGCCGATATGTGAATACAGCATAACGCCACAGAAACCCAGGTTGTGTGCTCGATCCATCTCATCAATAGTAGCGTCCACATCCTGCCAGGGGAGGCTGGCAAGTCCCGCAAATCGATCTGGGTGTTGCTGAATCATTTCCGCAATCGCATCGTTGATTGCCTGCGCGCCTTTGATAGCCAAGTGAGGAGCAAGCATACAGGGACCCGGAATATTGGTACTGATAAGTGCCATATCAATACCTGCCCTATCCATGTCCTGAAGCTTACGTTTGGGGAGGTACATCTCCTCTAGTAGCCGAAACTGCTGTACATCACCGTAAGTGATAACAAACTCGTTGCCATGCTGTGCGCTCGAGATGCTCGGGATTTCGCGCCGGCTGCTTCGTTCCCCAATCGAGGCATCCGAACAAGCCGATCCATCGGAGTTATCCTGCGCTGTGCATCGGAGCTCAATCTGCGGTGGATAGGGGTTTTGGGCAAGCACATCAATATACGCCCGAGGAAATATGTGGCTTTGGCAGTCAATCCGCATTAGAATCCCTCCCTCTCAGCAGAATCGTTTTTCACGAATAATCTAATTTAATCGAATCATCGACGGATGTCTGAAACTTTTGAATGCAAGATTCTCTAAATGACCTCCATTATACAAATTCAGATTAGGAAGTCAATAAGAAAATCCCATGGAATCGTGTCATAGCATCAGAGATTTGTAACAGTCCGATCCACAGTGTAACCAAGATTACGCTAAATACGTTTAAATATTTTATTTGAAGAAATTTGTAAAATCTCCTCACCAATACAATAATGGTACTGACTCGAACGGTCAAGTGGGCAGACCTCTATGATTCCCGACGAAATCTACGTCCAAAAAACAATTGAGGGCGATGCCGAAGCGTTTAATGAATTGGTGCAACGCCACCATGCTAGGATTTATGGGCTTGCTTATCGGATGCTTGGCAACCCTGATGATGCCTCGGACGCGACGCAAGAAGCGTTTCTTGAAGCTTACAAATCTATCCAATCTTTCCAATTCCAGTCGAAGTTTTTGACGTGGTTGTACCGAGTGGGGATCAACGTTTGTCAACAGTACAAACGCAAGGCAGATTCTCGTGAGCGTACATTAACCTTCTATGCCAAGGATTTTCAGGAAAGAGAAGGGCGAGATGCGAACGAGCATCCAGATCGGCTTCTGCTGAAAACAGAACGTGAACAGTTAGTACAACATGCGATTGATCAGTTGCCTTCAAAACAGCGGATGGTTATTACTCTGTTCTATATGCAGCAGATGAAATATCGTGAAATTGCCGAATTACTTGATTGCTCGGAGGGTACAGTTGCCTCGCGCTTGAATACAGCCGTGAGGAACCTCAAGTCAAAACTTGAAGGCTTAAACCTCCACTAAGCCGACGATGCAAATAGCCCTATAGACCGCAAGATTAGGTAGGGACTTAGATTGAGCAAAAGTTATAAGGACGCTCATTCCGATTGAAAAATATAGAAAAGGGACAGATATGAGTCTCGACTGTAAGCAAGTTATCGAGGATTTTAGTCTCCATCAACATCCGGACCTAACATATCAAAAAAAGATTGAATACAGACGACATCTCCTTGAATGTGAGGTTTGCCAAAACAAATATGAGGAGATGTTACACACAGCCGCTGTGACTCGAAAGTATTCCGAATCCTGTTCCTCCACCAGAACTTGTCGAGCGCATTCAGAACCAAATCCGTCAAACTCGCCGGCGCTCCATTTTGGATTTTCTAGTGAATCCTATTGCGCGTATCCTTGTTGCAATGAAATTGGGTCCCCATCCCACCTTTGTCAACTACACTGCGATGCTCTTTTACTTGATGTTGACAATCTTTATGGTCAAGTTGACGTTTTTTAATTCAACAGAGCCGCCACCTGTTGAGTTGACACGCCCGCTATCGCCACACGTTCGTATTGTCCGGCTCGGTGATGTGAAACATGCTTCGCTAAAAGCTGTCAGGATAGAAAAAGAAAAGCCTAAAGAAATTCCGATTCAGTCCACTCCAAGTAATTTTTAATAACATCACATAGCTTTCCAAACTTAGCACTTGATAAAACGTCGTGAGCCTCAAAGATTCAAACTTGGCAGTGCGGCGTTTTTTTTATTAATCTAAGGGGAAGGCATTGACAAATTTCCATTTTTACTTGCATAATTCTGCCCCTTATGATACTATTTAACCTGCCGCGAGAAATCCTTCTCAAGAGGAAAGCTAATCGCGGTTTTTTTGTGTATCATCTTTTGATGTTTCGTCCAGATAAGTGAAATGCCGGAGACTCAACACTAGGATATTGCATCTAGCGTCATTGCTTGATTACAGTTTTACTCTTCTATTTTTTTAAGAGTGGGGTGCGGTTTCCCGCTCTTTATTATTTTTACTAAAAGATTGGGTACAAACGAAGCCAGAGGATATCAAGTTGCTTTAAATCCAATCTGCTCGAAGGCGTGTTGGTGCCTTCTGCTAAAGAAGCCCAACCTCAGGCGTACGTAACACACTATGACATCTTCATTAGCATCCTCAGTTTCCGATCTATTGTCACCCGTTCTGGCTGATGAAGGAATTGAGTTGGTTGATGTCGAATATCAAGTTGATACCCAGACGTTAAAACTTCTGATTCATAAGCCCGGCGGTATAAGTATCGAAGATTGTCAACAGGTGAGCCGAATTGCGAACCCGATTCTTGATGTGCACGACATGATACTAGGCACATACAATCTTGAAGTCGCTTCGCCGGGACTGAATCGACCGCTTATTACAGAAGCCGATTTCCGCAGGAATTTGGGGCGAAAGGTTCAAATAGAGGTGTCCACCACGACCGAAAATTGTTCGCAATTCAACGGCACCCTAAACCAAGTCAGCGATGGAAAAATCTTGCTGACCCTGCTTTTCTGGAAAGACGGTTCAAATTGCAATTTCCGATATTGTTCAAGCCCAAATCCAACTGATGTGGTAAAGTTTTGGATGGAGGGTGGAGTTCATACAATGAATAATGATCTAGTCATGACCATTCGTCAGATTATGGATCAGACGGAGCTGCCGCAGACAATCTTTATTGAAGCAATCGAAGCAGCACTATACTCAGCAGCCAAGCGGCGCTACGGCTCGACACGAGGGGTGTCGATTAAAATTGATCCCGAGTTGGAGAATATTAGATGTTTCGTCCCGAAAAAAGTGGTTGAGATTATGCACCACTTTGCTACGGAAATTCCCATTGAGGAAGCATTAAAGGTAAAACCCGATGCCCAGCTAGATGAGGTTATTGAGGTTGAAATCGATCCGAGCGAATTTGGGAGGATTGAAGCCCAAACAGCACGTCAAATCCTTGTCCAAAAAATAAAAGAAGCAGAACGAGAACAAATCTATCAGGAGTATAAAGAACAGGAAGGCGAAATCATTACAGGCTACTTCCAACGAACCGAACGTGGCAACCTCATCCTCGACTTGGAGCGGACGGAAGGCCTCCTCCCTTATAGTGAAGTGCCTCGCCCACACGATTATCGACGGGGTGATGCGCTGAAGTGCTTGATCGTGGAGGTAAACGTAGATCAAAAAGGACCGCAAATTATTCTTTCGCGTACACATAATGGTCTAATCGCCCGTTTGTTTGAAATAGAAGTTCCCGAGGTTTATGATGGCTTAGTTCGAATTATGGCAATTGCGCGCGATCCGGGAGACCGTGCAAAGGTCGCTGTCATTGCGACAGATGAGAGTATTGACGCGGTTGGCACTTGTGTGGGCGTCAAAGGGTCACGTGTTCAAACAGTTGTAAGGGAGTTAGAGGGTGAGAAAATCGATCTCCTTCCATGGAATCAGGATCCCGCACTCTTCATTGCGAATGCCTTGCAGCCTGCTGACGTTGTGCGTGTGAATGTTAATGACGAATATACAAGTGCGGAAGTAATCGTGCCGGATGATCAACTCTCCTTAGCGATTGGTCGGCGTGGACAAAATGCGCGTCTCGCTGCGAAACTCACTGGTTGGAAAATCGACATAAGAAGCGAATCTGAAACGGATACACAATTTAAGGAAGAGATTGCGGGAGAATTGTTCAAACCCGTCAAGACTGATTCGTCTTCCTCAGCCGATGAATCGGATCCTGACGAGACGACCGATCTGTCTCACCCGGCTGGACTCGATTTAACCGAATTGGAGGGTGTCGGCACTAAAACTGCTGAACTTCTTAGGGATTCTGGTTTCTCGACAGTTGAATCAATCGCTCAAGCAACGTTGGAAGAACTCTCATCATTGCCGGGAATTGGTTCCAAGACCGCTGAGAAAATTCATCACGCTGCATCGAAGATACTTTCGGGTTAAATATAGCCAAGAGGGTTGCGATTACTCATCGTTTAAGGAGGATCACATGGCTGCGATGCCTATCCGTACCTGTATCGGCTGCCGGGGTAAATTCCCCAAGAAAGATTTGCTTCGATTTGTGCGGGATGCGGCTGGAGACCTTCAAACCGATTCAACGAGTAAATTGCCAGGACGTGGTGCCTATGTATGCCAATCACAAGCGTGTATTAATGTCACTTTCAAGTCGCAGAAAATCAATGCTCACTTGCGAAGCAATCTTTCAAGGCAGGTTATTGATTCTTTCAAACAAGAACTCCTTAGTCTGGTGAGTCATAGAAACGTGGAGGAGGTATAAATGGTGAAAAGTAGTCAAACCAAGCAGAGCGAAAGTACCCAAACCAAAAATAAAAAAATTAGAGTTTATGAACTAGCAAAACAATATGGGGTAAGCAGCAAAGAATTTGTCGAAGAGTTGCATGGGTATAGCATTCCCATCAAAAACCACATGAGTACGCTGGATTCGGAAACTGTCCAGTTGATCGAGACCCAACGAAACGCTGCAAAGCTACCCCCCGCTGAACCTCCTGAAGCCAAAGTTGAGCCACCTAGCAGGAAAAAGGAAACAAAGAAAGCTAAAAAAGTTGCAGCAGTTTCCGCTATTGATGAAGCACAAGTTATTGAGACAAAAGCAGAAGTCCCCAAAAAAGATGCAGCAATCAGTGAGGAAAAGACTGTCGCAACTGTTCCGCAAATCCAGGAAGGAGCCACTGTTGGGATCCTTGCCTCCGAGCTAGGATTTAAGGGAACCGAAATGATTATGCATCTCATGAAATTGGGGGTCATGGCGAGCATTAATCAACGTTTAGACTACGAGACACTGCAAGCCATAAGCAACCAATTTGGGTTTGAAGCTGTCCGTAAATTGACGCTGGAAGAGCAAATCCTTCAGGACGAGCCAGATGATGCAACAAATCTGCTCTCACGTTCCCCTGTTATTACGATTATGGGGCATGTTGACCACGGTAAAACATCCTTGCTGGACGCCATCCGACAATCAAACGTCATGGATACAGAGGCAGGGCAGATTACCCAGCATATCGGTGCTTACCATGTGGAATTGGAAAGTGGCAGTGTTGTCTTTCTCGACACTCCCGGACACGCAGCATTTACTGCGATGCGTGCTCGCGGCGCGCAAGTAACTGATATTGTCGTCCTTGTTGTCGCAGCAGATGATGGTGTAATGCCGCAGACCGTTGAAGCGCTCAACCACGCAAAGGCAGCGGGGGTTCCGATCCTTGTTGTACTCAACAAAATGGATGTCGAAAGTGCTAGACCCGATCATGTCAAGCGGCAGTTAGCAGAATATGACCTCGTCCCCGAAGAATGGGGTGGGCAGACCATTTTTGTTGAGATTTCTGCAAAGGAACGGATCGGCATTGAAGAGTTGCTAGAAATGCTGCTCCTTGAAGCCGAACTGCTCGAGCTCAGTGCCAATCCGAATAAGCCTGCCCGTGGGACAGTCGCCGAGGCTAAATTGGATAAAGGACGAGGTCCCGTGGCGACTGTGCTTGTCCAAAATGGGACTTTGCGGGTTGGTGATGTCTTCGTTGCCGGTCGTTATAACGGGAAGGTTCGTGCCATGATAAATGACCGAGGGCATCATGTGAAAAATGCACCACCTTCAACCCCGGTTGAGGTGCTTGGTTTTACAGGAGTTCCAGAGGCTGGAGACCAATTTTTTGTGGTTGGCTCTGAAAGAGATGCTAAAGCACTCAGTGAATTTCGACAAGCGCAACATCGGGCGACACAACTGGGACCGCAGAGCCGTGTCAGTTTAGAGGAACTTTTCCAACAGATTCAGGAAGGCGATATTAAAGAGCTAAATATCATCGTAAAAGGTGACGTGCAAGGTTCCGTCGAAGCGGTCTTTGATTCCTTGCAGCGATTAAGCGCAGATGAAGTCAAGATTAACGTTATTCACCAAGCTGTTGGTGGAATCACCGAAACAGACGTTTTACTGGCATCTGCCTCCAATGCAATTGTCGTTGGTTTTAATGTCCACCCCACGACTGGTGCCTTAATCGCGAAAGAAAACGAAGACATTGATGTCCGGACCTACAGTGTAATTTACGACCTGATTTCTGATGTTAGATCGGCGATGGAAGGACTGCTTGAACCGGAAGTCCGAGAGGTTGTTGTCGGTAGGGGAATCGTTCGAGAGTTGTTTAGGACGCCACGCATGGGTACGATTGCAGGTAGTTATGTAAATTGGGGGCGAATCATCCGTAACTACGCCCTCCGCGTCTTACGAGACAATCGCCTAGTCTACGAGGGGCAGGTTGATTCGTTACGACATTTTAAGGAAGATGTTACTGAGGTTCAGGCAAACTACGAATGTGGTATCGGTGTCAGTACTTTTGATGATTTCAAAGTGGATGATGTATTGGAGTGTTATACCCACGAGCGCATACCGCGCTTACTGAAGTAGAAGCGAAGATAGTACCGGCGAGTGCTTAAAACCCTTTCCTCTGTATCCACTGCGTTGTGCTTATGCATATTGGAGTTTGTACAATCTGGTTAACAATTCCAGATAGCCATTCGCTCAAACAGAAGCGGCAGGTGGTTAAAAGCATCACCGACCGCCTGAAAAATCGCTTTAACATCGCTGTCGCCGAGGTTGATGCTCTTGACAGGCATCAGCAAGCTGTGCTTGGGGTGGTATCTGTTTCAAATGATACGAAGCATCTCAATCGTGTTTTGTCTTATGTTGTCAACTTTGTTGAAGATACCCTGTTGGCAGAATTGACGGAATACCAAATTGAAATTCTGTCCTGATACGATGGAATTTGAGGAAGACAATGCCAGGAAGACGTACAGACCGTGTAGGCGTGCTCATACAAAGAGAATTAAGTGATATCATTCAACGAAATCTTAAAGATCCGCGAGTCAGTTTTTGCACCATTTCCCAAGTGGAGGTTTCTGCAGATCTGAAGTATGCAGATGTCAAGGTAAGTGTCATTGGCGACAAGAAGCAGAAACGGAATTCCATAACGGGACTTAAAAGTGCCGCCGGTTTCCTGCGGCGTGAGGTGGTACAACGAATTGGCTTGCGCCACGCCCCCGAACTGCGTTTTGAATTAGACGATTCTGTAGATCAATTAATGCGAATAGATCGCCTGCTCAAACGAATTCATACCCAAGAAGAAATTTCATCACCTGCCGATGATGAGGCCATTGAGCCTAATTAGTTCATCCGTTATGGAAGATTATCAAGCAATTTTGCGGGTCTTTGACCAACATCAGTCTTTTGCACTCTCAACACATGTCAATCCTGATGGTGATGCAATCGGATCTGAACTAGCACTCTACTCCTTCCTCAAAGACCTTGGAAAACAGGTCAAAATTTTCAACACAGATACCGCGCCAAAGAATTACAGATTTCTTCCCTTCTACGATGCCATTTTACCCGCTAAAGCTTTTCAGGATGACTTTCCCGAAGTTTTGGTCGTTCTTGATGCAGGCGTGTTGAAGCGCATTGGTACATACCTGTCTCGCTCCCTAGTTCCAACCAAGGCAACCGTCAACATCGATCACCACACCGCTGCTGATCGCTTTGGAGATTATAACCTCGTCGAAACCGATGCGTCATCAACATCGGAAATAATCTACCGGTTGATCCGACATCACGGTACTCCAATAGGAAAGGAACGAGCACTTTGCCTTTATACGGGGATTATGTTCGATACAGGCTGTTTTCGATATTCAAATTCGACGCCAAAGGCTCACCACGTTGCAGCAGAGTTGATTCAGGAAGGGATCTCCGTTGATGAAGTATATCGTGCTGTCTACGAGAGTTTGCCTATTGGAACTATTCTGCTGCTTAGCGAAGTTTTCCAAACGCTTGGTACGACACCAGATGGCAAGGTCGGTTGGTTGTATGCAACGCAGGAGATGTTCCGTAAAACCGGAACAACCCGCGACGACGTGGATGGGTTTATCAATCATATCCGCTCGGTTGACACCGTTGAGGTGGCAATCCTCGTTAGTGAGCAGAAAAATGGTGAATCGAAGGCAAGTCTGCGGAGCAAATCGTCTGTTGATGTTGGCGAAATTGCTGCCGTATTTGGCGGCGGTGGACACCAGCGTGCTGCAGGTTGCGAGATCGATGCGCCTTGTGAAGAAGCAATTGCACAACTTGTGGCGGCGGCGCAGCAACGAATGATGGATAGATAAATCTGAATCACAACAGGCATTGATACATGAAAATTTGTTAGGAGATTGGGTTAGGTTTCGCCGTCAGTTACGGGGTTGATTGTTTCAGTTATGCATATAAAATGGTGTTTGGGTTAATTGGACTGCTTCGGTAAAACTCCCCTTGATAGACAATGGGCATTCACGGTGTTCTTAATCTTAATAAACCTCCAAAGCTTACCTCAAGGCAAGCGGTCGATTGCGTGAAACGCATCCTAAATGTAAAAAAGGCGGGACATGGTGGCACGCTTGATCCAGATGCCACCGGCGTTTTGCTCATCTGTCTGGGAGATGGAACAAAACTGTTTGAAGCGTTACAAGCTGGCACAAAAGAATATGAAGGTACGCTTATATTGGGTATCACAACAGATACCCTTGACGCCAACGGACAAATTATCAAGACCGCGGATGCGAGTCGGATAACCCCCGATCAAATTCGATCCGTCTGCCAGCAGTTTGTTGGGGAAATTGAGCAGATACCCCCAATGTTTTCTGCGGTAAAGCATAAAGGGACACCCCTGTACAAATTGGCACGCCGAGGGATTGAGGTCGAGCGCCGTTCGAGACGGGTCTTCATTGAGCCTATCGAGTTGCTATCATGTAATATTCCTGAAGTCCGTTTCCGAGTTGTTTGTTCTAAAGGAACGTATATTCGAGTCCTTGCTGCAGATATGGGAGCGGCATTAGGTGTGTGGTGCCCACCTTTCAGAACTGACCCGCACACGCTCAGGCGTATTCAAAATCGAGGGGGCACACACATTTGATAGTCTTAAGCGTACCCCCGAATTTGCTTATCAAGCTGTGATCCCAATTGATGCAGTGGATGATATGCTGCATCGGCAGTTGGCATTGACTCGATGATTTTTAATCGTCGGTCTCTGGAGATTGAATCTTGCAGATTTACTATGATATAGAAGCCCCTTCTGAATCGTTTCAGGAGTCTATTGTTACTGTTGGTGTGTTTGATGGACTACACATTGGGCATCAAACGGTTATCCAACAGGTTTTGACCCAAGCGAAAAAATTCAAGCTAGCTAGTTTTGTGCTGACCTTTGACCCTCCCCCCTTGGCTTTCCTTGCTCCTGAAAGATGTCCGCCAACCCTGACAACCGTTCCGAAGAAGATTGAAATATTAGAGAAACTCGGTGTTGATGCTGTGGTTTTCGCGCGCTTTGATTCGTATTTACAACAGATGTCTCCTAATACCTTTGTTCAACAGGTTCTACTGCAGCGATTGCATGCCAGGCAGGTTATTGTTGGCTATGATTGGCAGTTTGGCAAGGGACGGTCTGGCAACGCCGAAGCCTTAAAGGAGCTTGGGGATCAGCATCAATTTGATGTAATGATTGTCGGTCCCGTACAACTTCACGACAAACCTGTTCATAGTACACGAGTCCGTGAAGCAATTGCACGCAGTAACCTTGACCTCGCATCTGAGTTTCTAGGACGCCGATACTCAATCATGGGCGAGGTAGTAAAGGGCGAGGGGCGCGGGCGGCAGATTGGGTTTCCTACTGCCAACATTGATGCTGGAAATCAGATGTTGCCGTCAAGTGGAGTTTACGCCGTACAGGTTAAATTAGAGGGCTGTATGTTCGCCGGCGTGCTGAATATGGGGACCAGACCTACATTTGACGGAGAAAAATTCCAGATTGAAACCCACCTATTTGATTTTGAGAAAATGATATACGGGAAAAAAATAGAAATCTCCTTCATCAAAAAGATTCGGACTGAACGGAGATTTCCAAACCCAGATATGTTAGTTAATCAGATTAAGCAAGATGTTACTATGGCTAAAGCTATTTTGAAGTGAATGAAGGACAGAAATCCGCATTACCGCTAAATCTCACTTAGATCGAAACGAGAATTTGATTTACAAAACGCTCTGGTTTGTGGTATATTAACCCGTATGTATATGTAAAAAACGTATAGCATATGAAAAGAAAATTAAGAGTTACGCACTTCAGATTGTAGGGAGCGTGGATCAGCCTTCCCTACGAAACAGAACCGGTGTCTAAGAACCTACTGTAGCTGCCCGATTCATCGGGCGTTGAGAGTGTTGTCCTGTGTGGCGATTCATCGCTGAACTACAGAGTTTTGAGCGTTCAACTGCGTAAGTTCTAAGAAAATATGAAAAAGGAGGTGAATTTGTATGGCGCTTGCAGTTGAGAAGAAAAAAGAATTGGTCGAAGCATATAAAACCCATGATAGCGATACCGGGTCGCCAGAAGTCCAGGTGGCAATTATCCAAACTCGCATCCGGGAGTTGACAGAACATTTTAGGACCCATAGAAAAGACCATCATTCGAGACAAGGACTGTTTAGACTCGTTAGCAAACAACGTCGTTTATTGCGTTATTTGTACAGACAAGATGTTCAACGGTATCGTAATCTGATTACTCAACTTGGAATTCGTGACACAATTTCAGGCAGGAGAAGCTAGTAAACCACCGTAGAACGTTGTGAGGAGGAAAGATATTGAAAGTTGAAATGCAGCTTGGGAGTGGAAACCTCTCAATTGAAACAGGAAAAGTTGCCAAACAAGCAGATGGTGCGGTTTGGGTACAATACGGTGGAACGGTTGTCTTAGTAGCAGTCGTCGCTGAAAGAAGAGAGTCAAATCTAGACTTCTTTCCATTAACCGTAGATTATCGTGAAAAATCTTATGCGGCAGGGCGCATCCCCGGCGTCTATGGTAGACGTGAACCACGCCCAGGCACAAGTGAACTCTTGACGGCGCGTCTAATTGATCATTGTATTCGTCCCCTTTTTCCTAAGGATTTTCAAGTGGAAGTACAGGTCATGTGTACGGTGCTTGCTTCGGATCAGACCCACCCCGCTGATGTGCCTGCGCTCATCGGAACCTCGGCAGCACTCAGTATCTCCGATATACCGTTTAGCGGACCTGTCGGTGCTGTCACAATCGGAAGGCTAGATGGGGAATTTTGTGTTAATCCGACCTATGAAGAATTAGAAAGATGTGAATTAGAATTTTTCGTCAGCGGAACAGCCGATGCGGTCATGTCTGTCGAAGGTGGAGCGCACGAGGTGCCGGAAGATGAAGTGATTGATGCGATTGTAGCAGCTCACCAAGAGATTAAAGAGATCACTAAACTTCAGGAAGGTTTAATTGCACTTTGTGGAAAGCCTGACCGCGAGTACAAAATGAAAGAAATCGATGAAGGATTGAGTTCGCGTGTCCGAGACCTTGCTACAGAAAGAATTCGTGAATCCATTGGCATGGACCAAGAGCAAGACCGTGATGGCTATCTTGAACAGGTACAGGCAGATATTCTATCGGAAATTCTTGATAATGTTGACACAGAAGAAGATGGGACCGGAATCTCGAAGGATGCCGTTTCGATATTGGGCGACATCGAGAAGGAAGAGATGCGCCACTCAATCGTGAACCAAGGAAAGCGCGTTGATGGACGGGGTGCCACAGATGTTCGAGATATTTCAGGTGAAGTTGCGGTCCTACCTCGTGTCCACGGTTCAGCGCTCTTTACCCGCGGACAAACCCAAGCCCTTTGCGTGACGACACTCGGGACCAAAGGTGACGAAGATGTGAACCGTTCCTTGACCGGAGAGGTTAGAAGAAACTTCTTTCTTCACTACAATTTCCCGCCATACAGCACCGGCGAAGTCAAGAGAATTATGGGCCCAGGGCGAAGAGAAATCGGGCACGGGGCTCTCGCTGAAAGAGCGATTCAGCCCGTCATTCCCGATCGAGATGAGTTCCGATACACAATTCGTGCAGTATCCGAAATTCTTGAGTCCAATGCGTCCTCCTCCATGGCGAGTGTATGTGGCGTAACCCTTGCATTATTGGACGCGGGGGTGCCCATTAAAAAACCTGTGGCAGGGGTTGGTGTTGGATTGATTAAGGAAGGCGATCGCGAGGTCATCCTGACGGATATGCTCGGTACGGAGGATTTCCTCGGTGACATGGACTTTAAGGTCGCCGGCACTCGGGATGGCATCACCGCTATCCAGATGGACATCAAAATTGACGGCGTGACACCGGATTTGATGCGAAGAGCCATTCATCAAGCAAAAGGCGCGCGTTTGGTTGTTCTTGATAAAATGGGCGAGGTTATTGATAAGCCGCGCGATGAGATTTCTCCGCACGCGCCACGTATCTATGAAATCAAAATTTCGCCCTCTAAAATCAAAGATTTGATTGGTCCCCGCGGCAAAACCGTTCAGGGTATTCAAGAGGAAACCGGTGTGACAATTGACATTGAGGACGATGGGAGGGTCGAACTTTCATCATTCAATGCTGAAGCTGCTAACAAAGCCGAAGAGATGATTCTCTCCATTACTGCAATTCCTGAGGCCGGCAAAGAATACGCAGGAAAAGTTACCCGTATAACAGGATTTGGTGCTTTTATTGAGATTATTCCTGGCCAGGACGGATTGCTTCATATCTCTCAAATGGGAGATGGGTACGTCCGACAGGTTGAAGATGTGATGAACATCGGTGATGAGGTGGCTGTGCGTGTCATTGAGATTGATGACCAAGGACGTGTTGACCTGACCCTTGCAAGCAACCCGGTAACCCCAGATGCAACTGCATCTGAGCGAGGGGAGTCACGAGATCGGGGGGATTCGCGTCCACGGGACAATCGTCCAAATAGAGGTCAGCGTGATAGTCGTAACCCTCGTCAAAGTCGCGGCGGCGATTCACGAGATCGGCGAGCACCAAGAATCCCCAAAGGCAGACTTTAGTACAGTACCACGATTGCAAAATGGGTGAGGCGGTTCGTCCCATTGGGCGAAATACCATCCATAGTGTGAGATGTGAGAAATCTCTCACATCTCACGAATTACTCGTAACGTTTGAGGTTTCGCGTTTCACTACTGGGTGAGAGTCACCGGACAGATTCTACAATATTTATTGCAGCACACTTTGGGGGTGTTTCAAATGCAAACCAAGTACCCCACCCAGAGAACAAGAAGGATAATTAACAGAGAAAGAGATCTCCTCGATCAAAATGGTTGACCCATCTCTTAACGTTTATTCTGGTTCTTCTAGGAGCCGTTTTTGTTCTCGCTGTGACCCGTCGAGAATGGTTAATCCACCAAGCGAAGTGGATTGTTAAATCCGTAATGCTGGGATTCGGTTTAGAATAATCCACCCCTTCCCTATCTAGTCCAATAGATACGGCAAATATTCACTCCGGAGGTTTGGGATGAAACTTCCTTTGCTTTTCTCATCCACCATGCGAAATTTTGTGCGATTCGCTGCTACGCTACGTAATGCGCTTTCGCTAGGCGTCTTAATACTGATCTTTGTCGTTTCGGGGTGCGGTTATGTGTCAACTTCAGATTATCTCAATCATATAAAGACAATTACGATTTCACCGGTTGAGATTCAGGATCCGGATTTCACATTTGACACCGCTGGTAATCCACACGATGAAGCTATTCGGAAAGCGTTCACTAACCGTTTTAACCAGAAGTGGCGCGATGGAAATGATGCACAGCTTGATATAATTATTTTGGATTACCATCTCGAACCGTATAGTTATGATGCGAATAATCAGCCTGAGCAGCTTCGCATGAGTTTAGAGATTGAGTATGAATTTAGGGATCGGGTCCAGAACAGAATCATCGATCGGAGAGATAATTATTTCCAAATTCACGATTTCTATGTTGTTCAGGGTCAGGGAGAGCCGCCAGAAACGCGGGAAGAAGCCCAAAAACGACTCATTGAAGAATTAGTCGATGATTTCTACAGTACGCTTGCTGAACAATGGTAGGCTGATAGATGCATGTTCTAGCTGCGCCGAGAATGCTCGGAATGGCACTTGTGAGACCATAGATTGTGACTTATCACGTATCTCGTTCCACGTTTGACACTCCACGTTTTCAGATTTCTCATCAACGGCAGCTGTATCTTTGGATCGTTTATGTACTTGTATGCTGCTGTTTCTTGCGTGTCAGACCGAACAAGGCAATTACACGGCTGTGAGCCAGAATGGTCAGTATGTCTATGGCGTTCGGAAAGCTCGAACCGCTAAGGCAGCGAAAAACCTCTCGCGTCAAATCGACCAAGCGTCGACAGAAGGACTTCTTCAAATTGATTCACTCTCCTTAATCACAACCGAAAAACCGATGGATTTATTGCCTGCAAATGAAGAGGCATCCCACTGGGTCAGAGTCGGAAAACCGAGTGTTGATGTTGGGAAAGATTTGTACAAAAATGTGATTGGTGGAAACCCCGAATTATATCACAGTTACGGCTTTATCGAAGGAGCCTCTGTCGAGTATCAAACTCCCCGACTCGGATCTCAGCCACTGATTCTTCTAGAGGTTTTCGACATGGGGACTCCAGAGAATGCTTTCGGAGTCTATAGCCGCAATCGTTATCCACAGGATGAATTTGAATGGGTCGGCAGCAGAGCAATCATCTCTGGACGAGAACTTAACTTCTGGAAAGGCAGATACTTCATAAAAATTGAGGGATACGAATTTGCAAGTCAGATTAAACAGGGCATGGTTGAACTTGCTAAAGCAACCGCTGACCACATCAAAGATCCACTGATAATACCACATCTTCTGACCCTTCTCCCTTCAACGAACAGGGTGCCTCATAGCGAGAAATACTTCCCCTCCGGCGCGACCTTGAAGAAAATCCACCGTTTCCTGCCCGAACATTTGCTAGAATTCAGTCCAAACGTAACCGGGTGCTCTGCTATATATCTACACAAGAAATCCTCTACCGACTGGATCGACACGATGACCGCATTTGTTTTACGCTATGAAACTGAGTCAGAGGCGCAAACCGCGTATGACATCTATCACGATCGCTTGGAAGTGAGCGCACGTACAGTTGGTTCAACCCAAGCCGGTGGAATTATCGTTAAAGAACAGTGAGGAGGCGGGAAACGGGCACCTATGACTGCAAGGACGATTAGTGAGATATATAATGAAGAATTGTCTGACAAACAAGTACGTCAAATTATTTTATTGGTGGCAAACAAATAGTCACCTTTCACGTTTTACACACTCAAAAGGAGATTTACCATGCGAGGAGATTTTGAAGCCTATTTGAATGACTCGTTCCGCGATGAGAACGGGAAATTGGATTTAGACAAGCTGTTAGCCCTTGAAGATGAAGCGAACATGGACGTTGCCGTCATCATGCCCAACACCCAACCTGAGCCGGACAATCAGGAACTCGGTGAGGCGATAAAAGACAACCCACGTGCCCTCGGTTGCGCGCTCGTCACCCCACCGAAGATGACCCCGTTGGACAGGTCCAGAAAGCCGCGACCGAATGGGGTATGAAAGGGATTAAGTTGATGCCGGCGGTTCACAAGTATAATGTCGATGATGAAATGGTCAAGCCGGTCGTCGAGGCAGCGCGAGACAATGGACTAATCGTTTCAATCCATTCAGGACCCGAAAATTGCCACCCCACACGCATTGGAAACGTGGCAAGCTGGGTTCCTGAAACTCCCGTCATCATGGATCACATGGGCTTTCCCGATGATCTTGATGCGGGCATCGAAGCCGCAAAAGCGAATCAAAACATCTCTTTAGGCACAACTATCCTCCGATTTCATCGCCGTTGGGGAACCGATCCAGACCAAGTCGTTCCCACCGAAGTAAAAAAAGCGGTTGATGAGTTAGGACCTGAACAGATTGTTTTCGGATCTAATATGCCCGAATATCGTCCAATCCAAGTTATCAACGCTATTCGTCGCCTTGAATTGGGAGACGATGCCGAAGTGCTGATTTTTGGAGATAATTTGGCTCGGATTTATGGATTGGCGTAAAACCAGACGTGACCGAAAAACTCAAACGCACCCCCCTCTATCAAGTTCATAAACAACTTGGCGGAAGACTGATCGACTTTGGCGGTTGGGAGATGCCTGTACAGTATAGCAGCATCATTGACGAACACCTAGCCGTCAGATCGAATGTCGGGATATTTGACGTTTCACACATGGGGGAACTCGAAATCCGAGGTCCCGGATCCCTATCACTTATTCAAAAGCTGATCGCCAATGACGCCGCCAAACTTGGTGATGGGCAGGTACTCTATACACCGATGTGCACAGAAACAGGTGGAATTGTAGATGACCTGCTCGTCTATCGTTTTGCAGCCGACCGATATATGCTTGTCGTCAACGCATCAAATATCGAAAAGGATTTGGAGTGGATACACACTCACAGCGAAACGGGAGTAGAAATCGAAAACCGGAGCGACAACACTGCCCTCGTTGCGCTGCAAGGGCGAAATGCCCCTCAGTGCCTTCAAACGCTGACCGATGTAAACATAGCAACGGTGAATTATTACCGGTTTACGGAGGGGGAGAATTGCGGGGATTCCAACCATTATCTCACGGACAGGCTACACCGGAGAGATTGGGTTTGAGTTTTATGTCGAAGCCAAGCATGGCGCAGATTTGTGGGCTGCCGTTTATGAGGCAACAAATGCCATCGGTGGGAAGCCGGTTGGACTTGGTGCGAGGGACACCCTTCGACTAGAGGCGCGACTGTGTCTGTACGGCAACGATATTGACGAGACAACGACGCCGTTGGAAGCCGGGCTACGATGGACGGTAGCCTTGACAAAGGGAGTTTTCATTGGTCGAGATGCCCTAATTCGGCAAGATGGCGAAGGAATGAAACGCCGCTTGGTGGGTTTTCAGATGCTAGATCGCAGCATTGCACGAGCGCACCACGCGGTTTATCATAAGGATCGACGCATCGGGGAAGTCACGAGTGGTGCACCAGCACCGAGCTTAAAATATAATATTGGCCTCGCCTACCTCCCAATTGAAGTGAGCAAGATTAACGCCAAAATTGAAATTGAAATCCGTGGGAGACGTCATCCCGCGAAGGTAATCAGAACACCGTTTTATCAAGCACCGATTTAGGAGAGAAAGTCAGATGTTTCCGGCAGATCTAAAGTACATGAAAAGCCACGAATGGGCGAGACGTGAAGATGACATCGTCAGCATTGGTGTCAGCGACTACGCGCAGGCAGAAATCCAAGATGTTGTCTACGTTGAACTACCAGAAGTGGGTACAATTCTTGAGCAGCACAAAGCGTTTGGCGTCATTGAATCCGTTAAAGCAGCATTTGATCTCAATGCCCCTATCAGTGGCGAAGTCGTTGAAATCAATGAAGAACTTGAAGACACACCGGAGTTAGTAAACGAAGCCCCTTACGATGCCGGTTGGATGATTAAAATCCGTATGAGCGATTCAGGCGAATTGGAGGAGCTCATGTCCGCAAGTGAATATCAAGCAATGATCGAAACAGAAGAAAATGAATAAATCCCTTCAATCCCTCAATTTTGCAGATACTTTTGTTGACCGCCATGTCGGTCCTCGTTCGGAAGACATTGAGTCGATGCTAGAAAAGATTGGGTATGCGTCGTTCGATGAACTGATTGGAGACGCACTCCCGGCAAGCATCCGTTACTACCAGCCACTAAATCTCGGTAAGCCCCAGACAGAGTCTGAAATGCTTGCTGACTTGAGGCAAATCGCAGCCCAGAATCAGGTCTCACGATCTTTTATCGGAATGGGCTATTACAACTGCATTACGCCGCCTGTCATCCAGAGAAACATCCTTGAAAACCCCGGATGGTATACTGCATATACTCCGTATCAGGCAGAGATTGCACAAGGACGACTTGAAGCCCTGTTAAACTTTCAGACGATGATTATTGATCTGACCGGACTGCCAGTTACCAATGCATCGTTACTGGATGAAAGCACGGCAGCAGCTGAAGCGATGGGAATGTGCATAGCCGCCAGTAAGCGCGGCACTAGCAAAACTTTTTTTGTCTCGGAAACTTGCCATCCCCAGACAATCGGAGTTTTGAAAACCCGCGCAGAACCGCTGGGGATTGAGTTATTGATTGGCGATCATCGGACCGCTGTATTTGACACGCCCCTTTTGGGTGCGCTTGTCCAATATCCGGCAAGCGATGGTACGGTTTATGACTATAGTGATTTCGCTGAAAAGATTCATGATGCTGACGGATTATTAGTGGTCGCCGCTGATCTTTTGAGCCTCACGCTTTTGAAATCCCCCGGCGAATTCGATGCTGATATTGCGGTTGGATCCACCCAACGGTTTGGGGTGCCAATAGGATATGGCGGTCCCCACGCTGCTTTCCTTTCAACGCGAGAGGAGTTTAAGCGTAAAATGCCGGGGAGAATTGCAGGGCTTTCTCAGGATGTAGAAGGTCAGACTGCAATTCGTCTCGCGCTCCAGACGCGGGAACAGCATATCCGCAGAGAACAAGCGACTAGCAATATCTGCACAGCACAGGTGCTCTTGGCAGTAATGGCGGGGATGTGTGCAGTCTATCACGGTCCCGACGGGCTTCGCCGAATTGCGGAGCGCGTCCATCTGCTCACAAGTGTTCTCCGTGAAGGATTGACGCGATTGGGATATGTGCTTGATGATAGCTGTTACTTTGATACATTCAGCATCGATCTGAATTTACTCAAGGAATCGAGTTACATCCGTAATATCGAAGCTAATCAACAGCCGGGGAGCCCGCCTACTCCTGACGATCTCTTGACCATTGCCCACAAACATCGGATTAACTTCAGGTTTTCGATCACTCCCGCGTTGGGATTTCACTTGATGAGACGACAACCATTCAGGAGGTCCGAGATCTCCTTGATATTTTCGCATTAGGGAGCCCTCTTCCTTTTGCGGTCGAAGGTTTAACTCTTCAAGCGCAATCGGCAATTCCTGAGCCGTTGCAACGAAAAAGTGCTTATCTCACCCATCCTGTCTTCAATACTTACCACTCTGAAACAGAGTTGCTGCGGTACATCCACAAGCTGCAGGAGAAAGATCTATCCCTGACCACATCAATGATTCCGCTCGGATCTTGCACAATGAAGTTAAACGGCACCGCCGAAATGCTTGCCGTCACTTGGCCCGAGTTCAGTCAACCTCATCCGTTTGCCCCTCTTGAACAGACAAAGGGATACCAAATCCTTTTTGAGCAACTCGAAGCGTGGTTGGCGGAATTGACAGGATTTCCCGGCATCTCCTTGCAACCGAATGCCGGATCGCAAGGAGAGTATGCGGGGCTTCTAGTCATACGCAAATACCATCAGTTCTATAGTGAAAGGCATCGGGATGTCTGCCTAATTCCACGGTCTGCACACGGTACGAATCCTGCCAGCGCGGTGATGGCGGGGATGCGGGTGGTGGTGGTCGACTGTGACGATGAAGGAAATGTTGACCTCCTGGATCTTCGGGCAAAGGCAGAACAGCACAGTCAAAAGCTGGCAGCAGCAATAATAACCTATCCTTCGACCCATGGGGTATTTGAGGAAAAGATTCAGGAGATTTGCGAAATTGTTCATCAGCACGGTGGACAGGTCTATATGGATGGCGCAAATATGAACGCGATGGTGGGGTTGTGTCGTCCGGGGGATTTTGGTCCAGACGTATGCCACCTGAATCTGCATAAAACCTTCTGCATCCCACACGGCGGAGGAGGCCCTGGAATGGGACCGATTGGTGTTAAAGCACATCTTATCCCCTTTCTTCCAACCCACCCGGTCGTTCCGGTCAGTGGGAAAGATGGGATTAATCCAGTTTCAGCAGCACCTTGGGGCAGTGCGAGCATCCTTCCAATCTCTTGGGCATACATTGCGATGATGGGAGCGAGGGGACTCAAGCATGCAACCGAAATCGCAATTTTGAACGCGAATTACATTGCCAAACGTTTAGAACCTTACTATTCCGTCCTTTACAAAGGGAGCAAGGACCTTGTCGCGCACGAGTGTATCATTGATCTCCGTGACTTCAAGAAAACTGCTGGCATCGGAGCAGGTGATGTTGCTAAACGTCTGATGGACTACGGTTTCCACGCACCTACTGTATCGTTTCCGGTTATGGAAACAATGATGATTGAACCGACCGAAAGCGAATCTAAGGCCGAGCTAGATCGCTTCTGTGAAGCGATGATCTCTATCCGGAAAGAAATCGCCGAAATTGAGGACGGTCAAGCCGATCGTTCCGACAACGTTCTCAAAAAATGCACCCCATACCGCAGCGCAAGTCACGCAGACCGAGTGGATTCACGGTTATTCTCGAGAAAAAGCAGCTTTTCCTGCACCGTGGGTCCGCGAACGCAAGTATTGGCCCCCCGTCGCACGAATTAACGAAGTTCAGGGGGATCGAAACCTGATTTGTGCTTGTCCACCGGTCGATTCTTATTAACTAACCCAAGTTGCTAGTTGCCAAACACTCCGCTTGGATAGACATATCCAAGCCGTCTCTGTGCGCGGGTGCAGTGGATTTGTCAATCCACTGCGAGCGGTGATTGGCTCACTTTGGTTCTCATTCACCCAAGCTATGACACCCCCTATAACTGGCAACTTGCGTTTAACTAGTTTGGTCCATTAATGAACTAATGAATTCTTAAATAAACCAATGAAAGCAATTATTATTGGCGCGGGGGAAGTTGGATTTCATACGGCTAAACTCTTGGTAGAAGACAATAACGATGTTATCCTCATCGATCAATCGAGAGAGGCTTGTCGGCGCGTTCAAGAGCAGTTGGATTTAATAACGCTTGAAGGATCAGGGACTTCACCCTCCTTATTAGTAGAAGCTGGAATTAAAGAAGCAGACCTTCTGATGGCGGTGACAAACTCCGATGAAATCAATATGCTGGCGTGCGTGATTGCCTCCCGACATGGTGTTAAGACAAGGGTTGCGCGCGTATCCGATCCCGATTACTTCGCCAACGAAACGGATTTATCACCGAAAGATATTGGAATTAACCTGCTGATTAATCCCGAACAACTCTGTGCGGAAGAATTCTATCGTCTACTGAATGTTCCGGAAGCTCGCGAAATCGTCGAGTTTGAAGATGGCAAGGTACAGTTAGTCGCTTTTCAAGTGAAGCCCACCAATCCGCTTCGAGGCACACCCCTCAGCCGTCTAGCAGATCACGGCATCCCCTCCGATTTACGCGTTACGGCAATTAAGCGCGAAGATGGCACAACAATTGTTCCCAAAGGTCTCGACTTCATTAGCGAAGGGGATGAGGTCTTTGTCATCGGCAGTCGTGAATCAACTTCGCAGCTACTTGAACTTTCGGGAGTTTCATTAAATCAAAAAATCCATCGTGCCATTATCGTTGGTGCCGAACGGATTGGGATATCCCTTGCACAAGCCCTTGAGAAAAACGGTACGCAGGTGAAACTGATTGAAGCCGATCGGGAGAGGGCTGAAGCCGCATCAACAATTCTGAGAAAAACAACCGTTTTACATGGGGACTACCTTAACCCCGGCTTCTTGGAAGAGGCTGGCGTTGACGGGGTAGACGGATTCGTTTCTGTAACCGGTGATGATGAAAATGATGTGATGGCTTGCGTCACCGCCAAGCAGCACGGCGCAGCTCGTGTACTTGCCCTAGTTCAAAAACCACGTTACTTACCAATCTTGGAAAATATTCCAACCCTCGATGCTGCCGTGAGTCGCCATCTGACAGTGGTCAACAACATTCTCCGTCTCGTCCGCCGGGGGCAGATTATTTCAGCAGCGTCCCTACGTGAGATTGACGCTGAAGTAATCGAGCTTGTTGCCGGACCAAATTCACAAATTACCTACAACGAGATTCAACACCTAGGCGGAATGCTGCCCGAAGACGTATTGATAGGTGCCATTGTGCGGCAGGATCGGGTTCTTATCCCTACCGGAGCAAGCGTAATCCAAGCCGGAGATCGCGTGATTATCTTCACAATGCCCGATTCTATTCCTGTCGTTGAAAAGCTCTTTGTAGAACCAGAGGCAAAACGTTTCCTTGGTCGAAAAGGTCGAAAATAACATGAACCCTCCCATGATGCCGTGAATCTAAAATTAGTTTTATATACACTCGGTAATTTGTTGATTTGTCTCTCTGCGGCGATGTTATGTCCGTTACTTATTGCCTTTTACCGTAGGACGGCGGATGGCGGATCTGACCTGCAAGCGTTTATTCTCTCTTTTTGCTTCACGCTTATTGTAGGATTGACACTCCGTCTTACGACCAAATCGAACCAAGGACTTGGTAACAAAGAAGGAGTCGCAGTTGTCTCGTTAGGCTGGGCAGTTACGGCACTGTTTGGATCGCTGCCGTATCTTTTCGATCATGTATTTGCAGAAGCTGGCAGAGGTTGGTGGGTTGAATTCTCGTTCTGCTATTTTGAATCCATGTCCGGCTTCACGACGACGGGAGCGACCGTTCTCTCCGAAATCGAGCATCTGACCCATGCTATCTTGTTCTGGCGCAGTCTGACACATTGGTTGGGTGGCATGGGTATTGTTGTGCTCGCTTTAGCTATCTTGCCGATGTTAGGGGTGGGCGGGATGCAGCTTTATCGTGCAGAGGTGCCCGGCCCCCAAAAAGACCGCCTCACACCACGCATCGCACAGACTGCAAAGCTGCTTTGGGGCGTTTATGTCCTTCTCTCTGCTGTCGAAATGCTACTGCTTTGGCTCGGTGGGATGACATGGTTCGATGCGCTTTGCCATACCTTCGGAACCATGGCAACCGGCGGTTTTTCAACCCAAAAATTTAAGCATCGGTCAATACAACAGTGTCTACTTCGATGTTGTTATTATCGTCTTTATGTTCATTGCCGGAACAAACTTTTCCCTGCACTACCGTGCCTTACGCGGTGATTTCAAAAGCTACATTCGAGACCCTGAGTTCCGTTTCTACGGCTTGACACTGTTTCTGTGTATAGGTTTGATTGTCTGGAACACAATGACCGCAAGGGTTGGAGGGCAAATTGTCTTCGACTCATTTGGAACAGCTTTGCGTTACGCCGCTTTTCAGGTTGCATCAATCATCACGACGACTGGCTACGGAACTTTCGACTTTGAACAGTGGCCCGCCTTATCACAGTTTATTTTGGTTATCCTGATGTTTTTCGGCGGATGTGCAGGATCAACAGGCGGTGGGATGAAACACGTCCGGCTTCTACTGCTTATCAAACAGGGATATGTCGAGATTAAGCGTCTGATACTCCCACACGCGGTGCTCCCCGTTAAGCTTGGCGACCGGGTTGTTCCGCAAGAGGTAATGACAAACATTCTCGGCTTCTTCTTCCTGTTCATCGGTATCTTCGCAATCGTTACCTGCATCATGGCGACCTTGGGATTGGATCTGATCAGTGCCGCTGCTTCCACTATTGCAACCATGGGGAATATAGGTCCCGGCCTTGGATCTGTTGGTCCCATTGACAACTACACGCATATCCCTACACTCGGCAAATTTATTCTTTCTTTTTGTATGTTACTGGGACGGCTAGAGCTATATACAGTCTTGGTTTTATTCGCCCCAGAGTTGTGGCGACGATAAACGTTAAAGCAGAAAAAACGATGATTGATCCCGTCTATCTCAACGTCCTACGCCAGATCCACGCACGGCTGTCCAACACAGATGTGAATTGGGTCGTTACAGGGAGTCTCGGTTTCGTACTTCAGGGTGTCCCTGTCCGACCCAATGATATTGACATCCAAACCGACAAAGCAGGTGCTTATGCAATTGAAAGCCTATTTTCAGATGTGGTAATCAGGAAAGTCAAGTTTTCCGCTACAGAGTGGATTAGATCCCACTTTGGTGCATTGCAAATTGACGGCATCGAGGTGGAGATTATGGGAGACATTCAGAAAATAGGTGCGGATGGCGTCTGGGAGGAGATTGTAGATCCGGCACATTATCGGCAGATGGTAGAGATTGCCGGACTGCTTGTGCCGGTCCTATCGTTAGAATACGAGTACCAAGCCTATCTAAAGTTCGGAAGGATTGAGCAGGCGAAAATGTTAAGGAGATGGCTGGACAGTGGATAAGATCACAACCATTTCATTTGACGCAGACGATACGCTGTGGGATTTTGAAGGCGTGATGCATCACGCGCTGGGGTGTGCGTTGGATGAACTCCGCCGCCTCGTTCCTTCCGCTCCTGACTCACTCTCCATCGAAACATTAATTGCCATTCGGAATCAAATCGCAGAAGAACAAAAAGACAGGGGATTGACGCACGAAGCGATTCGCCTCGAAGCCTTCAAGCAAACACTTCAATTTATCAAAAGCCCTGACGACGATCTCGCCGCTCACCTCAACACACTGTACCTCAAACACCGATTTGAGGATATTCAGTTCTTCGACGATGTACTCCCCGCGCTGAATGCGCTGCAGCGTCATTATATGATGGGTATTTTGTCCAATGGCAATACCTATCCAGAGCGTTGTGGACTGGCAGGCTATTTTCAATTTGTAGTGCTCGCTCAGGACTACGGCATCCGAAAACCCGATCCGCGACTTTTCGAGATTACTATTGAGCGTGCAGGGTGTGCGAAACACCAGTTACTACATGTGGGCGATTCTTTCCAAAATGACATCATCGGTGCGAAACAGGCTGGCGTAAGATCTGTCTGGCTGAATCGTGAGGGTGGAAATAATGAAACAGAGCAGCAACCCGATTTTGAAATATCATCGTTAAGAGAACTGACAGAAGTCCTTGAGAATTTCATGTAATCGTCAAGTGATTTTACATAAGCGTAAATCATCCAAAGGAGGATAAACATGCCACAACTTTTCGGACATCAGTACACTAAACAGCAACTGTTGGAATTGGTCGGGGATATGACCCAATTGGCAGGAGCCCGCCGAGCAGAGTTGGTCGAGGGCAACGAACGGGGATCTGATTTGATTGAGGTTTTCAACGCTTCCGGGCTCTGTTTTTCGATCCTGCCGGGTCGTTCCCTTGATGTAGCCTCCGCCCACTATAAGGGGATGTCCCTCGGCTTTCGGGGCAGTACCGGTGATGTAGGACCCGCCTTCTACGAACCCCAAGGCTATGGGTGGATGCGCGGCTTTTTTGGCGGATTAGTGACCAGTTGCGGTATGATCTTCACGGGCCATCCTGAAGTGGATCCCGAAGAGGAAAACGAGGAACTTGGACTTCACGGTCGTCTTTCCTTTATTCCAGCCAAAGGCGTTGCCGCTGAATCTGGTTGGGAAGGGGAGGATTACGCGGTTCGGGTCCGGGGAAAGATGCGTGAGGCAGTAGTCTTCGGTACTAATCTGGAACTCTCTCGAGAAATCTCTACGGTACTAGGCGAAAAATGCCTGCGGATTTATGACCGAATCGAAAATCTCAGTGTGGATCGTTCACCGTTGATGTTTGTCTACCATACAAACCCCGGCTTTCCAATCTTGGATGCCGGCAGCCGTGTCGTAATCAACAGCGAGAAGAGCACCGAATGGTTGGAAGATCGGGAGGTTAGCCCTGAAGATTACACTGTCGCGCTCGAACCGCAGCAGGAGGCACACGACGATGTATACATACACCGGCCCATCGCAGACGCGGACGGGAACGTACACATCGGGCTGATTAACGACAATCTACAACTCGGACTTTACTGGAAATTCCCTATTGAAGAGATGCCTATCGTTACCCATTGGCAACACTTCCACAGGGGCACGTATGTAACCGGCATTGAACCCGGTAATGTCAGTATGTTGGGACGCGCATGGAATCGCAAGCACGGCTATCTGCAATATATCCAACCCGGCGAAACTCGTGAGTTTCATCTGGAAATTGGCATTCTGGAGGGTGAGAACGAGATTCGTGCGCTGGAGCAACAGATTGGTGGGTAATCGTCCGGTTGCCAAATCGGTGAAGAACTACTTAAACAGATGCTCACATTCCCGACACTTCCATTTTTTCTTAAAGAACGGAAGGGGAACGCTTAGAATCGCCCAAGAAGCAAACACCAGACGGCGCGAGAATTTCTCATAATACACATTTTCTGAACCACATTGCGGACAACGAATCTCGCTATTAGCGTCACTTCCCTGATCCGTCTCAGAATCTGTTGGGGTTGACTCACCCCCAGCTGCATCGGGGTTCAAAACAGCTTGGAGGATTTCGTTTGCTTGCTCGACATCTGCTGCCTTTACCTGCACCCCAACACCACCAATGGCATTTGAGTAGAGCCAATTCATAGTAACGGTGTGCTCATTGGTAACAAAACACTCAATTCCTTCCGATTCCAGCCACGCCACAACCGGATCCGCTTCGGTGGGATGACTAAAATTGGCGACTGTGATGAGCTTCTGTTCGCCGGTATCGGCATCTACATTAACTGGCATTTTTCAACTCCTTTATCAAAAACGAAAAAGCGCAGATTGCCACACGATTAAGCCACTTTTGTTACATAAACGTAGTAAGCACCGATTGACTCCCCTGCATCATCAGTCAGAAATGTCCGTAGCTGCATCTCACCGGCAGTGAGACGGAACGTAAACGTAACGCCTTCTGCCTCCGGATCAATCGATTGTGTTGCCTCCTGATCTCCGACACGTAGACGGGCAGTTCTCAGATTAAGGGCTTTCCCGCCATGATACCAATCGATAATTTCACCGGGAATCCCAGCCGTAAGCGGCTTATCCTCCTCCTTGGGCCACCGTCGCAGCTCAAAGGCGTACTCTCCCTCCTCAGCGATTTCGATTGCCCAATATCCGTTACACACAAGCCCCTGACGAACCTGCCCTTGGTTCCAAGCGTGCTGTTCACCGTGCCAATCGTGGGTGGTCAAGACGGATTCTTTTTCGTTCTCTGTGCCTAGCACAATCGGGGGATCTTCACCAAAACGCGGCGATACTAGTTCCCACCACGCTTCGTAATGTCCCCGCAATTCCTCGACAACCTCCGGATGCTCCGTAGCGATATCGTTTCGTTGTTCCGGATCTACCTCTATATCATAGAGTTCAACGCCGTTAATTAGACGCCAACGCTGCGTCATGGTCGCGCTCTGCTTCCACTTTATCGGATGTTCAACGCGCTGAGAGTCCGTCACGATGACACGCTCAGGTAATATCTCCGTTTCGCCCCTTGAGAAGTGGTGCGAGACTCATGCCGTGAAAACTACCCGCGCCGAAATCAGCCTGCGAAACCTCTAGTTGGCAAAGGTCAATCAATGTTGGAAGTAGATCGATGTTTGCAGTGAGTTGGTCAATATCCATCCCTTCCGTAAATCCGCCATTGGGCCAATGCATGAATAGCGGCACACGGTGGCCCCCCTCATACTCCGAACCTTTCCTCCCGCGCCTTCCGGCATTAAAGCCTTCTCTGACGAATTGATCCTGATCGAGCGTACAACCTTCGGCAGAACCGTTGTCGGTCATAAAAATAAGAATGGTGTTATCTTCGATCCCAAGCTCCCGGAGATGATTCCTGAGTCGCGCCAGATTCTCGTCGATATTGACGATCATACCGTAGAAGTTAGCTCTTGCATCGGGGATACGCCCATGATACGGCTCGCTATAAGCGTTTGGGACACGGTAGGGACCGTGTGGGGCGTTGGTTGGCAGATAGCAGAAGAAAGGACGCTCTCTGTTGTTTTCGATAAACCTCATCGCCTCATCGAACCAGACATCGGTGCAATAACCCTCAAACGGTTCTTTGACCCCATTACGAGCATAAGTGTCGTCGAAGTAGTCATTTCCCCAGTGGTCGGGTGTTTGGCTAATCCCGCCGCCGCCATGATAGAGTGCTTCCTCAAAACCTCGATCGTGGGGTCTATAGGGATAGTTGTCCCCCAAATGCCACTTACCGAACATACCTGTTTCATAACCGTTTGCCCGAAAAATATCCGCCATCGTGCGTTCATCGTTGCGGAGAAGCGACCTACCGCCGATAGTATGCCACACGCCGGTACAGTTACAGTAACGCCCTGTCATAATACCCGCTCGTGTGGGTGCACAAGTGGGACCAACATGAAGGTTGGTCAAACGAAGGCTTTCGCTGTGCAAAGCATCCAGATTCGGCGTTTCGATTATCGGGTTCCCATGACAACTGAAATCCCCGTAGCCTTGGTCATCGGTGATGACAAAGACGAGATTCGGTCTGTTCTCAATAGAATCAGTAGGTGTTGGCATCATCATTTTCCTCATTCAGAGGGGCTAGTCGCAGGCTCGGATCGCAGCGATCGCAGCTTCCACAACAATAATCCGCCTCGATGGTCTCTCCGAAATACTCGCGTACCAATCGCCCGCGACATCCTTCTGCGAGCGCGTAAAAGACGATCTGATCAATCTGACGGTTTTTGCTGAGAAGGTAGTCCTCAAACCCCATCTGATCCGCGGACATCGAGGCAAACAGATCGCTGTCTTCAAGTAACTCAATCAACATCAAATCTTCCGTCCCCCAATACCTCAGATACCCTGCACTCTGCAAGTCAACTAGCTGCTCCATGAATTGGTCGGGACGCAGATTCAGTCCTCTACAAAAATCTAAGACGTTTAATTCCGATCGAGAGCGCAAGCGGCGCAGTAAAATCTTTTGTGATTCGTCGGCAATCTCCGCGGTCAGGCTAGACTCAAGTGGACGCACTCTCACTGAGAGTTTTGAAGGGACGTTATACAATCTCCGTCAGGAAACCGAGTTTCTCCAAGTGACTAATTCCGACGCGAATTTTGTCCGCATTGAAACCGCTTAACTCTAAGTCCTCCGCCGCAAACATCCGAAAGCTGCCGACTGAAGGGAAGGTTTCAACCAGTTTCAGGAGTTTGAGGAGGTCCGGCTTATTTGGCGCGCCCTCCTTGACGAACCACTCGTGCAACTTTCGATTGTCCGGGCAATAAAACAGGATGCAGTGTGCAGTTTCGCCATCACGTCCAGCGCGTCCCGCTTCTTGATAGTACTGCTCTAAGGTTCCCGTCATGGTCCAATGAATGATATATCGGATGTCGGATTTGTCAATCCCCATCCCGAACGCATTGGTCGCAACAACCAAATCAAGTCCATCGGGACCATCGTCGAAAAACCGATCTTGCACCCGTTTGCGCTCAACATCTACGCGTCCAGCGTGATAAAAATCAACGCGGTGCCCACGCTTCTTTAGGTGCGACGCGATCTCCTCAGTCTCCCGCCTGCGTCCGGCGTACACAATCCCTTTGTCCCTTGGCTGCTGCATGTATTCGTCGAGAAGCGAATACTTCTCAGCCTCCACCGAGACTTCACAAACACTGAATTTCAAGTTGGAGCGTTCAATACCACGGGTGAAGGATTTGAGAGGTTGAATCTTTAAGTGATCCAGAATATCTGTTCGTACATCAGGGGTTGCCGTCGCTGTGAACAGGGCAATTGAACTCGGATGCAATTCATGGATGGCGTCGCGGAGCGCAAGGTAGGAAGGACGAAAATCGTGTCCCCATTGAGAGATACAGTGTACTTCGTCAATCACAAACAGAGAGATCCGATGTGAGTTGAGCAGGTTCAGAAACCGACGACTACGAAAACGCTCTGGAGCGATATAGAGCAGCTTAATCTCCCCACGTTCTAAACGTTCCAATTCTGCACGGTACTCTTCCCAACTCAGGCTACTGTTGAGCAATGCCACCGCATAAATCTTTTGCTCACGCAACGCATCAACCTGATCTTTCATCAAAGAAATCAGTGGGGAAACAATCACAGTTACCCCCGGTAGCATCAACGCCGGTAACTGATAGCAGAGCGATTTGCCATAGCCGGTTGGGAACGCCGCAAAGAATATTCTCTCCATTCAAAATCTTTTCCACAACTTCTCGCTGTCCATCCCGAAAATCAGCGTAACCAAAATACTTTTGGAGTGCTGCGAGTAATTCATCTGTGATTTCAGTTTGGGTGTCCTCCGTTGAGTCTGTAGGGACTTCACCCGGCGTATTGAGAAGTTTGTCTACATTTTGGAGGAGTGCTTTTAAATCTTTCATAAGAAAAGAGCATCAACCAATCGGCTTCCAACGGAGATGCCTGTTACGAATTTTTATGCCCAATTGTCTCAGCAGCAGCGATTTACACCATTTGTCTTGGTAGGACCTATTTTATCATAACGATGAATTTTAGGGAAGTTTTCGCAAAACCCAATTTAAGAATTGAGTGCCCATTCCATTTTTTCATTCTTCAAGTACGGACTCAAAAGTGTCTGGAGCCGTTTATGGGCATGATGGAGATGCGCTTTGACTGTACCCTCGGATCGATCTAACTGCGCGGCAATCTCCTTCAATTGAAGTCCACCGTGATATCGAAGGTTAAAGACGTGCTGCTGTTTGGGGGGGAGTTGCTGTACCGCTTGACCAATGATTTTTCCAAGTTCTTTAGTTTCTAACCGATCTGGCGGCAATGGACTCGCATCGTTAAACACCACTTCATCGTTACCGCCTGTGGCTAAGTCCTCAAACGACAAGGTCTGTCCCCGTTTTTGTTGGCGAATGAAGTCAATGCACAGATTGATGGCAATCCGGTAAAGCCAACTATAGAATGCCGATTGTCGTTTGAAATGAGGCAGGGCGCGGAAGGCTTTGATAAAAATCTCTTGAGAAAGATCCTTCGCGGTTTCGGAGTTAGGCACATACTTATAAACCAAGTTATAGATCCTCCCCTGATACTTGATGACTAGTTCATTAAAGACTTCCTGTTCACCGTTCTGAAATCGTTCGACCAGTTCTTTTTCGTCAGTAGGCGGAGGCGTGGATGTTGAAGGTGCGAATAAAGTGTTGCGTTGAATCATGTAACAGTCTCCTTTGGGGTAGAGAACGGACAATGCGTACAAGTACGCAGAAGCCGATACCAATCTCTTTATTACACACTAACCTGTGTCAAATTGTTCCAACCTGTATCAAATTGATCTCATTTCCTGAGTTGCTATACTTTGTGCTTTCAACTTGACATATAGCTTAAATCTCGGCTATAGTAATGAGTCAGCCTGCCAATCCGGCAGGGGGTCCCCAAAATAGTGAGATAACCAATCCAGTTCTGCTTTGCAGCTAGAGTGCAAGTATATTGCCACTAACTCTTATGCGTCGATATAGTATTCAAAACAAAATTGTTCTTCCGTTCATCCTGCTCTTCACGGTGGTTGTTCTCGTCGTACCGTTCATTACGATTGCGCTTTTTGAGCGAAAATACGATGAACAGGTTAATCGTGAGACCCAAGAGTGGCTTGAGGCGATTGTGGGCACCGGCTATATGCACCAGCCAGAGAAGGTGAAGGAGGCATACGGCGCAGAAGTAACGGTTGTGAGTAGCGATAACACTGTGAACTACACCACCCTCCCCGGAGATTGGGCGGGTTTCACTGATGAGATGATGCTGGACAAAATCCGCAAACGCATCAAGGAATCGAATCGTGACTTTGTATCACAGAATGTGATAATTGATGGGAGACACTATAAGTCATCTATTATCTACAAGCATACGACCGACTGTACTGCCTGATGCGCCCTATAGATAAAATCGCCGATGCAAAACGAGATGTAACTTTATTGATGTTTGGAATTGCTGCCGTTGTTATCCTATTAGTGGGTCTCATCAGCCATCTTATCGGGCGGAATCTTACCAATCCGATCAAGGATTTGGTACAATTCACGCGGAAAGTTGCCGGGGGAAACTTGAACGAGCAGTATGAGGCGAAAACACACGACGAAATTGGTGACCTCACCGTTGCGTTTAATCAAATGACGCGTGACCTGCGAGATTCGCGGAATGAACTGATAAGTGCTGAACGCCTCGCCACAGCAGGAAAAATGGCAGCGTCGTTCGCCCACGAGATCCGGAACCCTCTCTCATCAATGCGGATGCTCGCGCAAATGCTAATGCGAAAGCAAGACCTCCCAGAATCAAAGCAAAAGCAGTCGATGCAATATATCCTCGAAGAGATTGAACGGATTGATGTTATTGTCAAAGGTTTCATGGATTTTGCCCATCCCGCAGTGCTTGACTCTGCTCCCCACAATCTGAATCAAGTTTTACAGGAAGTCTTGGATCTAATGGAGGCTAACCTGAACCACCATCAGATTTCACTAATTAAGAAATTCGCCCCCGACCTCCCACCGATTTCCTTGGATCGCGATAAGTTGAAACAGGCGTTTATGAATATCGTATTAAATGCTATGGATGCCATGCCCGAGGGAGGTACATTGGAAATCCTTACGTTACGGGGTTCAGATAAGGTACGTATTGATGTCGTAGATACGGGAGTTGGCATCCCTCCGGAAGATTTAAATCGACTTTTTGAACCTTTCTTCACGACAAAATCACAGGGAACTGGACTTGGATTGGCAAATGCGAAGCGCGTTCTTGAACAACACGGTGGGGATATACGGAGTAAAAGCGTTGTTGGACAGGGAACAACGATGTCGCTTTGGCTACCGCTATCCAGCGATTCCTCACCTTCAGATTCCAAAAAAATAGGAGAATAATATGGCAGAACAAAAGGCAACGAATATTACTTGGCACGAAGCAAACGTTGTCCAGACAGACAGGGAGCAGCTGCTCAATCAGAAAGGATGTGTCATCTGGTTCACAGGGCTGTCAGGCTCCGGCAAATCCACACTTGCTTTGGAAGTGGAAAGTAAATTATACCAGCGCGGACATCTCACCTACGTCCTTGATGGCGATAACGTCCGACACGGTTTGAATAAGAACCTCGGCTTTTCCCCGGAAGATCGGGAGGAGAACATCCGCCGCATTGGAGAGGTTGCGAAGTTGTTTGCCGATGCCGGCGTTATTGGGATGACAGCCTTTATTTCGCCCTACCGTACAGATCGAGACAATGCGCGTGACCTGCTTGACGAAGGGCGATTTGTGGAGGTTTTCGTTGATTGCCCATTAGAGGTGTGCGAAGCACGAGATACGAAGGGGTTATACAAAAAGGCGCGGGCAGGCGAGATCAAAGAGTTCACGGGGATCAGTGCACCTTACGAAGCACCGGCCCAGCCGGAACTGACTGTGAACACAAGCGATCAGAGCCTCGAGGAATGTACAGCGAATGTCATCGCCCTCCTCGAAAGCAAAGGCCTCATTCCTGTATCACAATAAGGAGATTAGCCCAGCCTCAAAATCCCATCAAACCACAGCATCGACGACAAACAGGCATAGGACCGTCAGTGCTAATAGAATTGCGGAATTTACGGGCGGCGTCATTATTCCACATATCTTCGACAGCATCCGTTTTGATGTTACCGATGATGTAGTCGTGATAGTCACGGCAGAGACTGACGTCGCCGTTGCTGTCAATTTCCATCGTCATGTAAATGCTGACACACTGATTGTAACCGAAAGCCTCCGTGTGGTCGGTGTAGTAGCGCTGGATCTCCTCGCGCGTGTTGAGTTTCGGCATCATCATCGGTGGACACCGCTCCGTCTCTTTCGAGAGCGTTTCCATCTCCTCGAACTTATCGAGGATGGCACCGTGATCAAAATCTTTCCACGTCCCGATCCAGCCGTAGTGGGTTTGGGGCTTGAAACCGAAACGGCCCTCAAAATCTTCCGTGTGTGCCTGCGCGGAATGCGCGTCGATCCACCATGTCAGGTAGAAAATCTGTGCATCTGCATACTGGCTCGTGAATTTGTAGAGATCGACAACATCGTCGATATTGTACATCGTGATGCAACTGAGCGGGACGATATATGGAAACGCAAGATTCCGACGCTGCTTCTCTTCGCTCAATGTTTCAAGCGCCGCTTTCACGTCCTTGAAGTTATCATAGTTCTCCGTGACCCCGGGCCGCTGATTATTGTGAATCTCCTCAGTTGGTCCGTCAACGCTCAGATAAAGAATTTTGCATGTTTCGAGAATATCGTCAGCGCGTCTGGCGAGCTGGGTCCCGTTCGTCACAAGCGAAATTGCCATGTCCCGTTCTTTGATGTAATGCAGCAACTCAATTAAACCGGGTAAAGCATCGGTTCGCCGCCCCAGATATACCATACGGGCGACCAGCCTGCATCGATAATCTGATCGACGAGTCGCTTGTAAAATTCAACGGGTACCTCCCGTTGCTTCAGTGTTTTTAGAGATTCGCCGAGCAGATATCCGTTGTCTCCCCACTGTCCACAAGAGTGACAGCGGAGGTTGCACATATCCGTGATTCTTAAACTCACTAGTTCGACAGCATCGCCTTTGCCATGTTTGGCACCGAGTGGATGTCTCCAGTTAAAACTCTCTTTTGCCATCTGATATTTCATGAGCGCGTAGGAGGTTGCCCAATCATCTGACATTGCCGTTGCAAGCTCATTCACAAAAAAACGGGGTGAAACACGACTTCGAATTGCCATAATCTTCCTCTCTGTTACAGGACATAAAATCTAAATGACTCGACTCATATAAAAAGAAAATGCAAAATGGGAAGAGAAACCGAGTTTTTTCTTGAAAACTCGGTTTCTGTTGCATGATTTCTTATGAGCGAATGACTTAATAAACTCTAAAATGCTTAAACTGATTTTCCTCCGTCTAGCGCCTTTGTTCCATCCGCTTCTGTGGTCCGTCCTAAAACACGGGACCTTGTCGCTGAAAGAATTTCGTACCTAACGCCGCCCCATACAATCTTATTCTGAAATAGCGCGTACACTGCGTTCAACCCCGCAAGCAACATCGTTATCGGTACAACTAGCGAGGCGGTTCGGAGGGTTTCACGTATTTTGGGCATATCTCTCAGCCAGAGGGGCAGGTTTCGCGAGAAGACACGATAACTCTGAATTTCAATAAATGGCACAAGGAGAACAAGGAGGAATCTCTCGGAATAAAATATAAACGGAATTGAACCGATCACAAGCAAAGCCTTCGGCAGAAATACCAGCAAGGTCACCCACCACTGCGCTTTAAGTCCCATCCGAAAGGTCATCACCATTTGCCGGTTGGTAAACTCTATGACCTGTTTCCATGTCCGCTTCTCAGTGTGGGTAATCGCGATACAATCCGGCACAAAATGAACCTTACGTTTAAGGTCTCTCACCGCATGCGTCAAATTGTGATCTTCAATGGTTGCGTTGTCCCAACGTTGCAATACCTTGCTTTTCTCAAAAGTGTCGCGACGGATTGCGTTGGAGCCGCCCCAAACCATAGCGAATGGGTGATCACCCTGAAACGCTATCTGAAAATTGATCCAAGCTGCCTCGACAAGCGATGCCGCATTCAAGGTATGTGGAAAATAAAATCTGGCCCCCACTGTTGCCCCGACCTCTTTGTCCTGAAGTGGTTGGACAAGCAGCGTCAACCAATCTCGCTCAATTGTCGCATCCGCATCAACAAAAGCGATGACCTCAACATCATCTGGAAATGCCTCGATTGCCGTCATCAGATTCTGCACTTTCTGTGAGCGGGGGAGGGAGTTCTCCACAATGTTCGGTGCAAGCAGTGTATGTGCATTGGGGTGTCCCTCGGCAATCTCAAGCAGATGCGGATACGACTCATCGTAGCCGGATTCCCCTTTTGCATGCGTGACGAAAAACACTTCATACGCACCTGCATAATCCTGATCCAGCAGCCGCTTTACATTCTCGGCTGTCTGATCATCCCAGCCGTAATGCGGTGCGATGATTGCAGCTTTTGGGGTATAATCTGGTCTTTTGGTATTTCTTTCCCGACGTGCGTATCGGAATGAGTTGACGATTAGCAGCACTTCAAAGATTAGGACAAAGTAAACTGCTCCAATAATGTATGAGACCATAGGGTAATATAAATGAAGTTTGAGGTAATTTGGTAACCTGATATATCTCATCCTAACATACATGCACGGATTCAGTCAATACAAAAATGGTAAGGAGAATGTGTAAAGTTTGTGTCAGTATAAGCAGGTGATGTGTTATCATATATACAAATGTTGAGATTATGTTACACAGGAGGGTTTATATGGCAAATCAATACGATTTTCAAGAGGTTGGAAGACTGCCGGCGTCAGACGATAACGTGGCAATCGCCACACGGAGAATAGACGCTGGCGCAAAGATTGACTACAACGGTCATAGTTTCACCATATCCCATACAATTTTAGAGGGGCACCGATTCGCAATTCAGGCGATTCCTGAAGGGGAACTGCTGTTGTCGTGGGGACTGCCTTTCGGGGTTGCAATCACTGACTTGTCCCCCGGCGACTATGCCTGCAACCAGAAGATCCTTGACGCGCTTGCGATACGGGATATTGACTTCGCACTGCCGTCCCACCCAAACTTCAAAGATCAGATCGCTCCCTATCATCCTTAATAAGGACACATTCCAGCACGGGAGCGCAAGTTTCTCGATATGACCACGACAGATCCTTCCTCGGCTATCGACGGGACGGAGGTCGAGGCGTCGGAACACGTAATTATATCGTTATCATGGGAACAACCTCCCAGACTTCTGGCTATGCGAAAGCACTTGCGGACAGATTCAAAGAGGTTAGTGCAAATCACGAAAATATTGACGGAGTTGTTGCCGTAACGCATACCGAAGGCGGAGAAAGCACAACACCCAATAACCTTGAGATGTTGCTTCGGACGCTCGCTGGCTTTACCATTCACCCTAACATCGGGGCGGTCCTAGCTGTTGATTACGGTTCGGAAGTAGTGACGAATCAGATGCTACAGCGCTATATGGGGGAAAATAATTATCCGTTGGAGGCTGCGCCACATCGCTTTCTGAGCATACAGGGCGGCTTTGATGCTAGTTTGGACGCGGGGGAGGCAATCATCAAAGGGTGGTTAGAGCCAGTAAACGCAATGGAGCGTACCGAGGAATCTCTCTCTAACCTGAAAATTGCACTTCAGTGCGGTGGCTCAGACGCATTCTCCGGCGTATCGGGCAATCCACTAGCAGCCTACGTTGCGAAGGAGGTTATCCGTTACGGCGGTGCCGCCAATCTCGCGGAAACCGACGAATTAATCGGTGCCGAGTCGTATGTGCTTCAGAACGCCAAAGATTTTGAGACCGCTCGCAAGTTTTTAGATACAATCGAACGATTTAAGGAGCGAGCGCGTTGGCACGGTCATACCGCCGAAGCCAATCCCTCCGGCGGAAATAATTTTCGAGGATTATACAACATTGTCATTAAGTCAATCGGTGCCGCGATGAAACGCGACCCGGAAGTCTGTCTCGATCACGTCATCGATTACGGGGAACGGATGCTTGCGCCGGGCTACTACTTTATGGACAGCCCCGGAAATGACCTTGAGAGCATTGCGGGACAGATAGCATCAGGTTCAAATATGATCTTCTTTGTTACAGGCAACGGATCGATTACGAACTTCCCCTTTGTACCGACAATCAAGATTGTCACCACCACCGGGCGATACGAAATGTTGAAGAACGATATGGATGTCAACGCCGGTGCTTATCAAGACGGTACACCGATGGAGGAATTGGGGCAGCAGATGCTTGACCTCACCGTCAATGTTGCCGCTGGCGAGCGATCTGTCGGGGAAAAGGCAGGGCATTCGCAGGTGTCAGTCTGGCGGAATTGGAAGCAGACAGCACCGGTCAATCCGAGACGGTGCTCTCTGCCGACGCTCCAACCGGCAAGCCGATCCCAATTCGGCTTGATTCCCACGATCTGAGCACTTTTAGTGCCATACAGACCGAAGCGGCTACCGCAGCGATCAGATCGGGCTGGTCCTGCCGACAAGCCTCTGCTCCGGCCAGATTGCCCAGATGATTGCCGACCAGTTAACCAAAAGGGGATCGGACGCGAACATGGGATTCGCGTTATGTTGCGTTGGCACATACGGAGGGCTGTGGTGTATCGGGATTGGTAACTCGGAAGACATCTACAGGCGTACACTCATCGGGCATCTGATTCATCCAATGGTTGCCCTCGGTCTGCCTTTTGGAACATGGCTGTGAAAAACCCACAACGACTACATACGTCACGCACTCACGGAACAGGATATCCCACTTGAACGATACGGTTGGGCGAGTGTGCAGTTGGATGGCGGTATTGATGCAGTGGTTCAAAAGTCGAGGATTGGTTCAGTCGATCTTTGGAGTCAATGCCCCGACCCGATTATCGCCGATGTCGGTTTGGAACACCTTCGGATTGGATTGACATCCAGCGGGAAAGTGACAGAAACGGTTGCACAGAGTCTGGCACATCTTACCCAAACCATCGCCGGTACGGGTGGAACGGTCGTCGTTCCAGCAAATGCGACCTTCTTAATTCGCCTACCTATGTGGCGCATGCCCTTAGTGGTCTCCTCAAGTTCCGTTACAGAATACCCTATCTTACGGTCAATTTATCACTGAGTCCGGATTTCATATCATGGAGTCACCCCACCGATCACGTTGTGGAGACGTTAACCGGGTTGGGGGCAACGGGTGTCGATCTGATGTTCGTGCATGTTGTCGGTCATCCCCTTCAGGCACACCGGATGATTCCGCTAATCCAAGCCACGACGGAGGAGACTACAGGATCAATCTATGAAGCGGATCTGGATCTCCTACCCGCCGATGAGAATTGGACGCCGGGGAGCTTTTCAGCACAAATGCTAGAAATTATCTTGGAGGTCGCCTCGCGCCGCTACACACCCAAACTCTATGGGAAGGGAAACACAGATTTCCAATTTACACGCGGATTGCTCGGTATCTCAATGTGACATACTCAACCTCTACTCCAGCGGGCCGATATGTGCATCAAAACGCACCACACCCGTAGGTCGGGCATCTTGCCCGACCCAAACCCCAGCGAGGTGATAGGTGTGGAGAAGCAACTTCTATTGTCATGGATAGCGATCCGGTTTAACTTTTCAACCCAATTTACATCTCTTGATTTTGCGCTTGACCGGCATATATGGTCGTGCTATATTAACCCAAGTTGCTAGGTTCTGTTGACATTTGGTAGATTGAACCCATCTTGATTGACTTTGAACGCATTACCCCGGTGGTTTAAGACAAATGGAACGGAGATCTCCGTTCCCTACGAATTGCCCTTGCTTCTATGTCCCGGCGAGGACTATCGTAAGGAACAACGATCGTTGTTCCCTACAACTGATTTACGGTGGGAGCCCGTTTCAGCGTTTGTCGAATTGGGAACATCAAAATGTCAACACGTCCTAGTGATGTGCGGCGCAATAAAGTCGATCCTTATACCCGTAGATCGGGTATCTTGCCCGACCTACAAAGCCCCAGAGGGGCGACATGTGTATAGCACATCGGTAAACCAATTCCCCAAGCCCCAGAGGGGCGACATGTGTCGCATTGGATTGATGCCTGATATATCAAGAAAATCACTCGACCTCCGGGCTATCTAGTAACTTGGGTTATCATTAGATCGTGCAGCGTCTTTCCACTTTGACAACGCGTCCTAGTAAGCTAATCAGGGGAGAAAACCGTGAAAATTACAGATCTCAAAGTATTTCCAGTAGGTCAGTTCATATACGTTAAAGTCGTTACTGACGAAGGAATATATGGCATTGGCGAAGGCTCATTAAGCGGCAGATCGTTGGCTGTCGTCGGGGCGTTGGAACATCATATTAAACCACTCCTGATTGGACAGGACGCAACCCGAATAGAGCATATATGGCAGGACATCTTCCGCGGAACGTTCTGGCGTGGGGGTCCCGTGCTACAATCCGCACTCGCCGGGGTTGACATCGCGCTGTGGGATTTAGCAGGAAAGGCACTTGGCGTGCCGACCTACCGGTTACTTGGTGGTGCCACGCGGGATAAAGTGCTGGTCTATCGGCATACCGGTGGAGGTACACCGGAACAACTCATTGACCAAGCGCAGCAACAGCTAGCAGAGGGGTGGAAAGTCTTACGCATCTCACCCATTGATACGATTGAGGGCGGATTCAATCAAAAACTTGCAGTCATGCGCGGAGTTGAGCATTTTAGTGCGTTGCGGAAGGCAATCGGTGACGAGGCTGAGGTTATTTTTGAGGTGCATACCCGCTTGACGCCAACCCGCGCCATCGAGTTGTGCAACGCCATTGAGGAATATCATCCATTCTTTGTCGAAGACCCCATCCGTTCCGAGAATCCAGCGTCCTTTGCGACGCTACGCGAGCACACAAATGTCCCGATTGGCACCGGTGAACAACTTCCGACGAAATGGATGTTCCGAGAACTGATCGAGCAGGAATTAATCGATTATATTCGGGTGGACATCTGTCACACCGGCGGAATCACCGAAGGGAAGAAAATCGCGACGATGGCGGAAGTCCATTATCAAGAACTAGCGTGTCATTATACCTCAAGTCCTGTTAGCTCGGCAGCGATGTTACATCTGAATATGTCGATTCCCAACTGTGCGGTGCAAGAATACGCCCCATCGTCAGGTTGGATGGACGAAGTCATCCAACATGATCTGCGAACAGAAGATGGCTATCTCCTCGCCCCTGAAGCACCGGGCTTGGGAATTGACCTGAACGAAGAAGCCGCAGCCGCGTACCCGCCCACACCGGGTGAACCCCCACATTTGCGACGGGAGGATGGTTCGGTTCAGGATTGGTAATTACTTGAATTGCTCATCTACACAACAGGAGATACGGAATGCTGTTTCCCCATCTTTTTTCCCCAATAAAGGTTGATTCACTAGAACTAAAAAACCGCGTCGTTTTGGCACCGCTTGATGTCGGGCTGCACGATCCAGAGGGACAAGTCACCGACCGTTATATAGACTTTCTGGTTGAGCGGGCAAAGGGCGAAACCAGCCTGATCATCACTGAATTCACTTCCGTTTGGCCCGAACAACGTGTGATTACTACAGCGGTTTGGGATGATAAATTCGTCCCAGGGCTTACGCGCATGGCAGATGCAGTCAAAGATGCTGGATCCAAGATATTCATGCAGATCGCTGTACTGGGCGGAAAATCTTATGTTGAACCGTTTGCACCCTCCGCAATCGAAAGCGAACTCTACACCGAGGTGCCGCGCGAAATGACGGTGGATGATATTAAAAGGGTGATAGAAGCGTTCATCTTGGGGGCAACGCGGGCGAAACGAGCCGGTTTCGACGGGGTGGAATATCACTGTGCACATTCCTATCTCGGTGGACAGTTTATATCGCCCCACACAAATCAGCGGGATGATGACTATGGCGGCGATTTTGAACGGCGTATGCGGTTCGGTGCCGAGATTGTCACAGGGATTAAGCAGGTCTGTGGTGAAGATTTTCCGGTCGGTTTTAAGTTCAGTGCACACGAACATCTTCATGGCGGCGTGAATGACCGATACGACGAAGACGTGAAAGATGACCTCCATCTACAGATTGCGGAATATATGGAGAATCTCGGTGTCGCCTACCTGCACGTAGCAACCACTTCCGCGACGATTATGCAAGTCAAAGGGTTCGTGGAATGTACCCACCCATCTGTGCCGCCGCTTTATATCAAGCCCAACACGCTGGTTGATTTGGCAGAGGAAGTTAAGCAAAACGGTGCTAAAATCCCCGTTATTGCCACGGGCGGAATTACTGACCCGGCACATGCGGAGGAGATTATTGCGCAGGAACGCGCTGATATGGTCGCGCTTGGTCGTACGCTGATCGCTGATCCGCACTGGGCAAAGAAAGCACGTGCAGGCGAGAATATTGTTCCATGTATTCGATGCAATTTTTGCCACACCTTTGTGGTCATGGATCGCGGCGGCGTGCAGTGCACGACGAATCCCATCGTGGGCAGAGAAAAACTGATTGCGTTCAACAAAACGGATTCCCCCAAAAAGGTGGTCGTCGTCGGAGCAGGTCCCGGCGGTCTAGAGGCAGGTTTGCGTGCTAAGGAGATGGGGCATGATGTTGTCGTATACGAAAAACGGGATGTGATTGGTGGAGAGATGATTTCAGCATCGATCCCCGATTTCAAGTGGGATGTTAAACGTTTGCTCCAGTACTATATTACGGAAGTTCAGAAGGTCGGCTTAGAGGTTCGGACCAGCACGACCGTAACGCTGGACACACTAAAAGCCGACGCTCCGGATGTAGTTATCCTTGCGACAGGCGGCGAGGCGATTATTCCAGATATCCCGGAATTGATGGAGACAATGTTATCACCGGCATTGATGCAATAGTGCGCTGGGACGAACTGGAGGTCGGTGAGCGAGTCATGGTGCTTGGTGCAGGTCTTGTCGGATATGAGGTTGCATGGTTTGTCGCACAGCAGGGACGCGATGTTGTGCTGGTTTCACGCCGAAGCGAGGAAGATGTAATCAAATTAAAAGAACACGGCACGAACTTAGCTGCGCTTAGAAAAGGCGTCCGGGATTCAGGGGTAAAGATATTGGCAAGCTCGTGAACTGAAGCAGGTTAATAAAACAGGTGCTGTGCTGACCACGAGCGATGGAACGGAGGAGTTCCATTCCATTGATAGCCTGATAATCAGTCGCGGCTATACGCCACGAAGGGGGCTCAAACAGGATATTGAAGCCGCCGACCTGCGATGTGAGGTTTACGAGGTGGGAGATTGCCTTGAGGTCCGAAATTTCTTTGATGCAATTAATGAAGGCGCGCATGTCGTCCGGGAAAAACTTGGATAATTGATACCGCATCAAAGCGTGTGTAGGGGCAATCCCCCGATAGATCGGGATGCAAGCACTTGTGGTTGCCCTCATTCCGATGTAACATCGTAGAACTAGGGCAGGTCTTGTGTCTCCCTGCTTTCGCTCCAGAGGAGCGATATGTCTATAGAAGGACGATAGGTCTGCGTTCCAGTTGCTTTGAATCCCGATCTTATCGGGGAGGAGCGCAATGTGTAAGCAGAGCGTATTTACACTAATACCCTAAGCCCCAGCAGGGCGATATGTATATAGCAAGGGCGAACCGCTTCTGTCCAAGCCCCAGCGGGCGACATGTGTATAAAAAATCGGACATCTACACACTTAAAGCTCCAACGGGATGAAAAATGGCAACTTACGTTACTAATAATGGAGGAATAATAATGCATTTGAGATGGAGGTGCCCCAAAATTGGAAGGGGGGTTGTCATCTGGTTTCTAGTAGTTGTTTTGGGAAGCGGGGGAATTGTCTTGGAAAGTGCCGCAGAACACGATTGGACAGATCAGATTGCCGCTTTCAAACCGATGGTTGTGAATGTCGAGACCTCTTCGGAGGTTGTGTTTGAAACAGAGGCGAAAGGGACTAGTTTCGCCACCGGCTTCATTGTTGATGCAGCACAAGGGATTATCGCAACCAATCGGCATGTCACCGGCAGCAGCCCGTCTTATGTCAAGATCAACTTCTACGATGGCAGCTTTACAGAAGCACAGGTGCTTTACTATGATCCGACCCACGACTTCGGCTTTTATAAGATTGATCCCGAAGAGGTCCTGTTTGAAATCCAAGCTGTGCAACTCGGTTCGTGGCACGATCTCGCGCTGGGGGATGAACTGCTCCTCATCGGTAATAACGAGAAGGAAGAGTATTCTATCAAGGATGGCAAGGTTGCCAATCTCAACGTGAACAAAGGGATCGGCATTCCAGCTACATCCATACAACATTGATCGCACAGGCGGATCAGAGTGGTAGTCCGGTATGGAACACAAAAGGCGAAGGTCATCGCCATCCATATGCGCGCGGCACGATACCTCTAGCTTTGAACTACCAATCAATTATATAATTGATGCCCTCAAACAGATCCAACACGATGAGACAATCCAACGCGGGGAGTTGGCGTGTGACTTAGAATTGATCTCGATTGGAGAGTGCGATTAAGCATTTTGGGCTACCCTAAGCATCCCGCGCAGAGATTGGTCCCCAGATTCACAGAACGCCGAAGGTGATTCAGATTGAGTCGATTATTCCCAAAACAACAGGCGGAGCAAACCTTCTCGCTTCCGATATTATCTACAGGATTAATGGAAATTTAATTCGTGACGATCTGTATACTTTTGATGCAATCCTCAACGAAAACGCCGGGAAAAGTGTGACCTTGGATATCTATCGCAACGGAAAGGCTGTGACGGTCGAAGTTTCGGTAGAAGATATGGAGTTAAAGAAAGTTCGCCGGTTTGTCCGATTCGCCGGATCCATCTTCCACGACATAACACCTCAACTCAGGCATCTGCTTTACTTTGAGGCGGATGGGGTGTACCTCCCACATGCAGATGCGGGGAGTAGCTTTTCCCGTGTTGGCATCCGCGAACGCAGCGGCAACTCAAAAGTAGTTATTCAGGAAATTAATGGACGAGCGATTAGGAATCTTGACGATTTTATCGTTGCCTGTGCAGAGATTTCGGGTGGACAACATACCTATGTGGTCGTCCGCGACTTCAATCGTTTTGACAGTTCACCGACCCCCAGAAGTTTGACGATTAACCTGAAATTTGGGCAGCTTGACGTATTTGAGTGGAATGAGAGCAACCTCGATTGGGAAAAAGTCGAAGAATGAGACCCTGAAGGTAATATGTATTTTGATGGAAGGAAATGAGATGCGTTATAAACCCGTTTCTGCAATTTTTGCAGTAATTTGCTTGATGTTGTGCTCGCTCGGTCCGGCGATTGGGGACATTGAAATTGATATCTTCTTACTGACACCGAATTTCTTTTTCGATAGTAAGGAACACGCATGGGGAGGTGTCGGCAAATCGGTGCCGGTGTGACCAACCGCAGAGCATATGAGGCAAAAGCCAAAGCCATCGCTGAACTCATTGATACACACGAAGCGAATATCGTCGGTCTCGTTGAGATCGAGAACCGCGCTGTCCTCGAAAAGTCAGATCTTACTCGCGAGCCCGACGACTGGGCAAATCGCTTTCGATGAAGGCAGGGATACCTATACCGGTCAAGATGTCGCGATCCTCACGAATTTCGAGTTGTGCCGGGGAGCGCGACGATTTTCCGGAATGAGCGTGAGATTTACTTTGTGGATGACCAAGAGTACGATGTAAACCCCTCAAAGATTCTCGGTGTCGAACTGAAGATTGACAACCAACCGTTCTATGTCCTAATCACTCACCTCATTTCTCGTCGTGATTCGAACGACGCCAAGCGGCTTGCACAAGCTACTGTCGTGCGTCGCAGCTGTCAAGGGATTGATGACGGAATAGAATGTCATCGTCATGGGGGACATGAACGACACACCGGCAACACCGGTGGTTAACCGCTCCGCGGGTTCGATGACATTTGGGTGATTTCCTTCAGACCGCCAATGCAGCTGACGCGAGGAGAGGTATACATACATCCACGAGTGTCAGAGAAATCTGCTCGACCACATCCTCATCAGTCCAAGCCTACGGAATGAGTTTCGCAGTGTTTGAGGAGACGGAGCGATGTAAAATTATTGATGTCGGTGGGCTATCGGATCACCGCGCAATCCTTGCACAGTTGCGGATTGTCCATCCTGTTGTTGTGCTTGAAACGGACAAAGGCACGGTCGAAATGGAACTCTACCCAGACATCGCCCCGAAAACCGTTGCTAACTTTACCAAGCTAATTGAAATGGAATTTTACGATGGCCTCACCTTTCATCGGTATGTGGAGAACTTTGTGATTCAGGGCGGCGATCCGGAGGGTAGTGGCAGTGGTGGGCCCGGGTGGACGATTCCGGGCGAGTTTCAAAATCCCAAACTCCGAGCGAAGATGCCCCGACACCGAAAAGGGGTCGTTGCTATGGCACGAGCGAACAAACCAGACTCCGCAGGCAGCCAATTTTACATCTGCTTGGACACAAAGCCATCTCGCTATTTTAGCCTCAACGGTCAGTACACCACCTTTGGGAAAATCATTGCTGGAATGGATGTGGTCGATCAGCTTGGCAAAGGAGATGTGATGAACACAGTGCGTCTAAAGGGAAAAAACGAAGAATTATCCCCGCCAACCGAGGTCCAAACATCTCAATAGGAGATTGGCATAACCCATGTTGCTAGATTCTGTAGGTCGATTTTCCAAAATCGACATGCTGTGTCGAGATATGAATCTCAACCTACGGGTTACAACTAATATCCGTAGGTCGGGCATCCCCGATAAATCGGGATTTTCAACTTGCCTGACCCATAGACCCAGCGGTGCGACATATGTTAAAGCAGAAAGGGAGAAAACAAGAGATATTGATCTTTGCTCACTCTCTCACCTGCTCACTTTCATTCTTCGGTCCAGCGGGGCGACATGTGTGTCTTTCGCTCCAGCGGAGCGATATGTCTGTAGAACGTTGATAGATCCAATCCTCGCGCTCCAGAGGAGCGCAATGTGTATAGCAAGAATTTTTACGTCAATTACAAAGAAGATAATCTACCAACAACATCTAAGAACCTGTTTTAAAAGTCATTTGATACGGTTTCGCATCAAATAAATGGAGGCAATATATACCATAGCCTCAGCGGTCTCAGCCGAGCGTTCATAGTCCAAAGTCAATCGGCGAAACCAACCGAACCAAGAAAAGGTGCGCTCCACAATCCAACGCAATGGGACGACCACAAATCCCGATTGCCCCAGAGATGGAGCGATATCCAATTGACACTGATGCGTTAAATATAACCAGTCGCCTAATTCTCCGCGATAGCCAGCATCCGCACAGACTAACTGAATCGTTATCTGCCAACTAAAGACCTCTTTTAGTAACTCTATTGCGACTCGATTATCACTGACATTGGCATCAGTGACCTTGACTCCCAATGGAATGCCAATTGTATCGGTGACTATATGGCGTTTACGACCTTTGACTTTCTTATGCGCATCAAACCCTCTACTATTTGCCAGTTCGGTCGTCTTGACGGATTGGCTGTCAATGATAGCTACTGTGGTGAGGGGGCTTTGCCAATATCACAACGGATTTGCTCGTGAAGTGCTTGATGAATCATAACCCATGTACCTAAAGTTTTCCACTTTCTGAAGTGGGAATAGACCGTTTGCCACGGTGGCATTTGATGAGGCAGCATTCGCCACTGACACCCTGATTTGACTATATAGAAAATGGCGTTGATAATTGAGCGCATCTCCCATTTAAGAGGTCTACCTATTGGTGAAGGTTCTGGCAAATAGGGTAACAGTTTGTCCCACTGGGCATCGGTCAAATCAGTAGGATACTTTGTTGAAGTCATCTTTATGCCTTTCATTAGGTCAGGATTTTACTGCTCCAATGATTTACATAACATAACTTTGAGTAGGGTTTTTCTTTTCAAAAGGTTCTAAGGAGGTAATGAAAAATGCCAGAATCATTGAAACAACGTCTACACCGAGGAGAGAGCCTTAAAATCGCAGGATCGTCCATAGATGCGTCGAGGAGCGAACTCGAAGCCACACTTAGCCAAGACTCCTACGATTTGGCCTCTATTGACAGCCAACACGCAGCGTTCAACGAAGATCGATTGGTCTCATTCTGCGCTATGGCAGCGGAGTTGGGCGTACCTACCCAGTTTCGCATCAAAAACACACGACAGGCGTACCTGATCGGCAACTACCTAGACCTAGGTCCATTTTCCATCGTGGTGCCACAGTTGAGGACGAGGCAACAGTCGATGAGGCGATAGATGCCTTCTACTATCCGCCGGTCGGAAAAAGGAGTTGGGGACCCAGTTCGGGGTACGGCTTCAAACCAGATATGGATCGACTGGAGTACGCCGAATGGTGGAACAACAACGGCATCCTCTGCCTACAACTGGAATCAGTCAATGCCGTAACCAATGCACGGCACCTTGGCAAACCGGGTATTGACATGTTCGTCTTTGGTGCGAATGACATGAACTTCAGTTTGGAACTATATCCAGACCATCCGTTCAAGACGGTTGAGGATTGCATTCAGCACGTTGTGGAGCAGATGGAGGGTACACACGTCAAGGTAAATGCCTGAGAATACGTGAAACGTGAAGCGTAAGACGTAAACGGTCAGAGGTTCATTGGTTCAAAAGTTCATTGGTTCATTTAGCCCCAGAGGGGCGATATGTGTATAGCACACGCAACGGCACAAATCTCAAAGCCCCAGCGGGGCGACATGTGTATCATGTTTCAGTGCGTAGGTTGAGTTGAACGAAACGGAAAAATCCGGTTCCGCCCCTCCAAACACCCCTCAAACTGGCTGTCTTGTCAGATAACATCAAGGAGAGTGAAACCCAACAGAGTGACTCACGCATTACGTTTCACGCTTCAGATTATCACTGAACGGGTGAAACTCAATGGGTCACGGGGTTCTGAAGAGGGTCACGGATATCCGTGATTCCTTTCATTTTATGACTTGATCTCTTTTTTTACTCATGCTATAATGACTGCCGATTGGACGAACTGTAATTAAAACACTCGGATCGTGTCTTTTGCTTTTCACACGCCGTTTTACTACATTCCACAAACTTTGAATTTGAGGTGAAGTTGGTGTTATCTCGACGTTCATTTTTTAAGTTTCTAGGTTGGGGAAATTTCATTGCTGCTGCCGGACTCGCCTTTGGTCCCGGATTGATTCGATTCTTATACCCGCGAGTCCTTTTTGAACCATCTTCAGTCTTCACGGCCGGATTTCCCGGCGAATATCCTCCCGGAACGGTTAGCGAGAAGTTCAAAAAAAATCCGTATCGCGTCTGGATTGTTCGGAAAGAAGATGGTGAGTTTTACGCGTTGTTAGCAATCTGCACGCATCTTGGTTGTACCCCCCGATGGCTTGCATCGGAGAATAAATTTAAGTGTCCTTGTCATGGGAGTGGGTTTGATCGTGAAGGGATGCACTTTGAGGGTCCTGCGCCGAGACCCCTTGAGCGCGTACAAATTACGCTGGCAGAGGATGGACAACTGCTGATTGATAAGTCCGTAAAATTTCTGGAAGAGCGGGGCGATTGGGGGAAAGCGGGATCTTCTTTAAGGGTTTAATAAAGTAGTAGGCATATTGCTTTGAATCCCGCCTGTCCCGATTTATCGGGGCTCCGTATGCCGTAACCGATTTGTAGTAGGTATACTCCGTCCCGATCTCCGCATCGGAGCTTTGAATGTTCAACTGCCTAAGTTCTAATTCAATTAAATTGTACCCCTTGGTGCGGTCTTCATAATAAAATCAAATTGAGCAAGAAAGGAGTTATACAGCCTTGGTTATGCTAACGCGAGGCAGGCTGAGTTGTTATTATGAATGAAAGACGTAATGGATTAAAAGAAAAAATCACAAATAACCCAATTTGGCAGTCGATGTTTCGCCACGGCTACGAGAAAACAGGAAGGCGATACACCCTCCAAGTCCTCCAAAATGTCTGGCTCCATCTGCATCCTCCCCGCGTCACCCGCCACGCGATTAATTTCCGATTTACATGGTGCATGGGCGGGATTACCTTTCTGATGTTTCTTGTCACTGCTGTTACGGGTGTGTTGTTAATGTTCTACTATCGTCCCACCGCAGAATACGCATTCCGTGATATACAATATCTTGAGTTCGACATCCCGTTCGGGATGCTCCTGCGCAATATGCACCGTTGGGCAGCGCACGGCATGGTCATCGCAGTAATGCTCCACATGTTCCGCGTTTTTCCTGACCGGGTCATACAAAAAACCTCGCGAATTTAACTGGGGCGTCGGCGTCATCCTACTGCTTGTTACCTTTTTCCTTAGCTTTACCGGCTACCTGTTGCCGTGGGATCAACTCGCATTTTGGGCGGTCACCGTCGGAACGAACATGGCGCGCGCGACACCCGTCTTAGGGCATGAAGGTCCGTTCCACCCACAGGATATTGTCACCCAATCGAACGATGTGCGCTTCGCTCTCCTTGGTGGGACAATTGTTGGGCCCTCAACACTCTTACGGTTTTACATCCTTCATTGTGTTGCTGTGCCACTTTTGGCAAGCGTGTTGATGGCACTACACTTTTGGCGTGTCCGCAAGGACGGGGGCATCTCTGGACCGCTGTAGAACTGAATTCATCAAATCTTCGCAGTGGAGACCCCATTCCTTTAGGGTGGGGAGGAAACTGCGCCACCTTTTTTTATTATGAAATCTTGTAAAAAATGGTATAATTGCCTTGTCTTTCGTGGGAGAATGCTACCCCTAACGCACGTTAGAGTCTCCCACACTCCAGTAGTATGGATATGAAAGACAGAAAGACAATCCCAATGATTAAAACCTATCAGTATCGAATATATCCGACTATCAAGCAAGCGAAAAAACTGTTTGCATGGCTTGAAATGCTACGAAACCTATACAATCAAGCCCTCGCATGGCGGAAGACTGTATATAGCACAACGGGTGAATCTGTTTCTTGGGTGACTCAGGCAGATACGTTGCCAGATTTGAAACAAGCCTCCGCTCCGTTTGCTTCGTTACACAGTGATGTCTTGCAAGATGCCCTTCGCCGTTTGGACAAAGCGTACCAAGCCTTCTTTGGTCGGGTAAAAAGAGGCGAGGCACCGGGTTTTCCACGTTTCAAAGGTGAAAGACGATATAGGTCAATGGCTTTTAGTCACCTGTCGAAGCGATTGATACGCAATATCCGAAAGCGAGTGGCACACCTTGTTGTGCCTAAGTTAGGTCATATCAAAATTCGGTATCACCGTCCTCTACCTGATGGAAAGATTAAAAATCTAACGATACAACGTAAAGCGAGTGGTTGGTATGCAAATATTGCTGTTGAAGTTGCTGATACCCCTGAAGTTGGTGTTGAGACAACCATTGGTATAGACGTTGGACTTGAATCGTTTCTAACGACTTCGGACGGCGATAAGATTCAGAACCCTCGCTATTTTCGCACATCGGAACAGCAACTTGGCAAATCCCAACGGGTATTATCTCGCCGTGAAAAGGGTAGCAAGCGATATAATAAACAGTGTGAATATGTTGCTAATGTCCATGAACATATTGCGAATCAACGTAGAGATTTTCACTATAAGATGGCACATCGGCTTTTCTCACAATGTGAGGAAGTTGCCGTTGAGGACTTGAAAATCTGTGACATGGTGCAGAACCATCACCTTTCAAAGAGCATATCAGACGCAGGTTGGGGGAACTTTCGATTGATACTGCAAAGCAAAGCTGCAAATGCTGGCAAGCAGTTGACGAAAGTTGACCCCAAGTATACTTCTCAAAAATGTTCAGGTTGTGATTCGATTGTTAAGAAATCGCTGTCAGTCCGCGTCCATTGTTGCAATGATTGTGGATTGGTGTTGGACCGAGACCACAATGCCGCGATAAATATCAAAAAGGCTGCTGTAGCCTTGCGTGAAGGTATGGTGGTAACAAACACCCCCGAAACACCTCGTCAGAGGAAAGAAGCGCAGAACCTTGTAAATCCCGGGGAAACGGGCAACAAGCCCCAACCCTTTAGGGTGGGGTAACTGATTTCAATACCTATTTTCAGTGAGGTGATATATGGAGCATCTTCTTGTATTGGTTACTAAGCCTGATAACGTTCCGATTGTTGCAATTGTGTTGTTGTTACCTTTCTTCACTTGGCTTGCATTCAGCCAAGGGCGCAAAAATGACCGAGCCGGCACACCGGCAGAAGCAGCACTTAATGATAAAGTCTACTGCTGGCCCTACCTTTGCCGCAACGAGTTTCTCTGCGCGATCATTATCATGCTCGTTCTGGGGATATGGTCTATCACCATTGACGCCCCGCTCGAAGAGCCGAGTGATCCGACAAAAACCCCGAATCCATCTAAAGCCCCTTGGTATTTCCTCGCGCTACAGGAAATGCTGGTTTACTTCGATCCGTGGGTTGCAGGTGTTGTCCTGCCGGGACTGATTATCGCCGGTTTAGTCGCCATTCCCTTCATAGATATTAATCCCAAAGGGAAAGGTTACTATACCCTAAAAGAGCGTCCGTTCGCACTTATTATCTTCTGCTTCGGCTTTTTCGTGTTATGGATTGTGCTGATGGTTGTCGGCACCTTCTTGAGGGGACCCGGCTGGAACTTTTTCGCCCCATGGAAAGAGTGGGATCCGCACAAGGTTGTACCATTAACCAACGTCAACCTCTCTTACCTATTCGGTATCCGTAACGAACAACCCGCCGGTGTTTTTGGGCTATGTATCGTCGCTGGATATTTTGCCTTGGGTCCTATCTATTACTTTTTGAAAAAGGGAACGAGCAAATTTCTTCAAGAGTTGGGATTGGTACGCTACATTGTGATTTCATTCCTGTTCTTATCGATGATGGCTTTACCAATCAAGATGATTCTTCGGTGGACATTGAATATCAAGTACATTTGGGTCTCTCCGTGGTTCAATATCTAGGGCGTATTGGATAATATGTCATCCGTCCATTCAAACAGTAAGGAGTCAATAGGAATCGTGAGGAGCAAAAAAGAAATTCTGGTTGAGGAAAAATCTTACGCAGCACTGTTTTTTATCCTTTCCGGTTTGTTGGGATTCGTTACGCTGTGGGGTTTCTATAACGAGACAATTACCAGACGACCATGGAAGGAGATTCAGCGGCAATTTTACGAATACGAATATCAAAAAACCAAGATTGATTTGGAAAAGGCGAAACAGGATCTGCCTGAGATTGGAGCACCTCAAGAAATTGACCCTAAACAGGAGGGGGTGCTAAAAGGTACGATTGCGGGGTTGCAGATTAAGCTAGACGAAGCCTTGCAGGATCGTAAATTTGATCAAAGTGAGTCGGATGCAATCAACTATAAATATCAGTATGCGCTGCACCACGGGGAAAAAGAGAAATCGGAAAAATGGAAAAAGAAGCTAGACGAGCTTGAAAGTCGGATTGAGGGAGAACTGACGGATGCAGTGCTGGCGGCACAGCAAAATCTTGCCGATGCCTATAAGGATCTCGCCGAGTTTTATAATACCAATGGATACGTTGAGGAAGCGCTAGGCGAGTATCTCCTCGCCCGAAAATATAGCGTAGCGGACACAATGACTACGGCGAAGATTAGTGAACTTCAGGCGCAAGTTGAGGCTGCGAAAGCTGACAAAACTAAATATACTGAGATTGGAAGACTTGAAGAGAAACTCCATTCCGTCGGCGGTATTAAACGCACTTTCATCGGTACATTAGCAGAAAGTCCCTTCACAAAGACACGCACGATTGTTCAATACTACATTGAAGATTTTGATTATACAGCAGACCGATGCGCGACCTGTCACTTTGCTTCCGATAAGGCTGGATACGAAGGATTCGCTAAAGAACAGTTTGAGGAGATTGAAGGAGACGGCGAAAATAGCCTTACGTTCCAATTAAAACATCCATACATTAAAAAGGGTGGCGAAACGGTGCTTATTGACGAGGAAGGCGCAGAAGAAGGCAGTTATGAATTGAGTGAAGATGGCAAATTGACCTTCACCGATCCCGATATTTATGCCGATCTCATCGAAATCGCGTATGAGACTGGATATGATCCCGTGCTTCGGACGCATCCCCACCAGGATGTGCTGCTCGGTAAACACCCCGTTGAAAGATTTGGATGCACCCCTTGTCACGGTGGACAGGGACAAGGTCTGACTCAAATAGCTGCGCACGCCCTAGACCATAAGAAGGAGTATTGGCTGACGCCTGTCTTGGGGTTGGATGAGCATACAGGTAAAGCCTCAGAAGAATTGCACGGCTACATGGAGTCCAATTGCCGTCGCTGCCATGATGGCGTGATGATGTTAGATGCCCCCAATCCAGAGACCGGGCAGCTCCAAGATTATTCGCCCGACCTCTCGAAGGGAATGGCGCTCTTTGAGGACATCGGATGTCACGGTTGCCATGCTGTTGAGGGCTATTCTGCGTTAGCGGATCTTGACGAAGTTGGTCCCTCGCTTGCCAAAATCGGCAGTAAAGTCAATAGCGTTGACTGGTTGGAAGCGTGGATTAAGCAACCGGCCGCCTATCTGCCAGAAACCAAAATGCCAGCCTTCTTCCCCGTCGAAAAGTTGACCCAAGTAGTCTACCTCAAAAATGGGAATAAGCACTTCGGTGTCGTCACCAAAACCGACACCGGCATTATCCTCCAAAAAGACGATGGCACAAAACATCCTTACCCTGACACCGCTGTTGAACGGGTCGTTGATGAGGTGAAATCGATAGCAGCATACTTGGCGGAGATGAAAGACCCCGCGATCGATCAAGGCGATGCCTCATTCTCGACAGCACCCCGTGCGATTGCCGCCGGTGAACAGGTTGTTAAATCGGTTGGCTGTCTGTCATGTCATGCGGTTGATGGGCTCGGAAGTGATTTCGCGCCAAAATTGGATAATGCCGGCAGCAAACTCACACCACAATTTCTCCGTCAATGGATCAGCGATCCAAAATCTTACGACCCCGACACCGTTATGCCCAGTCTGCGTTTGACCAAGACTGAGGTGAACAACGCGGTAGCTTACCTGATGTCGTTGCAAGAGACAACTGCCTCTCCTATTGCAGGCAACGAAAATCCCCACGCAGCGGTTGATCCGATGGAAGGGGAAAAGCTAGTGCGGACCTACGGCTGCTTCGGCTGCCACAATATCCCCGGCTTCGAGAATGAGTCGAAGGTCGGTGCAGATCTTGGCGAATTTGGTGCCAAGACCGTCGAGGAACTCGACTTCGGAGATACCACAGATATTGAACACAGTTGGCACGGTTGGACAATCGGAAAGGTGACCGATCCGAGACGCTACCAAACGCGCCGCATTGTTTCCCGAATGCCTGTCTTTAACGAACACACCATCGGTGAGGAAGAGGCACGGGCACTTGCCGTTCTACTCAAGGGGTTCCAACCTGTAAAATACCCGATGAGCTACCTTCACCAGCCGAGCGAAAAGACGTGGCAGATTGATGCCGGACGCCGGTTAGCCAAGAAATACAACTGCACCGGCTGCCATGAGATTGAAGGAAAAGGCGGCGATTTCGTGAATGTGGTTGCCGCCAATAAAGAACTAGACCTGCTAAATGCCAAGCGCTTTGCCCCCCCTACCCTGCAAGCGCAAGGTGCTAAGGTTTATCCGGATTGGCTGTTTGAGTTCCTGAAAGCACCCACGCCTATCCGCTACGGGCTTGAAGTCCGGATGCCGACTTTCGGCCTCCCGGACGAGGAAGCGACCGCACTGGTAAAATACTTCTCTGTGCTTGACGATGAGACGTTCCCGTATGAAACTATCGCATTACAACCGGTGTCTCGAAGAGAGCTGCGTGTCGGCGAGCAGATTTTTGACGCGCTCCAATGTATTTCCTGCCATCCGGAACAGGGCGAAGTTATCCCGCCGGGCAGCGATAAAACCGGGCGTCCTGATCTCGCGCTAGCGAAGGATCGTCTCAAAGCTGATTGGGTCGTCGAATGGCTTAAAGATCCGCAATCCTTCCAACGGGGAACTGCGATGCCGCAAGCGTGGCCCAAGATTGGCGGCGCACATCAACCTGTTGATGGCTTTGCAGTCGATGATGCCGAAGAACAGATCCGGCTGGTGAGAGATTATCTCAACTCGTTGGGCGAGTAATGTAGTAGGCATACTCCGTATACCGTAACCTCTGTATGCTGTAACCATTGTGCATACTACGGCATGACAAATTGGGTTCATTAATGAACCAATCAACTAATGAACCAACATTGCCCTAGAGGGGTGGAATGTGTATAGCAATGCCGAATCCCTACACACCGGACCCATGAGTAACAAGCATTGGGGGTTGGTAGTGGCGCAATTCATTGCGCGTTTTGACTACTAACTTCATACCAGTTACCCAACTGGCTCATGTAAAGTGAAAACTCGGTTTCTTTTCACGATTTCTTAACATGAGCAATGATTTTTATCCAATCCTTCCTATCGTGGTACTAAAAGGAGCCAATAAATGCTTCAAACAAACCACCCCACATCTTCCGAAGCGTCAACGGGAGGAAATGGCAGCCAACGGATTCTCATCGGCATCGTTATTGCCATCATCGTTGGACTTGTCGTCGGTGGTTGGATACCAAACTTCGCTGCAAAAACAACCCTGCTCGGTGACATATTCCTGAATGCACTGAAGATGATTGTTGTTCCGCTGGTCATGTTTTCGATGATTGTTGGCATTACCGGCTTAGGGGACATCCGTAACCTCGGTCCAATAGGTGGACGTACTGTCCTCTATTACATGGCGACCACTGGGATTTCGGTGTTGATCGGTATCATTTTGGTCAATATCATCCAACCGGGAAAAGGGATTTCTCACGGCGCAGATTACCCAGAATATACGTATACGATTGGCAGTGAAAACAATCGCATTGTCACTTTAACGACTGGTACTTGGGAAAACACACGGTATGACGACAGGTACGCGCTGATTCTACCGGATCAAGGGGTGCAGGGCGCAATTCAGTCTATGACTGAAAACTCCGCCACGGTGAAGTTCTGGGAAAGCGTTCAAGGTGGCGAGGAGGTCTATATCGAGGCAGAAGATGGTACACGTCTGCCTTTTCGGCGTGTGGAGGGACAACTCATTTCCGATGAACCACAGCTACAACCTGAAGGAAAAGGAGTGAAGATTGATCTGCCTATCGCCGGAGCAGTACGCGGAAAACAAGAGAGAAACATCGGTAACATACTGTCAGAAGTCCTGATTGGAAACGAAGAAACCGGGAAAGAGGGCTTGATTCCGCGAAACCTGTTCAACGCCATGGTGCGAACGGATATCCTCCCGCTAATCTTTTTCTCGTTGCTAATTGGTGGTGCATTTTCCATCATGGGCAAACGTGGGCATACTGCCATTGATTTTATTTCCGCGCTCAACGATGGAGTCATGCAAATTGTTCACTGGATTATGGTTTTCGCACCGATTGGCATCTTCGGGCTAGTTGCAGGTCGAATTGGACGTGCCGGTGGATTCACCCAATTTTTGCCGGAGCTGCTTGCAGTTGGAAAATATAGCTTCACAGTCATATTTGGACTCGCTATACATGCCGTTATTGCGTTGCCGATAATCCTCTTTTTGGTTGGCAAACGGAATCCATTGACCTACGTAAAAGGGATGGGAGCAGCGCTGTTAAACGCTTTCTCCACAGCATCAAGTTCAGCGACGCTGCCGTTGACAATGGAAGGCACCGAGAAAAAAAATGGTATATCCAATCGGACTTCGAGTTTTGTCTTACCGCTCGGCGCAACCATTAACATGGACGGCACTGCCCTTTACGAAGCTGTTGCTGCGATGTTCATTGCACAGGTCTATGGAATAGACCTAGGCCCTGTGGAGCAGGTCGTCATCTTTCTGACTGCGACGGTTGCTGCTATCGGTGCCGCAGGTATTCCTGAGGCAGGCCTTGTGACAATGATGATTGTCTTAAAAGCCGTTGGGCTGCCGATCGAAGGTATCGGGTTAATCCTGACTATCGATTGGTTCCTTGACCGATGCCGGACAACCGTCAACGTCTGGGGCGACAGTGTTGGCGCAGGTGTTATTGAGACACTTGAATCTGAAGTTGCTCCAGAACAAGGGGCAGATTCTCCTTAAGGTAGTAGGCATACTCCGTATGCCGTAACTGTATTGCTCCGGAACCAGGGTCAGATTCCTTTGCACCGTTGAGTTAAATGGAATCACGTGAATAACAAAGGTGGTATCATTCCAATGATTCGACACCTTCTCATCATCGTTGGGATACTTGTCGCTAGTATGAGTTGGTTGATTTGGCTCTGTCGGGCGGTGGATCCCAGTACGCGGTACGGCTCCGAAGTCGAGTATAACTACGCCAGATATTGTGCCGGTTGTCACGGTGCAAACGGTGAAGGTAACGGACGGATTGGGCGGTTCAAAAAGCTAGAACCTGCAAATCTGACGACAACCGATTTTTGGGAGGGCCGTAGCGACGAACAATTTATCCATAGCATTAATGCCGGCAAGAATAATATGCCGGCATTTTTTTATTATCTAACCGATGAAGAGCAGCGAGAACTGTTCGCATTTATCAAAGAAAATTTTCGACCAACGCCGACGCATGATTGAGCCATCTGTTGCTCCTGTCGTGTGTCGTCAAAAAGAGTAAGACATCCTCAACCAATTCATCACTAAACTGGCTGTTAGTATATCTATGGCGAACAGATGCGAAAATGTGCGTATCTGTTTTGTACCACCTAGTTTTTTTCATTTCAAAACTAAGGAGATTCAAAATGAGCATCGAGAGATTCACCCAAGTCACCCTCGTATTAGCGATTGTCACCCTGATTGTGGGGCTTTCTGCCTGTGATCAAATTCAACAAGTTCTGCTTCCTCCACAACCTGAGATGCCATCTGAGATGGAGGCTCCCGTAATTCCCATCGGCGTCGTTGTAGATCTAACAGGGGCGAACTCTACCGGGTATGGTATACCGATGAAAAAGGGCTTTGAGCTCGCTCGTGACCATATTAACAGCTCAGGGCTGCTTGGCGATGCAAAACTTAAGCTCATCGTTAAGGATGATCAGAGCTCCCGTGAGACTACCGTTGATGTTGTCGATCAATTGATTAATCAATATGGTCTGTCTGTCATTACCGGATTCGCTGTCTCTAGTCAACTCGAAATGGTAACTCAAACTGCCCAAGACAACGAGGTTGTCCTTTTTAGCTCAGTGTCATCTGCCCCGGTGCTGGCGGGGCGTGGCAATTTTACCTTCCGCGCGGGACTCAACTCAGCTGTGCTTAACCCGCCTCTCGTCGTGGCGACTCACGAGAAATTCGGCTACCAGACGGCAGCTACGATATATCTCCATGGCGATACCTACTCCAGACTTAGTGACGAAGCGTTCAGAGCTGCGCTTGTCGAGAACGGTGTCCAAGTTGTGACTACAGAGGCCTATCCGGCCGGCGATTATGAGGCGGCAATAACTCGAATAGTGGAGTTAAATCCTGATGCCCTCTTTATCTCCGCGTTAACATCGGACATATCTGAGATTATGAAGAAAGCGCGCGAGCTAATGCCTTCTGTACACCTTATTGTTCCCGAGCTGACCGATATTGAGGTGGCGGCAAGTGCGGGTGATGCCTCTGAGGGGACGGTTACTTCTATCGGTTGGTTCAGCGAAACTGACACGCCGGGGAGTGCAGCCTTCATCCAGAGTTATACCGAGGCAAACAACGGGGGAGAAGCCGGTTGCTTGGTCGGCACAATCGTATGCCACACTCCAGATTCTTGCCGTGGCAATTGCGGAGGCGTATGCAGAGACGCACTCCATCGATGCAACCGCAATTCGGGACGCGCTGGCAGATACCATGGATTTCCCCACTGTTTTAGGGAATTTCTCTTTTAATGCAGTTGGGGACGCTGTTTATGACCCGATATTACTTACGGTCAAAAACGGTCAATTTGAACTCTTTGAGTAATCCGCAACGACAGTAGTAGGCATACTCCGTATGCCGTAACTGTTGTGCAAATTACGGCACGGCGGAGCGTACCTACTACTAGGCATTGCAAATCCAAATTTCTGCGAGTAAAGTAGGGAACAACAACTGTTGTTCCCTACGACTTGGGTTTTAGACCTAAAGGATTTTTTTTGATGAAACCAAGGAGGTTCAAAATGAACATCAGAAAATTCACCAAATTCGCATCTGTACTGGCGATTGTTGCCCTGATTGTGGGGCTTTCCGCCTGTGACCAAATCCAGCAACTTCTCGTCCCCGCGCCGCCTGATATCGGAGGGCTTCCCGGAGAAATTATCATCGGTGTCTCCCTGCCGCTGGACGACGAAAACGGCCCTCTGTATGGGTTACCGATGCAACGAGGCTTTGAACTCGCTCAAGCAGAACTTAACCACTATGGTGGTCCCCAAATCACCTTCATCATTGAAGATGATCAGAGCACCGTTGAAGGCGCGAAGGCAGCCTTTAATAAACTGATTCATCAAGATGGCGTGTCCATTATCACTGGTGTCACTTTCTCAACTCAGCTCAGAGAGTTAATTCCAATAGTAGAAGAAAACGGAGTTGTATGTTTTAGCTCGCTCGCATCCGCTGCCGGTCTGAGCGCACTTAGCGATTTTGTCTTCCGTACAGGGCTCCCCACAAATGTGCTAAATCCAAACGGCGTTCGGGCAAGTCAGGAGAAGCTCGGCTATCAACGGGCGGCACTGATATATGATGAGGACGATGTCTATTCACGAGCAGCAACGAGGAGGTGACTAAAGCCCTTGCCGCTAGTGGTGTCGATATTGTGATTACAGAGCCCTTCGAAGGCAAGCCTGCTGATCTTAGATCACACTTAACGCGGATAATGGAGACAGATCCTGACGCTATCTTTATCTCCGCTCTATCCGTCCAGATGACTGATATTATGATTCAAGGGCGTGAGGTCGGTATCCCTGCTTCTGTTCCGTACATTGTTCCTGATCTGACCGGAAACGAAGTGCAAATCGCAGGGGAGGCCGCCGAGGGGGCGGTCACTTTTACCAATTGGAGTGCTACGGCTGACACACCGCGCAATCAAGCCTTCGTCCAGAATTACCTAGCAAAGTATGGTATCGAAGCTGATCCCTGGGCCGCTCAGTCGTATGCTACCCTTTATATTCTAGCAGAAGCGATTGCGAATGCACAATCCACCGAGGCAACGGCAGTTCGGGACGCGCTGGCGAATACCATGGATTTCCCCACCGTTATGGGGAATTTCTCTTTTGATGAAGTCGGGGACGCGGTTTACGACCCGATTGTACTAACTGTCGAAAACGGCGAACTTGTCGCATTTGAGTAACCTGTATCGGCGGATGTGCATAACCGGCCCCTGTCATCAGCTACTCGCTGATGATAGGGGCTTCGGTTTTAATTCGGTGCTCATGTTAAGAAATCGTGAAAAGAAACCGAGTTTTTTCGGCAAAACTCGGTTTCTCTTCGTGCTGCACTTTCTTTTTTCATAAGCCTAATTCGGTAACCCCTCATCGTAAAGGAGGTTACCCTAAAATGAGATTTGTATCGACGAAAGTTACCAATCCAATCTGGTATACCACTGTTCTCGGCGTAACCATCTACGTTCTTCTGTTCTTAGTCACGTATATATGGATTCAACGTGCTTCTAACTACGAGGAATTCCCTAGCCTTATACTTAATCCACTGTATATCGGGCTTTCGTTCTATCAAATTTTATCCATCGTCAACATGACGTGGCTGCTCTTCCTAGTCATCGATCTGTTCTCTGCACTGCGCTTACTAGCCCACCCACGAAAAGGCAAACTTCGAGGTATTGTGCTACGCCTAGGTAGCATTCTGCTCTCAATTATAGCGGTTGTTACAGTTCAATGGGCTGCCGCGTCGCTCAAGCGTGTGGCTGACGCTTTATGTGATCTAATAACATGCACCAACTATGAGAAAATACCGTTCACGGATATCCGTGACATCTTCTTTTTAACTCTTGATCTCCTTTTCGTATGCTGCTATCATAAATGCCATCAACATACAATCATTTCAATAACGGATTTCAACGAAGAAAGGATCTGTTCAAATCATGAAAACTGCAATAACCCTGACCGCGCTCAGTTTTATACTCATCACAAGCCTGACGTACGCCGGCACAATCGCCGGAACCGTTATGTATGATGGGGATGCGCCAGCACGTCCAGCGATGCAAGCGACCAAAGACCAGCACTGTGTCGATGCCCTGAAAAATGGTAAATCTGAAGCCCTCGTCGTAATCCAAAGGTAAAGGAATTAAAAACGTTGTTGTCTACTTACGAGCACGAGGCGCGGAGCCAACAATGCCTGCCAAAAATCCAGTTATGGATCAGGTCAACTGTATGTACTCTCCGCATGTTCTCGTCGTGACCGCAGGCACCACAGTGGACATAACCTCCAGCGACCCGGTTGCACATAACGTCCATTCTCATGCCACGAAGAACGAGGCACCGAATTGGCAGATACCCGGTCCCGGTAAAGCGTTACCTCTGAAATTAGAAAAACGCGAAGCCATTAAGTTCACCTGCGATATCCACAACTGGATGACAGGGTATATCTTTGTTACGGACAATGACTATTACGCTGTAACTGGATACAAAGATAAAGAGGGTAAATGGATCAGCTCCGACGCCTACGAAGGTTCAAGTGATACAGGTGCCTATATGATCAAAGATGTCCCCGCTGGCAAATACCGAGTGCAGGCATGGCACGAAGAGCTTGGAACGACAAAAGCCTCGGTCATCGAAGTTGCTGACAGCGGAGAGGTTGAGATTAGCTTTACCAGTGCTGATTTCAAGAAGAAGTAAGACGCAGAATAACATCGCCGACGCAGAAACCGAGTTTTTTCTTGAGAACTCGGTTTCTCTTAGCGTTTTGCACTTTTTTGTTTGCACCCCGTAGGTCGGACACCAATGAACCAATAAACAAATTGTTTTCACGTTTCGCGCATCACGTTTTCACGTCCTTCGTGTTTGGCATTTGCTTTTGAGATGAGCCTTGATATTAAGTCTGGAGCAACAGGAAAGAAATAATGTATCTCACCAAACATCTCAGTATGAACCAGCCCAAAAACAGGTTATATTTTTTTCTCGGCCTGCTTGCTATCTATTTGCTGCTAACGGTTGCGACTGTCTTCGCTCAAGATATGACCGACACAGAGTACCGTCCCTTCCCGAAGATCGGCAGCCGCAGCGCAGCCTGGATCGCTGCCCAACTGCACCTGTTGTTCGGTTCCTTCATTTTAGGGGTCCCGATGTTTGCAGTTGTCATTGAGTTTGTCGGGATGAAAACCAAGGACAAACGGTATGATAAGATGGCACAAGAGTTCATCAAGCTTTGTATGGGCGCGTTCTCAACGACTGCCTTGTTGGGTGGGGTACTCGTTTTTATCCTCATCTGGTGCTACCCGCAGGTGATGAACAAAATGACAGGAATCTTCGGACCGACGATGATTTTCTACGTCTTCCTGTTCTTCGGAGAAACCTTTACACTCTATCTCTACTCTTACGGGTGGGATCGGATGCAGGGCAAAGTGTCCAAAATGTGGCACCTATTTCTCGGCTGTGCTCCTGAACGTGTTCGGTACAGCGATTATGTTCGTCTCTAACGCTTGGCTGACATACCAAACAAGTCCGGCGATTATGGGACCCAAGCCCGAACACAAGGCGATTCCGCTTCATGATGAGTCGGGCGCATTCATCGGTACAATGTGGCAGGCGGTTAATAACTATACATGGATGCCAGTCAATATCCACCGTCTCATTGGCAATGTCGCTTTTGGGGGTGCAATCGTCGGTGCCTATGCCGCCTTTCGTTTCCTTGGTTGCCAAGACCAAGGAAGACAAGGCACATTACGACTGGATGGGATATACAGGCAACTTTATCGCGCTGTGTGGACTGATTCCGCTGCCATTCGCCGGATATTGGTTGGGACGCGAAATCTATATGTTCAACAACACCATGGGCATCAACATGATGGGGAGCCTCTTTTCGTGGTTGTTCATCATTCAGGCGGTAATGATTGGGGTGCTGTTCATCGGAGCGAATTACTATCTCTGGTCTGGCATGACCCGCATCGCAGGCGCGGAGAGATACGCCCGTTTTCGTCCCTACATGATCACTATCATTGTTCTATCTGTCGCAATCTGGATGACGCCGCGCACATTGATCATGACGCCCACAGAGATGGCTGCAATAGGCGGTCAAAATCATCCGCTCGTCGGATTTTTCGGCTTGATGACCGCGAAGAATACGGTCGTCAATCTCATCATCTTTGACCACCTTTCTCAGTTTTCTGTTTTACCGCCGATCCGGTAAAACGCCGACGGTGGGTTGGAGTAAAGCAGGCAATATCATCATTGCAACCATTTTTGGGCTGGCTGTCGCAGCAATTGTTACGATTGGGATCGTAGGGTTCAAGGTTGACACTCTCTTCCGCGTCAATGTCCTAACGCCGAGACAGGTGATGATTGCGTTAGCTGTTATGATTTTGGTAACGGTGATTGACCTGATTATGTATCGGAAAGCGAGGAGTTCAAGCGAAATCACTGGGGGACAGATGACAGACCGGTCCCAATATGTGTTGATTCTACTTGCCATTACCTTTACCTCACTGATGGGATTGATGGGTTACGCGCGGTCAGGGCTCCGAGAGGCGTGGCATATTTTCGGTGTGATGCCCGATACTTCACCAGATGCGTTCACACCTCCGCTGGCGGAAGCCGTTAACGTTATTGCCGTTATTATAGTGATTTTCTTTGCTTTAGTGGGCTTTATTTTTTGGCTCGGTTTGTGGGGCGATAAGAAAAAAGAGGGACAGCCACCCGTTGAGGCAGACGCCACTACAGGGGACGATTAACAATCACACACAGTTAGGACGAGAGCGATGCAAAGAAAACTAATTAGAATTATATCCTTAATTTTAATGGTTGTGAGTTTTATCGCCTACATTGCGAGAGCACCGGCTTTCCCGATCGCTTCGGAAAATCTTCTGCCGTGGTCAATGTGGTTTTTCATCTTTGCCTTGGCGAATATCATACTCTGGCAGAGCGTGGTGAAACTCTTGTCATTCTCGTTGATGGTCATCTGGTTCTATGCGTTTGCTGCCAGCATCGTTCCAGTAACATCTACTGCAACGATTGACGTTGACAATATACCGCGGACGCCAGATGCGTTTGTTGAAGCTGGGGAGATAATCTTTAACGGAAAAGGGAAATGCATTACCTGTCACACGCTCGATACGTCTGCGCCGCCGGGTCGCTGTCCCGATTTAACAGATATTGCTGTTCGTGCCGCGACACGCCAACCGGGGATGACGGCAAAAGAGTATTTCATTGAATCCACATATGAACCGCACAAGTTCCTTGTTCCCGGCTACGGAAACATTATGCCACCCGTCTGGAAGCCGCCAATCAGTTTATCCGAGTTAGAAATCGAAACCGTTATTGCCTTCCTACAAAGTCAGGGAGGAGAAGTCGATCTGACACCGTTTGAGCCGCCCGTCGATATCGGAAGTGCGGAATCTCTCGTCGAGGAACTGCCACCTATTCTCACCGGCGATGTTGAGCGTGGTCAAAGGGTCTTTGTAGAGGGCGCGAAATGTATCGCGTGTCACACCGTTGCCGGCGTAGAACAACCTGCCGGTCAAACGCTTGATGAAGGTGTTGAAGTTGTCACCGCCCCTGACTTGACGGAGATCGCTGCATTAAACAGCCTCCGGTATATCGAGGAGTCCATCCTAGTACCGAATGCTCAAATTGTGAGCGGATACGGTTCCATCACGGTGAAAACCGGCGGTGCCACAATTCAGGGGACACTTGTTACACAAGACAATGAAAAGATCGTCGTGCGTGTTAAGGACGCAGCCGGTAACGAAGAAGAGCGCACCATTCTATTGAGCGAACTTGATCCGGAGCCGATTGAAGAACTGACAGATCTGAAGGGAAAAGGTTATTTCTGGATTCAAGTAACGCTTGCCGATACGGGAGCCACCGTAAGTGGTGACCTCGTAGAAGAGGATGATGAAAACATAACCCTTCAGGTGGGTGAAGAAACGCAAACAGTTTCCAAATCGAATGTGAAGGTTCAGGCGACGCTGATTGACTTTGATGAGAATGTTATCGTCGGGGAATTGGTATCGGAAAATGAGGACGAAATCACCTTAAATGTTGATGGCGAGGAACAGATCATCGATACATTCGATATCGACGAAGGACCGACCTACAGTCGTGCTTTCGGTAAGCGACTGGCTGTAACCTCCCCGATGCCGAATAACTTTCCGCTGTTGCTGTCCGTTTCGGACATGAGCGATCTGCTCGCATTTTTAGCAACCCTAACAGGTGCGACAGACGCAACAGTGGCGGAGGGTGAAGCCCTAGATGCGGGAACAGAGGAAACAGCCGAGTAAGGAGCGTTGAACCGCTATGCAAAAATTATCGCTTTTCACAAAATGCCTAATCATATTTGTCGTGCTTTGGCTCTTTTTAAGATTCTTCATCGGTGGGGTGTGGTCTGTACCGTTGCCTGCCAGCGTGATTGGGATGTATCTAGGGCTCATTCTATTGGCGATTTTGGTTCATGTCTCCGTTGAAGATGACAGGTTTCGAGAATTTCTGCGTCCCATCAAAGAAACGTTGGCTGATGATAATAGGAAGACAAGGCGTACTGTACTATTCGCCCTTATTCCTGTGGTTATGCTTGTTTTTACCTTTTCTAAGGTGGCAACAAAAGCAGATCCACCGGCTGCACTGCGCACCGCCCATCCTGCTCCGCCCGCTGAATTGACCTACCGCGACAAGGTTATCGGTCTCACGCAAGAGGTGACGAACCCATTTCGGCACCTTGAAAAAGATGACAAGGAAGGGTTCAAGACCCACGTAGATAACGGGCGTCGGGTCTATTATCAAAACTGCTTTTACTGCCACGGTGATGACCTTGATGGAGAGGGACATTTCGCCCACGGTCTCAACCCGCCGCCGGCAAACTTTCAAGACCCTGGGATTATTCCGAACTATCAGGAATCTTTCTTCTTCTGGCGTATCAGTAAGGGTGGACCCGGTCTGCCACCAGCTGCGGCCCCGTGGGATTCTGCCATGCCGGTCTGGGAAGATCACCTGACAGAGGAGGAGATTTGGGACGTGATCCTCTTTCTATCTGAGTACACAGGGTATCGACCAAGGACATTCGGTGAAGCGGAGCATTAAGAGGCGTGAAGCAAGCCCAAACCTCGAAATTTAATTGAGATATGGAATCTGGAACAGAAGAAAAAACGATGAAAAAGCGATTTTACAAAAACATATTTCTGATTTCAACCGCCGGTCTTATTCTATTGTTAGCATTTTTTCCAATTATGGCTTGTGCCCAAGGCAAGAAAGCACCCGAAGCTTCCGAAGCAGGAAAAGCACTGTATGAAGATAAGTGCGCACATTGCCACGGTATAGAAGGGGCGGGTGATGGGTCTGCAGCAGAAAACCTATTACCAAGACCGAGAGATTTCACGCGAGGTCTCTACAAGATTCGCTCAACGGAAGGCAGTCAACTGCCTACCGATCAAGATCTCTTTGACATCATATCAAACGGTATGCCGGGGTCCTCGATGCCCGCTTGGAGCGAAATCTTGACCGAGGATGAACGCTGGCAGCTCGTTGCCCATATCAAGACATTCCACGATGGCTTTGAAGGGGCTTCACCGCGCCTAATTGATGTGTCGGGCAAAGTTCCGTACTCTGAAGAGAGTGTCACAAAAGGAAAAGTGTTTTACACCAATCTGGGATGTGTCGATTGTCACGGAGTAATCGGCAGGGGCGATGGCACATCTGCCCCAGATCTTACCGATGAGTGGGGTTTTCGCACATGGCCCGCCAATCTGTGGCATCCGTGGAATTATCGGGGTGGCTCAACAACTGAGGCTATCTTCAGGCGATTCATTGGTGGCATCGCCGGCTCGCCGATGCCCTCATTCATCTCAAGTTTCCGGCTCGGTCTGACGGATGAAGAATCTGCGCGTATGACTGAACTAGAATTCAAGATGGATGGCGACGGCCTCTCAGAGGCAGAAGAGGGAGAATACGCAGAGCTTGAGGAAAAGTTGTTTATGTTTGAGGACATCATGCTCAAGGTTGAAGAAGGTGAGGAACTCGCTCCGGACGAACAAACTAAACTCAATACAGCCCTGAAGCCGATTTTTGAGAAAAGTTGGCACCTCGCAAATTATGTAAAATCCTTAGGACCGATGAGCAACCACAACCGGCGGTCGGAGACAAAGTGCTGCGCTCTCAATATCGCCCCGATGCGTTACCGGGCATGAACGACGAAGCGTGGAATGAAATTCAAGAAGCCAGCTATTTTCCGCTGGTCGGTCAAATTGTTATTGACCCCCGACAATTTAATCCTTCAATCGATTCTGTAACAGCCAAGTCATTCTATAATGATAGTGAAATCGCTTTTCTCTTCACAGGGATGATCGAAAACGAAACCCTTCCCCGTGACAGATGACGAGACAGGAGAACAGTTGAAGATGGCTTGACATTCAGTTCCCGGTGAAAATTCCTGTAAGGTCCCCCAGCATCGAAACCCTACTTTATCTGGGGTGGTCGCCGGCCCCGTCTATCTCTGGAGCTGGAAGGTTACGAACCGTCAACGGTTACAGAGATGAATGCGAAGGGGATCGATACAGCGACAGTCCAATCTGACCAAAGTCCATACAGGCTGAAGGGGTTTACAAAGATGGGCAATATCAACTATGGGTTTAAAAGATCGCTCACCACCGAGGATAGAAATGACGTTCAGTTTGCATCGGACGTATTCATACCCTCGACCCTTTTTTCCGCGTGGGATGGCTTGAATGGCGATGTGAAAAACGAAGCGAGCGATCTCAACGTGGTACACATTCGTCCTCGATCCCGTTCCATCGAACAAACGATTTGCTATCCTCCACTTATTGCCCTTATCTCCGTCGGTCTCTCCCTCTTCGGCTTCGAGAGTAGTGTCCGGAGACGACCAAATACGTAAGAATTGGGTACTACTGGACTTGGGGGGAAGCAACCACTAAAACCTGACAAAGAGGTCAAGTAAATGAACTACAAAGACATCATCACAATTGAACCCGATAGCGCGGCGCGGTAAACCGTGTATCCGTGGGATGAGAATCACGGTTTACCGATGTACTCGACTATCTTGCTTCGGTATGACCATCGAAGAAAATTGTTGATGATTTCCATACTTAAACGAGACGGACGTTCGGGCATGTCTGGCGTATGCCGCCGACAGAGAAAAATCCCAGATGCTTGTTTGTGTTAATGAAACTTCTATTGATGCAAACCTATTACCTAAGTTCGTGGTTCAGCTGGTGAGATCTGTTTCCTAATCCACTCATGTTCAATGGTTGGGCTAGACACGGCAGATGACACTGAGTTGTGGAATTACGCCCGCGACAACGGTTATTCATCGTATCAAAGGATGTTGACTTCAGCTATGATAGAATTACGATTCATGAATGCCTCCGAAAGTGATTTGGCTTAGACGAGGAAACTGCTCAACGACTACGTCGAACGTATACTTAGAAGTCATCACTCGATATCGAATCGTTTGCAGATGATCTAAATCGAGGAATACTCGTACTGCTGTAGTCCACTAGGCCTCCATAACGAATGAGAGGCGGACCATAAACCAGAGAAAATTTCTCTTATAGCAAAGAGGTTCAAATGTCTCGACTGTGTTTGAAGCGATTAAACGTGGTTTCCTCTCACTTATAACCTGTTTCAACAATAATTTCAAAAGGAGTTCAATTATGAAAACTAAAGTTGCTACAATCCTAACCCTGCTCATTGCCTGTGTTTACGTTGCCACCGCCGCCGCTGCCGGTGGAGATGAAGCAGTCGAATCACTGGTTTTCCCAGCTTCCTACAAAGCGATGAGTGTTTCTAATGGTGGTACTATCAGCGGGATGGTAAAATTTGAGGGCGATGCGCCTGAAATGAAAAAACTGGAGGTTACCAAAGACCCGCAGGTTTGCGGTAAGACTGATAAGTACGATGAATCGGTTGTCCTCGGCGAAGGAAATAGTTTGAAAGATACCATCGTTTATCTAATCGACATCTCAGAAGGTGCCGATTTTCCAACTGATCCAAAGGTCAAATATGAGATTGATCAGAAAGGCTGCCATTTTGAGCCGCATGTGCGCCTCCTTCCGGTTGGGAAAACGACTGACCATGGTCAATCCCGACAGAGTCAATCATACGTTCATATCTTTAGTGCGGTGAATCCTGCGTTTAATAAATCGCAGCCGGGCAGCAGACGGAAGATGAATGTTAAGCGGTAAAAAAAGCGGAAGGGCCCGTGCCTGTTAAATGCGATGTGCACGGCTGGATGAAGGGCTGGATTGCATATATTCCCCACCCGTATTTTGCGGTCAGCGACGAGAATGGGAAATATACGATGAGAATGTTCCGCCGGGCACCTACAAGTTGGCTTATTGGCAAGAAGCCTGTGGCACAAATACAGATGAACCCGTTTCGGTTACTGTTGAAGCTGGGGGAACAGCTACGCAGGACTTTACACTCGCGCTTAAAATGAGCGATAAGGGAAGATGTTCCCTATCACAAGTCGAGAATCTCTCTACGCTTACGGAGCTCGACGTGCACTTGCAGGCGTAACCTTTACTATCTCACACGGACAGTCTTTGGGGTTCTACGCCCCAAAGTGGACAGCGGTAAACCACACTCTAGATACTCTCTACCCTGATTCGGTTGATCAGGCTGCGGTCAATATTCTTGGTCATGAACTTCGCAAGTGAGCGCAGCGCATTAGGCAGTATCTGGGTGTGGTTTTTCAGCATCCAAGTTTGGATCAAAAACTCACAGTCACCGAAAATCTCCGACATCACGGTCACTTTACGGGCTGCAGGGTAAGACGCTGAAGCAGCGGATCCAAGATGCTCTCGACCAATTTGAGCTGACCGATCGCGCTTATGAGCGGGTGGAAACACTCTCTGGTGGATTGCAAGGCGTGCGGGAGTTGGCAAAGGCGACCCTCTTCACAAGCCGAAGCTCCTGCTATTGGACGAACCGAGCACTGGACTCGATCCCGGGGCACGCCGAAGTTTCAGAGCATATTTGGCGGGTTTGCAAGAAACAACGGTTATCTTGACAACCCATATTTTGGATGACGCCGAAGCGTGTGACCGTGTGGAATCCTCAACGCGAATGGAATTGGTGCCATCGGCACACCGGACGAGTTGAAACGGGCAGGTCAGGTGGAGATATTGTTATCATTGATTCTCCGGGACCTGAACAGCTCGCACCGAAAATAAGCAACGTTGGGTCTACTGCAGCCTCGATGTGAGGGACTGTTACGACCATCGGAATGCCACAACGGACATGAATTTCGTTCGCTCGAGATGTTTGTGTAGTGCCTTCCCGACCGAAATTCGATCCGTCCGCTTGGGAAGCCGACATGGAGATGTTCATACAAACTCACGGACGCGCTTGAGGAAGACCGTGCCACATATTGACAAGTCTATACGTTGTGTTGGTGATGATGGATGTGAAAAATGATCTATTGTCAGCTAAAAAGTATTTTGTCAGTATCATTCCACGCTTTGTTTGCCTTACTCATGTAATCTGTAGGTATCATCGTATCGGGAAAGCACATTCGGATTACGAGATCCGAGGACACATTGCAAGTGAACAAGATGCTTGAGGGTAGCGGCCCCAGTACGGCAGTCAACCCCTCGACTAAACTTGGTCTTAGGTTCGCAAATCTAAGCTATTATTCACATAGGAGGACGCGGATATTATGGAACCCTATGGAAATCTTGGCTGAAGAACCGGAAATTCTGAGTCGGAGCAGGCTTATTGAAATTGGACCCAGATTTCATAAGAGTGCAGTTGCTACTGGCTCAGGTTACCTATACACGTATGAAAGCGCAGAGGCTCTCACACGCATTGAGCAGAGTGAATGATTAGCGATCAAGGAGCAGCGAGGGTGTCTTCATTCCTCTAAAACTCGTTTCATCAATACAACGTTCGCACACACTACTATGCTGCGGACGGGAGCGTTAGTTATTTACTATTACAACAACCGAAACTCCCATGAAAACTTTGAATAACGTTCGTTTCTCACTATGCCAGAAGAAAACACGGTGTGATTCTACAGGGAACCGAGGGAGCGTACGACGCAGCCTGGTTAAATCGTCATGAACGTCGAGCTCAAAGCGAATGCGAGATGGTTGATTGAAGTTCGTTTGCAACAAGAGCAAGGGCATGAACTTAGACGTCCGCAAGACCGATTCCTACGAGATGCGATTTAGAGTATGAACTATTGAGATGAGAGAACCGAATGGGAAATGTTGTCGAGGTATCGGATGCTCTTACTTCTTTTCACACGGCAATGTTGCCGCTGTGATTTCTCACGGATCATGAAGAAGAATAGCAGAGGTGCCACACCGAGAAATCGAAAGAGCAATTAGACGAAAAAGCAGTTGAGCAAAACCCAAGAACAACATACACGGAAATTGAACTATGACAGGAAACGAACAACACAACATCCGCGGTGGAGATTCTCCACCATCTCTACTTTAAAAACGACCCCAAAATGATGCAAATGCTTGAAGCCGAACGAATCAAAGGAATATCGCTCAACAGGTTTATGACCTTCGTGAGCCGCATCGCTGACTCAAAAACAACTAGCTGAAAAGTTGGGACAACGGCAAAAGTTATTGATGACCTTGAAATGACCGACTATGAGGATAGCTCAATTGTGACGCGGTTTTAATGCTTCAGTATATCGCCAAAGCGTTGCAAGCAGATTGTTTTCGTATTGTACCGTTGAAAAGCAGAACCGACTCAGACTGAGTTAAAATCAAAACCTGCGATCTCATGATGCTTCCGAGCAAGCTAAGAGCCTCTGCATGTTCTCTATGTTGTTCATCGCAGCGTTTGAGTTGTCTGCTTGGTCGAAAGGGGTTATCAAGGTGGGGTATTTGTGATATGTGGAAAAGGATGATAATTGTTTATTCTGAAATGAGACACTGTGTCTCATACTTTGAAGCGTATCCCGATTACTGGACGTAGGCGAACGATAGAGGAATAGAGTAGAAAACCTTCTAGACACCTAAAACGCACTCACTAAACTTGTTAATAGCAAGATTCTTACTCCCTGTGGCGACGATTTGGTGGCGTGAACATCATCCGGTTCTACGTCAACGAAGCGTCTAGTAAGCGCGATTGCGCAACCGCTAATCTTTGGCTACTTTAGGGTGGGTTACCGCATCATTAAATCCGCCCGGCGTTCCTGAAGGAACAGCTACATTGCATATTTTACCCCGGTATCGTCACGCTTGCCTACTGTTTACAGCATTTTCGCAACAATCTCGATTGTGCAAGACCGTCGAGAAGGTTTTCTTCAAGGTGTGCTGTTGCACCGGTTTCAAGATGGTTATCGTGCTGGGACAAGCACTTGCGGTACAACACTTAGCACTCTTTGCAGGGTGCCCTTCTTCTGTTCTCGCACCGATAGTTGGGGTGCCGTTGAGTCCTTTTCCGGTCTCAGCACTCGGTGTGATGCTGACAGTGTCCTTTGGCTTGACAAACTTAGGAATTGATGATTGCATGGCGAATGGATTCGACGCAAGGCTTTCATGCGATTATAGAATCTTATTCTTATCCGATGTGGGTGCTCTCCGGTGCTTTCTTCCCTGTCTCTGGTGTGCCGAATTGCTTGAATGGGCAGATGAAATTGAATCGCTCAACTACGGGTTGCGGCCCTGCGTCGTTGTCATACTTTAACCACACCGCAGTCGCTGAGGAGATTCCTCAACTCACGTATCACTGCTTGTTACGGCTTGTTCTGTGTTGTAAAATATTTAGCCGCTAGCTCGAACAGCTTGTCGTCGTCCGAAGTGGCATAAAAGAATTAACTGACAATTCAGCGTCTAGAAGGAGCCCTTAATGAAGTGGCTGAGATTTTCCTGCATGGCTTCCAGAGAATGTCTCAACTTTTGGACAAGGGATGATAACCTCTTTGTCTGATCTACTGGATTACCTCAATTGTATTTGTGCTGTTATGGCGGTGCTCATCGTCTCATCATTAAGTACCGTTTCCAAGAGGGTCGCAAAGCGGGTACATTGACAGGTAGCACAACACTTATGAAATTGCAGCGTGACGGCTGCTACCACCGTCATGTGTTCGGTCTCGTCACTGATTGAGCCTGACACAATGAACGATAAATTAAGTTACCTCCCCAGTTTCACTGGTAACCCCGGTGCTGTCGGTCAGCGTGAACGGGAACAATTAACTGGTGATATGACTTACCCCGGGTGCCCGCGGCGATGCACTGACGATAGAACCTGCACGTGAGAACCAACGTCATGTCGCGCCGATTAACGAGCGGTCGTGCATATCAGGCCCTCACAGCGATGCGGTATCACAGCTTCTTTGGTCACATCAACTCCGGCTCAAGCGGATGCCCTTACGGCGTGGATTTCTACATGTGTTTCGACGGGCAACGAAACCGGGCACATACTGAATCCCTGCGCTGAACTCTGCGGTTTGGACATTCTCCGGATGCGGCGGATACCTTACCGTCCACACGACGAAGGAAGTACGCAGCTGTGGATAAGTGAACGGTGGGGAGAAAGAATAATGGAAAAGAAAGGAGTCAATGTAGAATGAAGGTCACACTCAACGAATCTCATAGATATCATATGAAGAGAGTTTGTTCTAAAGATATCTTTCGCTTGATCATAAAATGATTGGCAGGCAGTTCCTGATTATTTGGTCTGCTGTTATGTTCTGGTTGGGGGTGGGCTTGCGATTGCTTTTCCGTTGGAAATCGCTTGCCCGACAGACCAGCTTTTCCTATATTAGGGGTTTCAAAGCATATCAGGAGGAGGGCGAAGTCACAACCGCTGCAGACCGAAAAGCGGAGGGGGGATGGATCATACTCCTTTCCTTATGTTCCTCCACGTGAGGGACCTACGTCCAAACACAACACCCTCCACCTCTTTATTTTTATTTTTAAGGGGGAACCATCCCCCCTCGACCTAGACACCTCTCTCCCTCACCACAAACACGGTCAATCCCACCGGAAGTAAGAGACCCATCTTCTCAAACCGCTCATGCACCCCCCTTATCCGACAACCCTACCGCTAGAAAGGAACTTCCCCTCATCTTTCCTTTGGGATTCAACCGTCCCCACCTCTTTTAGGAACACTGACACAAGAAAGGAAAAACCCACCACAACCGGAGCGCACTCATCGGACACTTACCTATTACTCTATACCTAAGGGGGGGAGAGGATTTGCAATCCCCTTTACTCCTGGGATGGATGAACCTTCAAGTTCTTCTCTTCGAAGAACAGGACCAACCCGGGATTTCCAATAACTCGGATCCATCCAACCGGGGGGATCAGGAATCCCTTAATCCCCCCTCCCCCCCCCCCCCTCCCCCCTCCCCTCCCACCCCCACCGGGGGCAATGAGGACGGAATTCACAAGAACTCATAGGACAACCACCCCCCCCCCTACTCCCCTCCCCCACAGCCCCCTTTTTTTTTTTTCCGCCCCCCCCTACAAAACCAGGAAAAAGGTTCGATGACGATAAGAAACATGGTTAGAGACGAACATGCCCAGCGTGTGATAGATCCGGCATTTTATAATTCGCTGTTTACGATGCACGCCACCATCAGGTTTTCTTCGTCGTTTGTCCGCTGCTTTGTGGTGCATTTTGGTAATTTCCTCATCCACTGATGATCGGGACCAGAGATCATGGTTCCTGTCCTAACATGCTCATCCTTCTGGCACTAATATGTGGGGGTATTATCATGATGGCTGGGTTCTTGTTCCCGGTGGTCACGCTGCTGCGGGCTGGACTGGTACGCCGCACTCTCCTCATCGCTGAATATAGCGCGCGTAGATTGGGGACAGAATCTCTGGGCATTAGCTATCATCATGGGTATCTCCTCACTGTGTTCTAATCAACTATATTACCACATGTCAACATGCGAGCACCGGGGTGACCTACTTCGTCTGGCACACTTGTGATTTGGTCGCCTTTAGTGTCGCAATCCTTCTGCTGCTTGCATCCCGGTCGTTGCTTCTGCGCTCGCGCTGATCCTCTTTGACCGGATGGCGGGAAGTCTTCTTCGCTGCGTCAGGGGGCGGCTGAACACGTTGCTATGGCAACACCTCTTCTGGTCTTCGCGCCATCAGAGGTGTATATCCTTATCTGCCGGCATGGGTATGGTGTCAGAGATGCTCCTGTTTTGCCAGAAAGCCCATCTTCGGTCTATAAGTCAATGGTTTTTTGCTATGATAGCGATGCGCTTTCTCAGTTGGATGTGTGTGGGGACACCACATGTTCCAGGTGGGATGAACCTGCATTGGGAGCGGTTTATGACTACCCACATGTTAATCGCGTCCCTCGGGCAATTAAACCTTCAACTGGATGTCGGCACCTTCACGTGCATCAATCCGATTTACAGTGCCGATGTTAAATTCCCTCGCTTTTGTTTCAATGTTTGTCATTGGTGGTCTCAGCGGTATCTATATGGCAAACTCGCCGGTAGATATCTACATCCATGATACATACTACATCGTGGCGCATATCCATTATGTTGTCTTCGGTGGAAGCGTCTTCGCTATCTTTGGCGGCATCTTTTACTGGTTCCCCAAGATGTTTGGGCGACACATGAATTCGACCCTCGGCAAGATCACTTTTGGATCACCTTCCTCGCCTTAACGGTGTCTTTTTCCCGATGCACATCCTTGGCGTTGGGGGACACATGCGACGCATCGCTAACCCGATGCAGTACGAATACTTACAACATATGCAGCCGATAAATGTCTTTATTACGATTTCCGCATTTATTTTGGGTGCCGCTCAGATTCTGCTGCTGGTCAACGTGTTCTGGAGTATATTCCGCGGAAAGGTAGCTGAGCAGAATCCGTGGCAAGCGAACACTCTCGAATGGCATGCGCCAACGCCTGTCCCTCATGGCAACTTTGGGGAGATTCCGCATGTATATCACGGTCCTTATGAGTACAGCGTTCCCGGTGCCGAAGCAGACTGGACTCCACAAACAGAGCCAAACGGCGAATCTTTGCACGGTGAACCGGTACCCGCCGGAGCCACTGCCGATTAGGTGCGATATAGGACGCGGAGAACGCAGAGCAAACATTTTTTCTCTGCGCTTTCTGCGTTAAAATTTTAATCCATAGTAACTCATGCTGTTTTCTTTTGCAAAAAGCCGAAGTGCAGTGGCTTCAAAAACTATTGTATCCCAAATCTGTGTTTATCTGCGTCCTTATCTAAGCCAAGGAGGTTATCATGAGTAGAAACACTCAAATTTTCGCGGTTGGGCTGTTACTGATCTCGATTCTTTCCGGTTGTGCAACCAAGTATCAGGCGGGAGAACGTAGGGGGTACAGCGAAACCCGTCTGTCAGAGGATGCCTATCAAGTACGGTTTCAAGGCGATATAGCGACATCGCAGGATCGCGCTTCACAGTTTCTACTACGGCGCTGTGCGGAGTTGACCCTTGAAAACGGGAAGAGATACTTCACTATTGGTGCAACAGCGGCAGCCATCTCTGTAGTCGATGGCTTCAGCATTCCGGGTGGTCAATCCACGATGAAAATGCTAAATCGGAAAGACGAAGCACCTATTGCGATTGATGCGGTTATCGTGATCCAAGAAACAAACCAAATCGCTGAGAGGAAACTGTCTCCAAAGGCACAGGAAACGCTGAGTCTTTTAACAAACCAAACCGCTAAACCGTGGGGAGGATAAAACTCACTCAATGTATCGTCCGTGGCTTCATAGGCTGCGTACTCACTGCTGTGACGACTTTCATCCTGATCTGCATGGGCGACTTGTAACCAGCACAGATTCGGGGCTCGCTGTCCCCGATTGGCCCACGACCTTCGGATACAATATGTTTCTCTATCCGCTCTCGAAAACGGTCAGCGGGTTCCTGTTCAGCATTGACCCGAATCTCCAAGCCGATCTGGATAAGGGCAACCTGTCCGTGGGGCTACGGAAGGGGCTCGAAAAAAACGAGATTTCGGTGTCAAAAAATGTTATAATTTCAACCGAAGAACAAAGCAGCAGATGGAAACTCACGGATAAATCGAATGAACGCATCTATACGCTGATTAAATCGGGCGAGCGACTTGATGTATACGTTCACGGTGTGCTGTACGAACACAGCCATCGCCTGATCGGATGCATCGTGGTTTCCTGACGATCGCGTTGATGGTATCAATCTGGGCAAAAGATGCGCGGAAATGGATGAAATGGCTTGGCGTTATCGCACTCGTCGCAGTCATCGCTCAAGGGGTGATGGGTGGTCTCCGTGTTACGAACCTCAGCAGGGCTCTTGCTATCATACACGCCTGTTTTGCTCAGGCGTTTTTTGCGTTGACTGCGTGCCTTACGTTGTTTACTTCGCGCGGTGGCTTGCAAACATCGGTGAAAATTGAGACCACAGATGCTGCGCGCCTGAGACGTTTGAGTCTCATCACGTTGGGGCTTATCTATATCCAATTTATCTTCGGGCTGTGTTGAGGCATACAGGGAATCGACTGGATGCCCACCTGCTTTCGCGGGTCTAGTAACATTCACATATTTTTACTCTTGAGGCGAATTTTGAGAAATCATCCAGAAAATCCGTCCCTTGTTCAGCTGGCTTGCTATTGAGCGGGCTGCTTGCTATGCAATTAACTTAGGTTTCGGAGCATACCTCGCCGAGTTCACCACTCTTGGCGAAGGCGTGGCTCTGTCGCCGGGTCGTATAATCACAACCGCCACATGTTGCGATTGGTGCTTAATGCTGATCGTCTCCGTTGTACTAACCCTTGGACGTTTTTCGTTTCACTAGTCAATCAGAACCTGCTGCTAGTCGAGGGCTCGTTTCCGATGAGGTGTCCGCATGATATCAACACACAGAAACGATAGGGTTGATCTATCCCAATAAGCCGCCGAGTGTCGATTTTTGTTGAACTGACAAAACCGCGACTCGTTTCGATGATACTGATTACAACTCAGCCGGCTTTATTTGCGTCCTCGCAACCGCTTAATTGGCTGCAACTAATTCACACCATCATCGGCACTGGGTTATCAGCGGCAGGCGTATTAGCCCTAAATCAGTACCCTTGAACGCGACCTAGATGCCCAAATGGTGAGAACGTGTCACCGTTCCGCTGCCGGATCACGTCTTCACAACCGACGACAGCCCTGTTTTTTGGGGTTTTACTGACCGTTAGCGGTTGCTCTATATGGCGTTTTCTGTAAATGCCTTAGGCGCATTGGTCATCTCAGCCATTGTTGTGACGTATCTGTTCGTCTATACCCCACTGAGCAGAAAACATCGCTCTGTTACTGCGTTGCAGTGCGTCTCTCCGGGCGCATTGCCACCTGTTATACGGTTGGGTTGCAGTCGCGAGGACACTCAATATCGAGAAAGCGTGGGTGCTTTTTGCAATTCTGTTCCTTTGGCAGCTACCCACACTCACTGTCATCGCGTTTATCTATCGCGACGAATACGCACAGGCGGGATTCCGCTTGTTGCCGGTTTATTCATCCTGATGGCAAAGCACGAACAGACAGATTGTCATCAACTGTCTGGGCTTCTCGTTGTAGCACTACTACCTACGTTATAGGCATCGCTGGTATCGTTATTTTTTCGCCGCACTGACGTTGAGCATCGTCTTTCTTGGATTTGGCATCAACCTATCTATTTCTCGATCGACCGTTAGCGGCAAAACGGTTGCTGTACGCCTCATTGATATATTTTTACCGCTCGTGTTTTTGGTGATGTGCACTCGACAAGTTGACGTAATAGAATGAGGGGCATCAAACTTAGATGAATGATCAAGAAAGCGGCAGCGAAACCGACGTCTCGGATGGTTCTTATTCGTGATATTTGTTGTCCTATTTATTTTTGCAACGATTCTCGCGCTCGTCAAAAACTAATATCCCTGCGATAAGGGTTTCCTACCTCGTTTGTTTTGCAATCGAGCTTTCCCTCCTCTTTCACGTTTAATCTTTTACTTGCGATGAATGAACTAGAACACACATCATACGAACGCGCCGAAGAGAAACCGACCGATGAGCATGCACGTCTAGCCGTGCTAGTACTCTTAGGGGCCGAACTCATGTTTTTTTCGCGGGGCTAATTGGAACATTCCTTGTGTTCCGTTTGGGGAGTGTCACCTGGCCCCCGCCCTCGCAGGCTGATGTTCGCTTGCCCATTGGCGTGACAGGACTCATACAATCGTCCTGCTCTTGAGCGGCTATACAATGTTTCAGGGGCTGCGAGCCATTCGACAGGACCGTCAGAAAGGGCTCAGAAACTGGCTCTTCGCGACAGGACTCCTTGGCCGTAATTTTCTTGGTTGTGCAAGTTCCGAATGGGCGCGCTTGTGTCATCATGGTTTACACTTTCGTCGGGAGTATACGGCTCCGTTTTTATGTCCTCATTGGTTGTCATGCTTTGCATGTTCTGGTAGCAGTCCTCTGGCTGTTAGTCGTTTTCGCTAGGGCAATAGCCGGTCGGTTTTCACTGAATCACTATATTGGGTTGAGGTTTGTGCAATTTACTGGGTCGTTTGTTGTCGTGTTTATGGCCCTCTTTATGTTCTTGTATACTTAATCTAAAATGGAGAAGAAAAATACCAGGAGATTTCTTATGATTTGTCGATATTTTTCACTCATAGTAGGGTTCTGGTACTTGCCTACTGATACCAACAGTTGTTGGAAGCCTGTCCCTCATGTAAAACGATGATGACCCAATTGTTCAGGGCTTCAAGTGAGCATTCTATTCCTTATGGCGATGCCCTATATTGTTTCCGGTCTAATTGGTGGTGGCGTGTTTACGTCTACCGCACACATCGGACCGATAATCGTAAACCCCTTCAAATGTGAAAGGAGTGTGAAAATTGAAGAAACTAATACACTCGATCATTCCGCCGATGTCTACGAACCATCCATCACGCCCGACAGTCTGGGAAGTTGGGGATTGTGGCTCTTTCTTATTAGCGATGTCGATGTCGTTTGGCGCGTGCTGCTCGCGCCTACGGGCCGTACGCGCCGGCGCAGCGAGTGGGATACCTCCAACCGAAGTGCTCGGCATTCACCTCACAGCGGCTATGACCTTTCTGTTAATCTGTGTAGCGTTACCATGGTCCAAAGCCCTCGAAGCCATTCAGAACGGTAACCAATCGAGAATGTGTGCCTTCCTCGGCTTGACCATTCTGGGTGGGAACTAATCTTCTGGGGCTGCAAGCGTATGAATGGACAGCGCTAATCAAGCACGGTCTCACCCTTACCACAATTCCGCATCACGATTTTGTCTGGCGAGGCGATTTCCGGCTCGGTGCTTTTTGGTCCAACTCTTCTACACGATTACAGGTTTCCACGGTGCCCATGTCACCGGCGGGGTCATTTCACCTCATCGTTATCTTGATTAAGAGGCGCTGCGGGGTGCTACCAGCGGAGTACTAATCACCAAAGTCCGAGATTTTGGGCTATATTGGCACTTCGTTGACCTAGTCTGGATCATGGTCTTTACTTTTGTCTATCTATTGTAATCATCACCGAATGGAGAATCAGATGAACACGCTCCTAAAGCAGCACCCAAAATACATGTGAATATTTGTGATACTTCTCATACTCCCAATCTTGAGTCGTCGTTTTGCCCTGCCTCTTTTGAAGGCGGCTTTGGTTGGGGCCGACTACTG